CACGACCGAAAACGTTCAGCAAACTGCAATAAACTCCTACATTGATCTGTGGGTAGATAATTACACTTGCCGATTGAAAAGGCCGCAGCAGAGTGAAAGTCTGCCCAGCAACGAAGAAAAGGTCAAGTGAGGGCGTTTTTGCCCTCTTCCGGGTGCGCTTATCGGACCATTGCTTTAGAAAAAAAGGGGGTGGAGATAAGGGGATTTGAAGCATTGGTTGAGGAATTGAAAGATAATGCATTATTATTTCTGAAGATAAATATTTGTTATCGTCGTTGATTTTGAAAAGTGTACAAAAGAGCATCCTCATGCTTTCTCCAAGGTCTGCGGTAAAAAGTCTAAACACCATTGATGATTTACAAGCATAATTAACGCCCTTGACTCTTAGTTTCTGACTTTTCGTCTCGCAGGTCTCAACTTATTCATAGGTTCATTTAGATTATCCTCCATTCTTTATTCGCTAAACCGGAAATGCTTTTTTTCTTAGGCTTATCATCATAACATGCCGTTTTATCCCAAGCTGGGAGGGCTTATGCACTTATGATATGCGGCATTTCGACGCTTTTCTTTATCTAAAACGGTCTTCTTACACTTAAACTTTTCCTTAAATCATCCTTAAAACTAATAAATTTTTTTAATTAAATGAATTAATTGCTTGGGAAAAGTTTCTAAGGCAATTTCAAAAAATATTTATATTTCGGAGCTTAAAAAAATACTTGACGATATAACTACCGCATGAAAAAAAGACATGTCCTAGTGGTATGTCAAAAATGAACTTTGGTTGCTTTACACATTTCTTGAGAAATACTTTCGCGCCGCGAACAAAAGTATTTTGCTCTGTCTAAAAGTCTCACATACGGTTTTCCGAATTTGATAAATTCTAGTTTAAAGAAATCTGAGAAGAAAATAAGCATGATAAAATCGAAAGTCTGGTTCATTTCAAACTTGCCTAATTAAGTGACTGTACAGTCAAAATTCTATTACCTGGACCAAAACAGGGTTGTGTCTACAATAGCCCTGGGCAGTTTTTTTGGCTGCGCCACACCACCATGATTCTGAGCTTGGTGGTGCTTGCTCGTCTTAAATATCACTAGGGTGCGCCTGAACTTCAGGTTCAATTTCTGGAAACGATTCTTTTCCGATGAAAATAACAATTAAAAATACCTTTCATTCCAACACTGATCAATACAAAATAAAACAAACTTCGCAATGGGAGATCCTTTATTTTTAAATGGTCAAACGAAAAAAAGTAACCATTTTTCAACAAGAAAATTAGCGAGAAAAGAATCCGCGATTAGCGGGTGGAATTTGTCATTTTCGGCTTGCGCCCCTAATTACCCTCCTTTCGGTCATCAATCATGTCCCCAGTTGTATTCCAAACTTGGCTACCCTAGGGCTTGCGACGCTACGGTCGGCTCTTTTTCAACAGTGTGCGCGGCGTTCTGATCGAGTGATTGAAAGAGCGGCGCTCCGAGGGGGCGCTGAGCAACCGCTCTAGCAAGCGAAGTTTTTTTTTTCTTTCTCTCCCTTGCCTTCAGCTCAAGACTCTCTCTCCCCTTTTCGCGCTTTCTCCCCTTAGCAAGTCTTCCCGCGAACTTTCTCCTCTCTTGACTCTCTCTCTCACTTATTGACTAAGTGAACAAAAAAAAAGAAACACCATCCTCCCTTCTTATAAACATTGAGTTATCAGCAGATTGCTGATAGAAGAAAGAGGATAAGTCCACAAATAAAATCAAGAGAAGCAAGATCGGAAGCTTTGTGAAGGCAGCTCGGAAGAACGGTAAGTCATAAAATACAAAATAATCATAAAGAAAAAAGGATAAGCTGGGGCAATAAAATATAATAAAAAAAACCCGGCATGCGACGCGAAAAGGTCTTGTCTCTTCTGAGAACTTGTCTTTTTACAGGAGTCTTTTGTCTGAAAGCACCTTTAAAAAAAAGGGTTCAAAACTGATGTCGAAATTTTTAGGCACCTTCCGGGCAAAACTGCTCAAGAGGGCAGCGGGTCCGAAGATTGGCCTCGATTTTAAATGTAAATCCTTTTTTCACCTCGGAAAATTAAAAATAAGCTCTTTAATCTGTCGAATTTAACCAATCTCGAGCCCCTTAATTCATTGATTGACTTTAAGGTGACCCCCGACGCTGATTGACAAATTTACTCAGCAATAAATTTGCTGGGGGTTGCGTTTTAGGGTTTTTTTTAAGGAGCTTGAGTCGTTCTGAGTAATCGCTGTTTTGGTTAAAATAGAAAGAGAGAGTGTCGATGTCGGCAGGATGCGCGGCACACGGCGGCGCAGCTCGTGAACTTGCACCTTCACAAGCGCCACATATTGGCTACGGGAAGCCCTTGAGCCCAGCCAGCAATCTAACTCGACTTCTTCCGCTAAACTTAATAAATCGAAATATATTTCGAATAAGATTTTTAGTTTCAAATCTTTCGAACTTTCGGTCGCGAGAAAATGAGATAAGTGGAGCCCTTATCTCAGCCGAGTTTTAGAAGTGGCCAAGCGGCCCGAGAAAAAAAGTTTACCTTGCCTTTTGCCGGTTATTTTTCTGATAAGAAGTTTGAAAATTATTTGATAAAAACTCTCGAAAGCTGAACTTTTTTGTTTCCAAAATAAACTCATTGAAATTGACCGAGTTTTTTGAAAAATAAATTCAAAAGAAAAACTCAACAAGAACTACGGCCCTAAGTTTTTGTTTGAATTCAGTTTTCAAAATAAAGTTTTTTTTTGAGGTCATTGGGTCCAAATGACCTTCCAAAAATAGACGTACTGGAACATGGTGTCCCAAATGCGTGGTATCACCTTAATTCCAGCGCCCTGAGGACTTCGGTAGTCTTTGGCCTTCAGGGAATTTATACAAGATTAATTCACCCCTTCGCTTTTTTTATATCAACTGGTTCGGTCTTAAGGGATAAAGCCCTGTGTGGTGCTATCAAATTAAGGGAGTACTCCAGCGACGCACTTGACAAATAAGTGGGAGCTACCGAAGATCAGCCGCCGGCCGAAATAAAGTGGCTCGTTCGTTTTTTTTGTTTTCCAGTTTGAAAGCAAAATGCTTTTATAATTTTTAATGTTTACTCCTCTTTGTCTCGTTAAAAGTTCAAAGAAAATCGAACCAACAAGAAATTTCTGAAAAAAAAGAAAATAACCTTTCGAATTGAATAAATAAGGGTCTACCCATGATAACGAAAAATCCTCAATAATCTTAATGAGAGTGGAAATTATTGAATAATATAAAGGAACTCTGCCGCTAATTTATTAACATTCATAACTTGACGGAAAACAATGTAGACGCCCTTAAATATTAACATGCCGGGCTTACAAGTGCCGGCGTTTTACAAAAGAAAGAAAAGGGTTGATCCTGGGAACGAACCAGTCAAATTGGCCAGGAAAAATCAATCTCATGCCTCCCTCAAATATTTTATATTTTTGATTTGACATGATTCTAATTAAAAATAAAAGAAAAACATAAGGAGATTTTCTTCAGGATATAATTTTGTGAAGGTATCATCAGTCTTCAAAGTTCGTTTTGAACAATTGACAATTGTTCCTGTTTTATATCAAAATACGTGTAAACCATTTAATAACATGATGAAATAACGCAAAAAATATAATTACTTGTCTTCGTTTATTTTGATTATTTGACGAACATCAAGTACCTAGGTAGCTGGGCTCGGAAACCTGTGAAGAAAACCTGAGTCAGGTCCTGATGAGCCTGACAGCCGTGTTATTTCAGCTCTTCCAGACCTGACTCAGGTTTTCTTCACAGATTGCCGAGCCAAGCTACTTCATGTTCCTCAAATAATCGAAATAAACCAAGGCAAGTAATTTTATTTCATGCGTTATTTCATCATGTTATTTAGCTTTATAAACTTATTTTGACATAAAACAGGAGCAATTGTCAATTGCGCTTTTTGGATTTTTATGTCGATATACTAACTTTTGCAAGGAATTTAAGGTATGGCGATTATTGGGGACGTTTGACCCGTGAAAACATATTTTCATGAAAACAGAAAACACGAATGTTTCATGTTTTCAGTCTCATAAACTTTTGCCCGCAGCGGGCAAGACAGACAAATGGCCCTGGCCGGAGCAATTGGCTCCTCGGCTCCCTCCATTTTTTCTCATTTCAACGCGTCGCGAATTCGAAAAAAAGTGGTTCGATCCTTAGCTCGCAGAGATCATCTTCTGCCCCTCGCTCAGTCTCTCAATTTCTATTTCACTCGCCAGGTCTACAAAAAAACAGACCAATTTTTTTTTTCGAAGAGAAAAGATTTTTTTCTTCAGTCCACAAATACCTCACGAGACAAACCAAAAAGATAGTTTTTTCTATAAAAGAAGAGAGAAATAAGAAGTTTTGAAGACTCATTTTCAAGGTTTGATTTTCTAGATTTTTTGTGTGAAATTTTGAATTTTGAAATCATAGAGGTGAACCTTTCCTTCTTACACTAAATCAGGAGAAAACTGCTGGAAAAAAAGACCTTTTCCTGCCAAAAATAAAGGGAAGTCGGCTAGAATCGCCGAAAAAATACGACAAAAAATCGACTTTTCCGACAATTTTTCTGAAATCGTAATGCTACCGGACATCTGATGAGCCTAAAATTTGACTAAATTTTGGCCAAAATTCTCGTCATTATATTTCTTTCCTGGCGGGTCCCCTTAATAGTAAAAGCTCTTGACATTACCTTTGCGACAGTAAATTACAGTTCTTATTCAACTGTGACGGAACTGCTACAGTAAAAACGTCACTTGAACAAATATTTAATTTTTCTACTTTTTCCTTTCCTCGCATTAAAAATGGGATAGACGCACAATCATTTTATTTTATTTGCCGGCTTTCCTTTTTTTCCTAGAAAAGTCAACGCCAACGACAACTTGTCTCAAATTCTATTTTTAGAAGATGAGCTGACTGGTGCTAGAATTCTGCTGGTAAAGAAGTCTTATCACTAAGGGAGTCTACAGTAGAAGAAAAACAGAGAAAATCGACATCAAATCATGACTGTGGGAGTTTTAAACAGGTAAAAATTTTGCTAAAATAATAAAAAAATAAATAAACTAGAATTTAAAATATAATTAAATGCGATTCAATCTATGACGCTGCTCTTTCAAGTGGAAAATACGTAAAGAAATAATAACTATGATCTACTATCGATAGTACCATCTTTAATATAACGTTTCAAGTCTATATTTATTTTCCATGCAGCTTGAATTTTAAGACCGGCCGGATAATTAAATTAATACATAGCGCCTTGAACTCTCAGTTTTGAATCTTTCGAGGCACCTTTTTCTTCCTGGGTGGCCAAACTATTAATTAATAACACTCGTAATGATCAAGATGGAAAGTTGAAGATTTACGGCAATAATTTCTTACCGGGTTCGATTTTAGCACGACTGCGAGCACAGCGCAAGATCACATCGATACGAACATCGCGCGGCTGCAAACGATCCTGGAGAAGCCATCGCATGTCCCCAACTACGAAATTTTCGAAGATCAGAGCGACATGGTAAGTTGAAAAAAGATCAGAGCGGGTCTAGTGTCAAAATGTAATCGCGTTTATTATTTTAATTAAAAAGCCTTCCGGCCTGACTCGTCGCTTCAGTAACTATTTGAATAACTTAACTTGGTTTTTTGATCTTTTCTTATTAAAAATTGTTCCATTTTAGGACGCAACGAATCGGGATTACGATCGAAAGTTGCACTGCGTGACAAGTACGGATCGCGAGCACTACACTTCGATGGTTTACTCTTGGGGCCGTTTTCTTGAGCTTGATGATCAGGCACTAATCGTGGCGATCAACATCTTCGACAAGATGTTCACCGAGTACAGGTACAAGCAATTTTAAAGACAGAAAATTGGAACAAAAACGCCGGCTCGCTAAATATCAATGGCGACCATAATCACATTGGCAATGATGGTTGTTTTCAGAATTCAACCGAATCGTGACATTTGCCCCTATCAGTGCCTCAAAGTCAAAGCCGGAAAGCGAAAAACCAGCCCTTGCAGTATTTGCACTGTCTTCAAGGTAAGCATTTTTTCATTCAGCCGAGTTCATTTCCAATTCTTTTTTTCTAGTCAATGGTGACGTATGATTTGATGATTTGCGCGTTGCTACTCGCTGGGGAAAGGTTTTTCACGGTCGAGTACGGCTACCCAACTCAAGCTGCTGCGATAAGGTAAGAATAAAATTGATAACTTAAAACAGATCATAACCTAAATTTTTGAATCGGCCACCCTGTGTAGGAATCTGAATCAGGGTTCAGAAAAAATTATCATGAAAAGCCGCGAAGCGGCTTTCTTTTAATCGAAGCCGCGACGCGGCTTCGCCACAAGTCAAAAAAAAAAATGAAAATGGTAAAAAAAACATCGAAATCAGGTGTTATTTTGTAGAATTGGACGTTTCATGCATAATTTAAAACAGTTATTTTTGCTGAATTCAAACAAAATTTGTAGTCACATGCTTGAATTCCTCAACCCGATCGATGTGCTATACGACAACAACAACCAGCACAAGTTCAAGGAGCTGCGGAAGATCTCGTACGTCCAGAATCTGAAGCAGCAAATAGTCAAATTTCTCAATAACCACGGTAAGTCCAATTAATCAAGGCAAAAGTGAGCGGGCCCGGGTCGCGAGCGGGGGAAAGGGGATACGGTTATTGTCTATAAATCACTTGCTGGCACTCTCACGAAGGTGAAGTAAGCCCTTAAGTTGGGCGTTCTCCGGTGCTCCCTTTATATGTCTGAATGGCCACTCGAGCATCTGCTGTTGGTTTTTTATATGCGTCTCACGCACATACAGCTGAGCCAAGAGTCGCCAGAGCTGCTCTTGTAAAGAAACAGTTAATCATCTTATCTACCGTATCTTATGTAACAGTTTTGCGTACCGAGTTAATCAGCCAATCAAATTGTCCAAAACTCGAATTTATCCAATCAGAAGCCTGGTTTTTTGTGAAAAATTGGAAAATTATCTAAAATCATTCAGACAGTTTTTCAATTATTTGATTGGCCGAAAGTTCTCAAAAGGAAATTTGATTGGATAAATGAATCGACAAAATAAGCCCTTCGCTAAACAAAAATTCAGCTTATGAACCAACGCCGGCGTTCGAGTTCATGAAGATCTTCACTTCCCTGCTACAGCCCTATATTCCTGAAGCTTCAATCGAGCGGCTACTGTATAAACTGGCGGAGACGCACAAATGGACCCAATGCTTGAAACACAAGGTAACAATTTTTGAGCCGCTCTCTCGTACTAATAGCCTTTTTACTAGCATCAATTACTGGCACTTATGCTCGTCCGAAAAGAAATCAAAACAATCGACTCGCCCTGCGCCAAGGAGACCTTTCAACTTATCATCGATTTTCTAATGGTAACTTTTTGAATAATTGATTAATTCAAAATTGAAAATTGAAAATTGAAAATCAGCTTGTCAAAATTTACCATTGGCGCGAGCCGATGTACAGATTCGCAAACAGAATTTGTAAAGATTATTTGCGGATTATTAATCTTGGCACCTGCCGCAGCAGCTATATTTTATGAAAACGCGCGGCGGTTAAATGATTAAATTTCACAATTTTCGATTCTGCCAGAATTTCGAAAATTAAGAAATTAGAAATTTCTAAAATGAACTTTCAGATCTCCGAAACGGACCTGGATAGATGCGAAAAGGTGTACGAAGCTTGCAAATATGAAGCAAAAAACAAAGAGCGACAAAATAAGACGCAAATTATGGACATGATCAAGCACAACATGTATTTCTCGCAGACCAGCCGACGCACCAAGCTCAAATTCAAGAGTGACGTCCGTTTAACGTAAGTTTTTTGACCTTAAAAATCGAGAAACCGCTTGCGGCTTCGAGTAAAGTAAAAATAGCCGCGATCCGCGCGGCTTGAATTTAATTGCACTCGAAGCCGCAAGCGGCTTCTCGATTTTTTTCTATCTCAAAATTTTTAAAATCATAAAACTGACAATTTATTTCAGCGAGCGAAAGCAGCTGTACTACACAACTGTTTACTCTGGGTCGAAGCCAAAAATGATCCGTCTGGATCCCCCAGCTGAAAAGGAGGAAGACACTTATTACGAGGAGCTGCGCAACAGCCCAGTTTCTCAAATGGAGACTTCCGAAGCTGAAGAAACGCCCAAAGCGAGCTCGCCAAAAGCGAGTCTGGCACTGGTCGCCTGGAAGCCCTCGCCGTTGATGCTGCTCCCCGACTTGGCTGCTAGAAACGCTAGAATCAGCAACATCGTGCCCAAATCAAGCCCAAAATCAACGGAACCAGCAGCCACGGTTGAACTACCCACGGCGCAAGGAAAATCTTCCAATTCCTAATTCACGAATTTCTCGAAATTCTCCAAGTTCTTGAATTCTAGATAAAAAGTTCCCTTTTTTTTATTTTACCATCATTATTGACACATACACATCTCCGTATCCGTCCGCCCCTTCCTTCTAAAATTCATTTGTCTTTTCACAAAATTTAAAAATAATTCATTTTTTTTTTTGAAAAATTCAATTCAATTTTTTTGTACCGGCCGCCCTGAGACGAGACCCTGCAGCGGTTAATCCGCCTGTGGCCGAGATCGTCCGTCTCCAGGTCCAGAAATAGCCACCGTCATTCCTTTGCCTTTTTATACAACTAAAACTGCTTTTTTGCTACTTTTTTTTGTCATTTTCAATTTTCAATTTGAGTTTAGTAACCTTTACCAATGGTTCCGACCGAGTTCATTTTCAAAATTCTTTAAATTTCATCCTCCTTTTTCAAACATGATTTCTCAGAAAAAAATTGAAGTCGAGACAGTTCTAGAGTAGCGCAGGCTATTCTAGTGGCTTTCTCTGGCTTCTAGAGACCCTAGAAGGGGCCTTAAAAACATCATCTTTTTTTCTTGAGACTGAAATCGTGTAATTTAAATTCCCTCTTTATTTTGCTGCTGCCACCTTAACAAAATGACTTCAAGAAAGAAATTCGTTCCGAAAACGTAAAATATGTCTCTGCTCTTTCTAGTTCCGTCTAAATTTCATTTCATCAATGTGATCAATTGTTCCTTGAAAATTCTAAACCGCTTCTTGTTATTTTTTCTCAAATTTTATATTTTTTCATCCAGGCCCAAATTTCAAATTATCAGTTTTTTTCGGTAAAAAAGGGTTTTTTCGACTTGAAAAATTATTAATGAAATAATAAAAATCGGCCATTTGAGATTTTTTCAAGAAAAAAACTCTTTTTTTTTTTTAATTTTTTAGTTTTTCAATTTTCATTTTAATAATTAAACATGGCCATCTTTGATAAAGGTGGCTCCCTTTTCAACCCTCCCGAGCATGATTCAGTCACATGATCGGAAGTCGTTTTATTTTTATCAGTCAAATTTTATTATTTAGTCACCGCTAGCTCTTAAGATTCTTTCTCTTCTCTTCACTGTTTAAGGTTGTAATCAACGATTTTTTAATTTTCAATTATCAAATTTTAAATTTTCCCAATTTTTTAATTTTGCGGGAAGTTTTCGATCCGCCCAGGCGGCGATCGAAATTTTCAGCTCGCGCTTTTTCTTATATTTTTTCGTACTGAATCGGCTTTTCTGCCGGTTGAAGGTGTTTTTTTTCTTTTCATCGTTATTTCTATTTTGAAAATACTACTGACTTATGTTTTACATTTTAACATGTTTGAAACAAATTTAAGACCATTTAAAACAAACAAATCCACAAACAGGACATCGAATCTAGGGCCACCTCTTTCCTTCATCCCTTTTTCTTCTCTCAGCCAATCAAAAAGCCGCCACGAGCGCTTGAGCCAATGAGAAGTATCTTGGCTTTTGATCTGAGCCGACCCGACTTTTCGCAAACTGGTTTTTGGGAAGTTTTAAATCCGGGTCGGGAAAAAAACCAACAACCATTGATTTTGAACCCTTTTCGATTCTTTGTTCTATTGCTCCTTTCTTTTCATTTAGAATAAATCAATTACAGTCCACTATTCGTAGCGGTGTTATAATTTTCCGAAACTCCCGTTCTCAAGTTGCGAGTCCCGTTTTTTCTGTTTTCATCTTTCTTCTCTTTTTTCCAGCAGCTTTTGAACTTTTTTCTTCTCCTTTTTCTTCTTCTTCCAACTTTTATTCGTCTTAGTGCAAGAGAAAAAAATACAGATTTCATCAAAAAAATCATCGAAAAGTTCTTGTTCTTTTTCTGCGATCTGGCTTGTCCATACTCGCAAAACTGAAACACTTGAATATTATATTTAACTCAATACCTGTGCTTACTTTGAATAACAAGAAAATAAAACTCTTGAAAAAAATACCGATGTCTCATTTTTTTTGTCATTCTTGATGCAAAATATCAAAAAAAAATTTACAAGCAGGATTGTCAGAAAGCTGCTCGCGGCTTCTACCATAATAATTTTATAGCCGCGGCAAGAGCGGCTTTTATTTCCTTTCTTGATTTTCAGAAACAGATATAATAAGAAGGAAAGTCGTAAATTCGAGCAAATTGACCGAAAAAGCCGCGTAGCGCGGCTATTTTTTCTCGACTCGAAGCCGCATGCGGCTTCTCGATTTGAATTCATTCGAACTTGACAAGAATTTTCGGTTCAAATCGGTTCAGTAAGTTTAAAATCGCCCCTTTGGATTTCAAAGTCAAACAGAAGCGTTGTTGTTTTACCACGAAAAAAATAAAAAATGGTCTTTCCGGCGAGCGAATGTGGTCAGAGCACGTGCTGGCTGTCAATACAAGTTATTGATAGGGCATTGTTTGTGGATTCGGATTGAGTTTCCCATTCTTGTTCGCGGCAGTGATAAATGGCCCGCTCGACCTCTCAGACAAGGGGCATTCAAAAGTGATCGACCATGCAGCGTGGCTGTTCTGCGCAAGTTCAAATATTAAAAAATGAAAAACGAAAAACGAAATTTGAAATTGAAGTCGGCTTTGTCAAGAAATGTCAAGAAGAGCTTCCGCTTTGCGGAATAATGTATCACAAACGCTTCCGCCAAAGAAACATTTAAAATTGAGGAGAATTTTTTTTCCTTCTTGGCCAAGGACGTTTGTTCTTTTAACCCCGGAACGCATGGCTATTTTTGCCAATTTTTGACCATTTTTTAACCGAATATTGTCGCGATTTGGGCATAAAGAGAATAAAAATCCGGGTTTATATATTATAACCGGACTCTAAGCTACAAAAATATAACTTGAGCGTGGTCATATTATATGCGTATATCAAATATAATATGGGTTTTTTGATGAGCAAAATCTTATTACCCAAAAATGGGTCAAATATGCGTTCCGGCGTTAAATACAAATTTTTGAGCTTGTTTTTAAGTTTCGCTTAAAAATGAATAATTTCAAAGAAGAGGTAATTGAGTTCTGTCGAGATAGGATGCAACATGTGCTCCTTGACCGTTTTTATAGCGATAAGAAACCGCAATTGTAGTTTACATGCAGCTCGCGGGCCGCTATCTTCGCTGGCGGTCCACAAGCCGCCGACGTTGGAAAAGTGAGCGAAAACTGAATCAGCGCTGTTTTTACAGTTTTACGGAGAGAGCCGTGGGATCAGAGTCCATCAATAACGCCCCGGATTATCCGAATTTATTTGAAGCATTTTGATGTTTTGTGTTTGGCTGGGCTCCCGCCACGCTGCCCCACAGTGATCATGTATTGTTTCTAGATGAACTGGCTTCCGTTGGAGTAACTTTTCTTTCGAAATGAAGAATCACATCTTAGATTACTGTCCTGTATCTGAGTTACAGCATCTCTCCTATTTGAAATCGCGTCCAGCAAAACGAAGCCCCAAGCCTTTCAAACCTTCTCTTTTGGGGATCTAGATTTTGATTGGCCGGTAGACCAAATACAGCAATCTTATTGGTTATCCAAATATTCACTTCCGTAAATTGGTTTAGTCCCTCTTTTGGGACCCTGATTCAGGTTTTTGATTCGAATTTAGCCGATTACTGCTTTATCGTATTTTTTGCTCGAAGCCGCAAGCGGCTTCTCGAATTTTATCAATTTTTACTTTCGAAAATTCTTCAAAACCACAATCTGCCAAGTGCCCTGCATTTCTTTTTTCAGCTAAGAACTCCATTAGCAGTTAACATGGGAATGAGTTAACCCGAAGCAGAGCACGTGAGAGATACTACAGAAGCACGTGACGCGACCTTAACTTGTAAAACACGATTCCGCGGTCCGCCTGAGATATTTTTCGCTGTCTGTTCATTTCAAATTAGCCTGGAAAGACAGCGATTGCGCGAGAAAATAGAAGCTGGAATCGACGTGGGAAATGTTATTTTTAAGTGTTAGAATTTGATTTGTCTGGGTGTCAGCGCAAGCGATGCCCGTTCAAAAACGATCATTTATACAGCTGAATAAAGCTCAACGGTCGAAATTATTCGGCAGGTGGAATCTTTCGGAAGTCACTTCCGAAAGGACAATTTGAAAAAAAAGAAACGACAAAATTAGAATTTTTTATTAAGTTTTTTCTTCCAGATGAGTAAAATGAGTAATTCAGCCAAGATTTTGGGCAATTTGAGGAAGTAGTCCGTCGATAATTCCACCTAAAAATCATCATAAATTATCAGAATTATTATCTCACCGATGCTGTCGAAATCGCCAAGAAAATCCAACAAAATATCGAGAATACTCGATCCGGGGTCATTTATTGCTTGAAGAATTCTCGCGATCAGCTCGATGAATGTCGCAGAAGCGCTAGAATATAATATTAATCATTGCTTCCGCCCGATTTTACCTGAGAAGAGTGGTGAGCTGAAGAATGTAGTTAAGATATCCCATAATTGTATTTTTGTCGAAGATAATCCACGGCTCCAGTAGGTCGGCCCAGCCTGCATTTTTAACGAAACAAGCTTAACAGAAGCTTACCTTGAAGAATGACGTCGAAGTACAGTATCAAATCGTCGATGAATTTGATGCACATGTCCATAATTCTTGTCACATCGATGGCGGTTACTTTTTCCGACAGTCCCTTCAAAAAATTTCAAAAAGAGTAAATTTTCCTGAGAACCTGAATTTCCTCTTGAATTAGAATTATATCTTGCTTCAAGATGAAGTAGGTGTAACGGATATCTTTGAGGATATTTCTGATGATTTCGAATTTTCCGAGAAAAAAGTCGAGATTGTCGAGAAAATTCCCAACGCTGTTTTCGATGTCTGAGTAATCTCTTCTATGTCTCCAGTTTTGGTCATTTCCTTCGAAAATTGTCGCTTTTAATCCCGCAAGTTCTGAATCTTGACGCTGAATCTCATTTTCGAAAATCGCAAAAGCTCCGTAAAACTGAAAAATAAGAAAAGAGACTCTCATTTTTGAATTAATGAACAATTTCCAGTATTCATCTAGGTGTGATACCGCCCATCCCAAGGCACACAAATGAAAAGAACAAGAATAAATCATTTTATAAGTAATTTTCTTTACAGATTTTGAACAGAACACAATCTTCTATTTATACAACTTCCCGAGCAAGCAGCACACCACTTTCCATTATCATAAGGCTTTTTAAAGTCGCTGTAAGTATGAGGGACGACGCAGACGAATCTCCAAGAGTTTGAATTGACGCACTGAAGCTGGGAGCAGCCGATAGAAGAGCCGTTGACAGAAATGAGTCTGGCGTAGTCTTTGCAGGTGTTTTTGAGTTGTTGTTGCCGAGCGGTGATTTTCGGAGAGACTTTTTTCGGGGATTTCATTTTGCAAAAGGACCCTTTTTTATTCTTCGTGAACTGAGAAAGTTTTTTTTCTATATTCAAGAGGGAATTTTACCTTGTAAATTTTCTTCCCGGAGCCCCAAAAACTCACTGCCGAACAAACACTCCTCGGCTTGATTTTTGAAAAAGCAATGTTCGCGTTGAGACCCATTCCAATTATTTCCTCGACCGAGTCTATCTCTCCATTGCAAGAGGCTTCCGCCACTTCGGATGCTTTATGAGCGAGATCGTTTGACCAGCTGATTTGAGGGAGGTTTTTTGCAGGCGGCTTGACGCTGGAGCGGAGGTTGTTGACGCAGTCGAGCAGCTCTAGAACTTCCGTGGACGTGAATTTGCCTTTTGTTTCTGGCTCGATCGTCCGCTGAAGAGCCTGGAATGGCAATAATTATTACATATAATTACAACAAAAATAATTATTTATTCTCTTTTACCGATTTTTGGATGATTCTTCCAGTGAGTTCTTTGACCAATTTAAAATCTCTCAGCGGGCTTATGCACATTCCGTCAAAGCAAGACTCGCCCGAGCACTCCAAATTCGTGTGCTTCTTTAGAACTCCACAGTTAACATCGTCCTGAATGTGCTCTTCGGCGCAGGAGAAATGCCCACATCCAAAGCAACTGGTGCATTTTGGCCCGACGATGTAAGGCGGAAAGTTGACAATGGGTGAGTGAGAGTACTCGCAAACCATCATGAGGGGATTTACGGCGAAGCCAGTTTCGTAATTGGTCTTCACGCTGTCCGTTCCGGTGCATTGCGTCAGTCCGCATCCGATTCGGTAGACCTTCCAGTTCACCATCGTGACGTAATGGCCGCATTCTTTATTCGGGGCGCAAGATTTGCTTTCCGAGGATTTTTGACAGATGATTTTCAAGTAAAATTTGGACAAAATTTAAGATATCGAACTTTTGTTCGTCCTCATGCCTGTGATAACTATAATCAGCTCTTTCATCAAACCAGCTTTTCACAGCATAGTCAGCAATGTCCAGCATTTTCGAATTGAAAAGATACCCTCCATCGTTAGGAAAAACCAACAGAAGATTCTCTCCGATTAGTTCGGAAAATGACGAGTGTTTCCGATGAGGATTGTGCTGAAAAATGCATCTGTCCGCATAATTCTGAGCGACCGAAGCTAACTCTTCATCCCAACTGACTCTTCTCAAGTTACTCGCGGCTGGAATCACCTTTGATCTGTAGTAATTCGTTCTGTCGACGATTCTGGCTTTCTGCTCTTCTGTCAGTCCGCTCATCCCTTTTACTTTGGTGAAACCAGTTGAAAGATCGCGACGCAAACGCTCCGTGGAGTGATTAGTGGAACTAGCTGAAAAGATTTTCAAGGAAGCGGAATGCAAAAGTTTATTGACACTGGAAGGAAATCCCCGCTCGAAAAGGACGTCGGGGATGGTGATCTTTTTGGAGCGTAATTATGAGAACGCAAAAAAAATATTTTTCATTGAAATTAAAAAGCATGCTTTTTGTTTTTCTTTTGAAAATTTTGTAAATGATTTTGAAATGCTTTAATCATTTTGTCTTACCCTGAAAAAGATTTGTTGCTGGAGCAAATTTATTTATCTCTAGCGAAAAAACAAAATAGAATAGCTGAAAACCTAGTTTCATATTAAAAGTCTTTCTCTCTTTCCGTTTCTTTATCGAAAGTAGAAATGAATTGCTTCCAGAGTAATTATGCTCAACTAAGGGTACCGCGCGGTCTGGAAACAGCGCCGCCCAAGCCGCGTCAGCTTCTAAGAAAACCGCGATTCATAAAGTTACTTGGCTTTGCTTTAGAGAGCGCAGAGGAGAAGGAAAAATATAATGTAACATTATGTCAAGTTTTATTGAGTTTGCATTTTCAAGCTATTCTTGATCTGGGTAACAGATGACCTCAAAGGGGGCGAAGGTCTTCTTTTCTTCTAAGCTTGGAGGAATACAGTTGCACCAGGGCATTTCGCAAGTGCAGACATCCCAGCAATTTGAGAAATCGAACTTAACAAAAAATTCGTCTCAACTAATTTTTACATCTTCTCACCGAAGCTTCATTTGTGCAAATAACGAACTCAAGGTAGTTTAGTTCACCAGACTCGTAGCCATCTTCACATGCTTTGAGATCTTCCTCGAGAATGGGGGCGCATCTGAAATCAAAATTAAAAAATCAGTCCTCATATTTTGACAAACCGGAGGATGCAGGTTCCATCAGCTTCAACACATCCATCAGCAAGGACGCACTCCTCAAATTCTTGAACGGGTGCTTCCATGCATCGATAGTAGTCCTCAGTTTCCCACTCGAATTCGAACTGGCATTGGATGTCCTTTCTTATCAGATCGACAACGCAGCTCAAGAAGCACTCGTTTGATTTGTTTTCGTTCTCAAGGCTTTAAAATTTGATTCAACGATTATTTGAAAACAATACTTGTTAGCACGTAGTCGTGTCCGAACATCGGGATGAATAAAAACAGAAGCTGATGCAGAAGCGAAAATCGCTACGGAAAGCTTCATGGACCATGAATCATGGTAATTTCTCTGGAAGAGGTCAATGAGACGGACAAAGTTCATAATGGTGCCATAAAAAAGCATTTGCAGTTTTACTCATTAAAATTGGCGGAAATAGTTTATGGAACATTTCGCAATTGCGTAAGTAAGACACACCTTCAGACAGATCTATCAACTTTGGAATGCTTGGGAACTATTTCAGCTGTTGATTTGCATGATCCAAAACGCTTCTCACAAGAATTCAAAGAGAAAAAAAAAACAAAATGAAGGTTTTTGGATCAATTCTTGCCTCTGCTTCTGCCTCGGTCTTCGTTCACCCCCATGTTCATACAAGACTTCAGGCTGCCGGGTACGTGAGTTTTTCGGAATTTTATCCAAACAGTATTATTAGACTTGAAAAAGAAGGCAAGAGTATCGAGTGCTTCTTTACTTGCATGGGCGACTTGATGCGCGCTGATATCAAGTGCAGCTTCGAGTTCGACTATCAATCCGAAGAGTACTACCGATGCATGGAAGGTCCAAACCAAGAGTTTGAAGCGTGCATTCAAGCTGATGGCTGTATTGAAGCCGACGGAACCTGCATTAATCGGTTTGATTCCCACGTTTTAATGTAAAGTGACATTTTTTAGATGCGAGCCAATTCTTCTTGATGACATTGATGCCTGCGAAGAAGGACTTGCTTCTGGCGAGCTTGCATACTTGGACTACGTCATTTGCATGAATACCGCTTCCGTACGACAAATTTGACTAAAATTTTCTTCAAAAGTAATTAAGCTCAACTTTTCTAAATGTTGGGATGACTGCACTTGCGAGATGCCCTGGTGCAACTGTATCCCACCAAGCAAGGCTGAGAAGCTCTCCTGGCTTCCATACGATGTCATCTGCTACCCTGATCCAGAATTCTAATTTTTATTTTGTCAACAGAATCAAAATACATGCTATTATTCAGCTTATAGTTTCCTCTTTTGTCGTGTTTTATGTTTGCGTTGAAAAGCTTCTACCAAATTTTCCATAAGCAAAAGCGTAAATACCTATCGAATTTATGTCATATAGAGTTGACTCTAGAAAATTATTTGTCGTAACTTTTTTTAAAGCCTCAAAATCTTAAAAGAAATGAATCAGATTGTTTTTAGTTTCTCCATCTTATATTTTGATTCTGTTGATTTGATTGATCATCCCTTCTTGAATAAATATATCTCGCTCCTTCTGGGCAGTGTCCAAAATAAAGCGAAATCAGCTTCCAAAATCATGATTTTTCCAAAAAAGATGAAGCTTTTCATATTTTTTATTTTCAATTGCAAAGCGCAGCTAGAAATTGAAGAGAATCTTGTCCCGATGAGTGAGTGGTCGCTTTCTCTGACTACAGAAGAGACACCCTTAAAAACGACGACGGCAGAATTGAGAGAATCGACGATCGAGATTTTTACTGATAAATCATTTGATACAACAACAACAACGAAAACAATTGAAAATGATGTTTTTACGACAATCCAGGTTTTGGCTTGAGATTAAGATTCGAAAATTTAAGGGGACTATCTTTGATAAGACTCCTATCATAAGAGCCTTTTGTAATTTTCAATGTATCCCTTCTCTGAAGCCAAATTTTCGACAACAACAACGAGTACGCCAAAACAAATCGACAATTCCGCAAAACTCATACTCGGAAACATGGTCTACCGCCGCGAACGACTCAAGAATCTCGCAAAAAATCTTTATCAGAAAAATCAAGATCTAAAGAAAGAAATTGAAAGAATCAATATCAAGTTGAATAATACGAAAATCTTCGCTGATGAGAAAGAAAATCTAAGAATCGAGCAAATCCAAAAGCTGGAAAATGATTTGGAAGAAACGAGACAGGATTATTACGAGAAGTTGATTGAAAATGGAGAGCTAGACAGAGAGTTGAGGGTTGCAAAAGGAAGAGTGGAAGCTCTAACTGGAGAAAATTTGAAATTGACGAGGAATATGACTGATTTTCGGTAAGTTATTTCAATAAAATGATCTGTAAGGAGTCTTTACAGATACGCATTCTGAAGTAGCTATCTTATTCTCCAAGTTAGTTTATCTATGGTCAATGAAAGAAATCATTTTCATTGAAAATCATAATAATATAATAATTATCTATTTTATATATTTTCAACTTTCACATGTGCCTTGAAAAGATAAATTAAGTTTCTCTTTTGATAACAGCAGCTCATAGAATTTTTACTTCAGCTCATCGATGAATTCATACAGTCGAGAACGCCAAATCAAAGAGCTCGAACTCAAACGGCTTCTGATGACATGCGAAGAAAATTCGATCTCCCGAGAAAAAGAACTGAACAGCTGGAAGCTTCGAAACGAAAGATTCGAGCAAAACAACCGCGACCTCATCAACCAAAACAAGCTCATTCGTGATCAGATCATTGCCACTACCGATGAGCTCGATCGATGCCGACAGAAAGAGAAGCTTTTTGAAAGAAATTGCAATTGCGAAAGCTTCAGGATTCAAGCAAACTCATGCCAGGTCAAATCTTCGTGGCTGGAAGCTGTCAATCATCAGCAAGAGCTGAATTTCGAGTCGACGAAGCAAAATAAAGGGTCGAAGATATAAAAAGGGAATCTTCTGAAAATTTTTTGTTGAAAATTTTGATAAAATAAGCCTCCTTCCTTGCCGAAATCCTCAAACAGAATTCGCCAACAAGCCGAACGCGAAATCACATCTCTTCAACGACAGCTTAAAATCTATCAAAATCAAGGTAAAAGATCGGAACCATTCTCTATACGAATTTCATAAGAAAAGATAGGCAACGAAGAAACGAAACTGAGCGAGTAGCGACCGAATTTCACCAGTTCAAGATCAAATACCACGAAATCGAGACCAATTTAATTATGGTGCGAGATCTCTTAATCTTTACAAAGCCACTGATTTTCCACCAAAAAATAAGAACGATGTAGAAACGATCGAAGTTACGCATGCCAAAATCGCCGAGAAGCAGCAAATCAATCGAATCAAAATCAGGATGATGTGTTGAAATGTCGGGCGATGCTTGAAGCTCTGAAGAAACAATCAGCTTTGAGGATCCGATCGGTTGAGTTTGAAGCAAAGACTTGGAGGACGAAACATACGGAGGAGTCAGATAGAAACACACAATTACAGTATGAGAAAAAGTAAGCCAAAGTTTGCTTCTCGTTGAAATTAATTATAATTCAGCATTTGCGATGAAAGACTTCTGGGAAAAACAAGTGATTTGAACGCAACCGAATTCGAAAAAGACCGCCTTCAAGATGACCTGTACAAATGCCAAGACGACCGAGATTATGCGGACAAAACTTTTGCGATAAAAGAGTCTGATTTGCGGCATGAAATCTCTGTAGTTTCAGAAAAGTACAACAAAGAAGCTGATCAGCGCGAAAGACTAAGTCGGAAATTGTCGCAGCAACGAAAACGGATTCAAAATGTTTGTTCTGCACTTATTTTCATTTCTTACATGTTTGAAGCTCTCAGCAGCTTGCAATGGAAAAGATCAAGACGATTTACGATCGTGTCCGATTTGCGAGGAAAAATTGCCAAGCCAGACTGAACCAATTCCCGCGGTAGGGACAAGAAGAATTAAAATAATGACAAATTTTTCAAGAAAGTCGAGCTAGAAAAAATCTCCATCGACATGGAACAAGCCACAAAAGATGAAAAATCGCTTGTCCCCGAAACCTCTCCGTAAAATCTCCTTTTCCTGACCGTGACAGTAACCAAGAGCTCTGACTGAAAAATATTTTCAAAATAAACAGCGAAAAACTATTCTGTAGGAATTCTGAGTTCTTGCTATTTGCTTTTGTACTACTGGTAACAAGGTAACAAGGCAAGGGTGTTTGCTTTATGCAAACGTGGAAATTTCGATAGTGCTAATGTAAAAAATTATTGTGGAAACAAGAAAAAAATCAATTCATATTTCGAATGTCAAGGCGGATCTAAAAAGAGAGACAATATAAAATGGGCTGTTCAGAATCTAAAAATATTGTTGAACCCTCCCTTGACGCTGCTCCCGAAGAAAAAGAGAAAACTGCTGCGAAAGAACAAGAGAAAAAGACAGAAATTGTTCCGATCACAAGCAAAAACGCCAAAAGCCAAACAGATGAGCTGCCAGAGAATTTCCCGATTGAGGCAAAAGTAAAAATTGTACAGTCCAAAGATGTTCAAACTCAAGAATCAAGGAATGGAGTTTTGATGCTTTGAGCACTCTCCGGTATTCTACTATAAAGAAAAACCCTATCAAAAGCACTTTTCAAAATTATCCAGTCACTCATTTCACCCCAAACGATTTTCTTCCTTTTGGATATGACCCGAAGGATCACATGATAAATGATGTCGATAAAATACTTCAAGCGGAAGAAAAGACAGTTGTGAATCCCTTTCTTTATGTTGGAACTCTGGAAACTCCGAGATCCTCGATTAATGAAAGCAAAAATGACCAAACGACACAAACTGACGAGCCTTTTATTCTGGAGAGCCAGAATAATGATTCGACGGAAGCACAAATCCTTAAATTAGCTGCACTGAATAAAACGCTCCAAACTCATGACAGCCACAAACACGGAACAATTGATGGCGACTACCAGCTCGCGTTGAAGCTGCAAGAAGAAGACTACAGTCAGCTTGATCGAATGGAAACAAGGGATCTTATTCAAATTTCAAATCCCGGGAGGAGAGATACACCAGAAATTGAGGCTCCTGTTGAAAAGAAAGATCATTATCCATCGCTTGAAGAACCAGCTGGCGTGAGAAAAATGTACTTGGCACAAGGCTTCAAAGACTATCATATTGAAGCGCTTTTTCGTCATAATTTTTACAGGGCGTTTCATCCTGGCACTAAATCTTTAACGTTGAGGTAATTAAAGAGCCATAGTTGTTTTTATTGATTTCTAGCATGATGTTGTGTGATCAAGCTCAAGCGAGTGCCGACCAGCAAGCGGAAATGAATGTTATGGGCCATGTTACTGAAAGAAAAGGAGCCGGGGAAAACCTCCATTTTTGTCATTACGAGTATTATGCGAAATCTCCATCAAAAATGACTGTGGGTGGAACCGACCGCTTTTATGGCGAAGTGACTGATTTTCTGAAAGGATTCAATCATGAAACAAAGATGCCCGATAAAAGCACATTCTTAAAATGGGGTCATTACAGTCAGTTGATTTGGAAAGACACCTTTGAAATGGGGGTCGGATTTGCCAAATTCACGGACCCGATAAAAGCTGGCTACCCAATGATCGTCACTTATCGGTACCGCTCTCACGGAAATTTCAATGACCAATATCCAACGAAATGCTCATTGCCGCAAAAATCTCTTTCTGAAATCAAAGAGATAATTAACCAGTGGCAAGAAAGAAGAGTTAATGCAATTATTGATGACGAAGAAGCGCTTGACTCGAAATTCAGAAGACATGGTATTCAGGAATGGCAAATTGACGCGTGGAGACATTTCAATGGCATACGATACAGTCAAGGTCTACCACCTGGTGATTATAAATTTCAAATTTGGAATATTTAATTATTTTTAGTCATGCTTGATGTTGATCTTTGTGTTCAATGCTGCACAAATGATGGAAAAGGATATTGGTCAATGTGGACGACGGCTTCTTTAGAGGGGAAAAGCTTGGATCGATTCGTTCAAGGTTGATTATATTACTACTATTATTTTATTGTTAAAAATATTCCTTACCAAAGATTACTTTACGAACCAGGCGAAAGAAATCTTCAAACAAGAGGCCGACTTGGCTTTCACTTCCTTTGGGCTTGCTGTTGAAATTCAACCAAGAAAAACAGAACTAAGATGTCGTTTCAGTAACTAATTTTTATAATGAATAAATGTTAGTTTTACAAGTTTTTGTTGATTACAACGCTTACTCGAAAGCTTGAAAATGCCACTTGCGATCACGTGAAATCTTAGTAAGATACTTGTCAGCTTGAACAACAGCACAAATCCGAGTAATCATGCCGGCTTTTATCGTGACTACAACGGCAGGTTTACTACGCAGCCATTTTAGGAGAAGATCACTTCTCCTTGCTGTCAATTCTTAGCGGTTGTCAGTAATTCTGTCAGGTATTCATGGTTAACCAACAATTATTGAGAGAATATAGTCTGCATTTTATAGATAAAGAAATGGTCACAAATTCTGACTACAAAAATACGTATTCTCATTCATCGGAGAATCAATATTTTTTTGTGAAATTGAACAGATGAAATAATTTTCTGTTCTCTGATGAGTAGAACATAGAGAGGGGTTATCATTCGAGCCTTTGATTCGAACCATCCAATATCTCTAGAATCGTGTTTAGTGAGTAGGGTAAGGAACTGGGAACTCTTAAAAGAGGTCTGGGGGGTTTCGCCCCTCGAGTTAGGTTTAGGGTAAGGGTTAGAGGCAGCTCGAATGATAACCCCTTACTACCGAATAGAACCTATTGGTGGATTCGCAAAATATGTAAAAGCAATTGACAATGTACATTTTATTATGATTATTTGTACAGAGAATATAAAACAGAGATATGTTCAATTTTGTCAATGGAACGATTTTTGGCAAGAACATGCATCTATGAAATCCACTCCGATCAAGTTTCCAAGATTATTGGCTAAGTAGACTCGGTGAATTTCGGTCGGCAAGCATGGTTTCTTACAGTATGATTTGTTGTAGAAACTAAATTGGAATACTCAAATTGCTGCAAAACATAAGAAAAGAAGAGCTTACATTCCAGATTCACGAACAGGCTTCCAGTGAACTCTGCATTTGCCACAAGATCGCAAGATTGCACCTTCGTTGAAATTAATAGTTAAAAAGAAAATGAATAAAATTCTCATTTTATAATTCATGAATGATTTAAGTAAGAGAAGAACATCAAGTTTCCTTTTATACTGATAAAAACCACGGAGACCGCCAGCGCCCTCCCGTATCAAGATGACATCGACGTAAAAATACGGGATATCTCACGTTATCCGACCTTTACTCATGCGCTGCTAACTTTGGACAGAAAATGAACCTTTGCAGCTTTCTTGGGAGTTTTCAGTTTCGGACAACACTATCGGCGGCAACAAGATTTTCTACGAAAATAATGTCCTATTTTTTGTCACATATTGGGTCACATTTCGGAAGAAAATTTGAATCATTCAAAATTACCCCTATTTTGTGCAAAACGGGCTTCCTTTGAAGTCGGCGGGAGGGTTAACTAGAGTACTAATCAAAATCGGGCTTTCAGAGGCATCACAGAAAGGTTTAAACTTTCTTTTGACATATAAGGAATCTTGAACAACCAAAGTAAAGGTACCTATACCGGGAACAAAAGTTGGCTAAAAATCGTTGTTGACACCCTTAATTCACATTTTTGCTTCTTGATTTTCAATTTACATTTCAATTTGAAAGGGGCGACTTTCTAGAAGTAAGACTTTCTGGAATATTAGATTTTCTGGAATTCCAGAAAATCGCCTTTTCCAGAAAATCTAACTTCCAGAAAATCGCCTCTCTCAGATTCTAAAAATAGGAACTGAGATTTCTTTTTTTAGATTTTTTGTACTGTGGGCAGATTTGATAATCCCGAGAATTATGACTGATAGTCGTAAAATTTTCCTGGAGGAAATAATCCTGGAAAATTGGCACCCATTAGGACTCTGATCGCAGGTGACATCATGACGAATACAGACCGATTGTAACGTAAGAGTTACGTCGTAGCGGACATTTTGACGTTGTACGTAAGAGCTTCATTCTAACATTTCCGAAACGACCGGAAGGGCACTTTAAGAAGTCAGGCTAATCAAGTTGACTTTTAACTTCCCTTTAGCACATATCTATGTCTACAAATGTACGTCAAAAAGGATAGTAAAGACCTCGTTTGGTGGGGTGAATCGCGAATGACTCAAGTTTTAATATTCATGCATCCATATAAAGAATAATATCATAGACTAGCCGACGGTATTCAGCTCTTAAAGAATACATTTATGACCAGAAACGAGTGGAGGACTCTCGCCCAAGTGGACTCTCGCCCAAGTTGGGCGAGAGTCCTTTTGGGCAAGAGTCCATGTGGAAATTTTCAACAATGAGAAACATTTCGATCTAGTGGGTTTATGCAGAATTTTTATTCTCGTTCATGACTCAAGGATCCATGAGTCAAGAGGTTGACAGGAACAGTATTTACAGTATCTAAAAAAGAGTTACAAGTCCCTGAAACTAAGCATAAGCTGAGATTTTTGAAATTCTCTATATGAAGATTCATTGGAAAGATGACTAGCCTCTACCCTATAGAGAAATTTTGGTCTCTATTTCATTTTAATTAAGTAAATACGAAACATATGACACAACTTATCCTCCTTTAAAGCGCCTTGCGCCTCATAATTGAGGGCGCCCCCGGTCATTTTACGCCCTATAAATACGGACTATCACCGTTCTATAATCACAGAACAACAAAAAGTTCAATAACAAAAAAATGCTTGTTTCGAATATTGTCGGACTTTCAGCCACAACTCTTGCCGCCAGTTTGGGCAGCCAATGCAACTCCTGCCAAGTTCAGTACCAAGCTAAAATCGACCATGGAATGTAAGTCGCTTTCATATCTCTTGGACTTTGGTTTAATTTCTTCATTTCAGGATGTACATACAGTCTTACTGTGCCTACCCATGCTCTACGCAGCAATCTCACACGGAATTCTACATGGTCAACTTTGAACTCGTCCCGGTAGATGTCATTGACAGCTGCGCATGTCAGCTTCTTTGAATTCCTTTTTTTGTAATTTTCTTTACTGTCAAACTGATATCTGTACAGACCAAAATAAAAACCGTCCATTTCTTAATACGATCATTCTTCTACGACCAGGCTCTTCAATATCTGATTTTCTCCCGATAAAAGAGTTCGTTTTCTCAGATAATGAGGAATGACGATAATTTCGGGCATTAAATTTCCTTCGGGCATGACCCGGTTATTTTTGGGTGTCCATTGTCTTCTGATAAATGCTCAATTAGATGAATCGTTTTGTCATTTATTTTCTAAGATGGCTTTTAACTGCTTCCTCGTGACGTTACCTCAGGAGAATTTTCAATACAAACGCAACATTTTATTCAAGCAACAAGTTAACAATCAGTATTTGAGACATAAAATTGAAAGATTCTAGAGTTGTTCAGCTTCAACAGCGTCCATCATATCTTCAAAGACTTGCAAGAGCAGTTTTCTGAACTCGTAAACATCCGCTCCCTCGTCCTTAAAAAAAGTATCATCGTTGTTGATTTCAAGATTTCAAGAAAGATACCTTGAATCCGGAGATGGAGACACCAAGCCAATCGGGATAAACGATGTAGCCGAGTCCGAAGCCGCCTTCAAAGAGAGATTACAGATAAAAGATATGTTTTAATTGCTTTCTAAAGTACAAATTGAGTGGAAAGAATTTCGATTTTAATCTTCTTGAGAGCAATTTTTATGGAGCTAATCCGATCTTGATATGACAAGGCATACTAAAACGGAGAAACAACTTGGTCATATTGCGCTACTAAATTTATGTATAATTCAGAAAGATGCTTTCTTTTCTGTCAAAAAATCTGACCTGGTACAACAGGGGCAAATGCTCCCAACGAGACAGCGTCCGAGTTCAACGTCGAGGTCGAAAGTGGAAATTCGAAGAGGCCTTGGAAAGTTTCTGTGTTGAAAACATCGTGTTCGGTAAGAGAATTTTTCTTTGCCTGTTTTATGTGTTCAATTCACGGGCTCACTGGGAAAGTGTTAATCCAGATAGTAAACGAGTCAAAATTTTGAAGGAGGATAGATATTTAATGTCAAGGTTTTGGGAGAGAGAATTTTTTCTCCGAAAATAACGCAAAGGTGGAAAAAATGGTAAAAAAGCTGTCTTTTGAACTACGCCCCGAACCAAGGGGCTATTCAAAGGAAAATATATTGAACAGTTCCTGATGCCTCATTCCAAAAATATGTCTGTCCCATCCATTTCCACCGAGGCATTCTTTTGTTTGCTAAAAATTTTACTATCTACGAGAATATCTAATGACTTAATTACTTTATTATGTCTTTTGATCGCAGCTCTGATCGCAGCAGCAAATTTCTTCTTGTTTTCAACCTTGCTCATGTCTTCCTAAATTATACTTTGATCAAGCTTATCTCGTAATATAATGATAATATAATATTATCAGCGTACATGAATGTAAATTCTAGCAGCAGCTTGGCCCTCTGCGGTGCATGGACGAATACATTCGGTTCGTCCATGCTTGAATGAGGATAATGATGCGGATTCATATGCTTATTGCGGGCTTTTATTGTGTATGTCCGCAATAAAGATCAAAGTCTTGCTTTAATTTCATTGTAGAGAATCTCATACTTCTACCAGGTAGGTATGTTCTAGTGTCATCATACATCTCCGAAAAAATAGACACCATATTCCGTATTCTTGTAAGACAAACATTTTCTTCATATAATATTCCACAAAAATAGACACTCTTTTCTTTTTATAAACAAAATGTAGAGTACGAATAATCCTCGAATTTGAATAATTAAAAGAAATAATCAGAAAATTGTTGAATCAAAATTTCGAAACTTTTGGCCCGGTTCCTGACACAGGATGACCGTAATACTTTGTCCCAGTGATCATCAGCCCCAGTTGGCAGAAACCGTCTGCTCCTAGCTTTTTGCTCAACATCCAGTTTCGGTTGAGTGGATGGCTGAAGATATCCTTCGTTTCCTGCGCCTCTAGAATTTGGCGATAATGAGAAAGATGAAGAGAGAAGAGTACCCTGGTCGTAGTAGAACTCATTCATCGCAGCAGGAGCCTTGCCAAGTGGCATGACGCAGCATTGAAGTCGATTCCATCTTTCATCATGCGCCGCTTGAGCTTCGTCGATTCGACTTTTGATTTCATCGTTGAGCTTGAACTCGATTTCAACCGCTTTCGACACCTTGTCGGTTTTGAAATCCCGGTTCAAAATGCAAGTTTTATCAGCAAGTGTTTCTTCGATATAATGATTGATCTTGTTCATGTAGCTGAGAACAGCTGCTCCATCGCCCCAGGCGTGTTCGAAATTGACGCCAGGAAGGGCACACTTGCCCATGACAATTTGGATGGATTTGTCGTGCCAGCGATTCTTAGCTTTTCAATGGTTTTAGACAGGTTATTTCTGGAAAAGTCTTGCTTTTGGGGTCGTTTCTGATTCAATGAATAGACAACTTTGATAACACGATTTGATCAGAGAGACATGAAGACGACATGAAATAAGTTCTAAAGAACTCGCGTCGAGAAATTTTTCGAAAAGGATAAAAATATGATGAAAGACTTGGATCATAACATCAAACTGAGAATTTACCAAAGCAACACAGTCTTAACCATTTCCTGGGCCACTGTAAGTCTCCGAACAACACTCCCCAGCATCGTTGTAGGCATAATTGTCAAGCGTAAAGCAAACCATACTGTGATCCACTGCATCCAGCGCCTCTTGATTTCCATTTTCAACGAGCATTTGCCGCGTTTCTGCCCAAAAATCTCGCTCAGCAGAAGAAAGCGGGCAAATGGAGTCTTGATTGAATCCGCGGGCGTCGCCATCAGCTTGGATTGCCGCGAAATCAGCGAAAATGTCCTCCTGTGATTTTACGTTCCAGTTCGAGTCGAAGAGGTCGATTTTGTAAAAGCGACCACAGTAGAGGACTGTTGCATGGCGAGTTTCGAGGGGACCGCGTTGGATACGATCGATGTCCTTTTCTGGAATTCGGGTGCTGAACATGATGTTTTTGTACTTTTTTCGAGCATTTCAAATCGAGAAGCCGCTTGCGGCTTCGAGTTTTATTCAAAAAAAGCCGCGCGAAGCGCGGCTCAATATTTTTCTTTCTTGAATCCCTTTTTTAGATATCTCTTTTATGATGCTAATTTCCAATTTGTTTTAGCTCTTTCCTGAGACATGTCAATCGGAAAGCTCATATTCATCGCATATGGCAAATATTTCATGCTTTGGTTCTCGATTCCCTTCGATTTCCAAGAAATTCTTGTGCTTGGAAGCCATCTGGCGAGAAAATCAGCTTTCGGACTTGGCTTGCCTTTCATATGAAAAACGTCAGGCTCGAGAAGGTGGTCTTTGAGAGTGAGGTAGAATTTTGCCGAAGCCCAGGCGATTTGAGCAGCGCGCTGGAATTGAAAGGGTCGGAATGGTGGGGTCTAAAATGAAGTAACGACTGTAGTTCTTCGTTAAGATAGATACCTGTCCCGCGTCAGTCAAAACGACAGTAGGATTGTAGTTCATCGGAAGAGGTCTCCTGTCACGAAGGTACATTTCTGTCCATGGTTTATTCAAAAAATTAGAATTTTTGAAATTCTGCTCGTCATCGTCTCGTAAAAGCTGGTCAAGTTTAGGTCCCTCGGAGGCGACAAAATCGGCCCAGAGCTTTTCGAAATTTGCGATTTTTTCAGCAGTGAATTTTGGATGACCTTCAAGAGCTTTTACTGCCTCTCGGATTTTCTTGTCAGTCTGCGCTAGGGGTGGAATGGCCATGCGCGGGAGTGAGTCTTGGAAATGAAATGTTGGCAGCTTGGCATTTTGAATGTGCTTCTCTGGGTCGTACTTTGGTCTGAGAGACCTTTCTGTGCTTGAGAAATTTCTCGAATGGACAATCGTTCTCCTCATTTTCGCTCTCTAGAAATTCGAAAAAAAATCGAAAAAGTTGAGGTGTTTATTGAAAGAATCCGTAATCAATTTGTAGATTTTGTAAAATATTGACACAACCGGGCAAAGTCCAAATATGGCGTGCCTTGGAATTTGGTGACTTTTTTTTCTTTTTATTCGACCTTCACCCCGGCTGCAAGGTCTCTGTGCAAGGTTCTTTTTGACCGAAAATTATGATTGATGATGACAAAGTTCAGTTTTTGAACCCGCATAATCGTTTGTTTTTGATATCCCTGAATGAATGCAGGAATATTTTTATTGCAAATTATGCAAAACTTTTCTGGTTGGGCGATTTTATGACTGCTTATGCACATTATTCTAGGCAGACATATTCATTTGAACTTTCTACTTCCTACGAGAATTTAAGGCTCTTATTGATAGATTCTTTATTTATGTAAAATGTCTTCGAGATGCTGCGGAAATCCACATTAATCCTTTTACAGCATCGTTCGTTCGAGACATGCATGCTGCCAATTATGATAAGCTCTATTATAAAAGATTATAAAGGCTGATACGCCGCCAGCGGAGAATATAAAATGAGAATAATCTAACACGCTTCCTTTGGTGAATGTTCCATACGCAGAGAACCCTCGTGTCAAGTCGTCAATTTTGATGAGATGCAATACTTTTCCACGGCCATCATGGTGGTTTTTATGAAAGCGAATAAATTTTCTTCTTTAGGCCTCCTTAGACCTCATTATATGATTTTGAAAAGGGAATAAAGAGGAAAAAATTATTCAAAAAAGTGATTTGGCTAACCATCATGGTCGATTCAACTGAAGCATTTTCTAGAGCTCGTCGAACTTTTTACGTGAGTTTTGCTCGTTGACGATGATAATTGATTTTTCTAGTTTTACGACGGACTTGGGAAGATGTTCAATAACATAAGAATGAATGAAGTTGAAAAGGCAAGTCGGCCTTGAAAAAAATGAGAGACGGTCATAATCGCAAATTGCAAAAAATATGACATTATCTTCCAACCTAAAAGCGCTGTCCACAATCGGATAATAACCCTATCAAGAAAAGATCTAATGCACCGTCAAAACAGTCACTGAGAAATTATTGACGTCAGCAAATATGTCTCTAACAAACTATACAACATTCTCCGATTATGCGAATTATACTTTAGTCCTACCAACCAAGCTACAAGCATGCAGCTCACACTTCAACCTTCAACCGAGCTCAGATGAATCCCGATTTTCCTCGCCAAAGTATCTCGAAGAAAAAATGGAACTCGCAAAATCTACGAGTTCAAAATCTAAGAGCTCTGAAATAATTTATTTTATTTCAATAAAATAATAATACGATAATCGTTTTTATTCATCAATCAAATAAAAATTTACGAAATAATGATTTGACCGGCTTAATCGAATCTAATGTAAGAATTACATATTGATGTTAATAAAATCAATCAAGAGTTTAATCCGATAATGAAAGAAAGATATCGGTGGATCGGCCAATTAGTCAATCAAAAATGAAGCTCATTCAACCGACGAGTCTACTTTCTTTCTAAAATACAGTTTCCCTCATAGGATCACTCAAATGTCCCCTTTTTCTGATCCAATTACTATCGAAGTAAAATAACGAAATCATCAATAAATGCTGCTTTCGTTCATTTTCGCAGATCAAGAAGATTTCGTTAAAGCTGCTTATCAATTTTCAATTTTCAAGAGGGAAAATATGACTCCTCAGTTTTTCACAGAGAGGTACTGTTACTGTACGAGATGAAAAGAAAAATTGATTCTAGCGAGCTTTGGAACGCAAGTGTCGACTTGCAGTTTCAGATCACGATGGAAGGTCTGATACAATCGATAAGTACGGTTTTTTGAGCGTGGCTGAAGGCTGAAACTTTTTTAGTTACATTTTTGGTATCGGTTATTTCATCCTTGTGCCTGTCGCTTTTGATTATGTGCAGATTCAATACAAAGATGTTTTTCAATATTCTCAGGATATGAGTAACATAAAACAACATAAAACGGGGTGGTGTCTGGAATCGACAAAAAATCCCGACAAAAATTTTCAAAAAAAAGACACTTCAGAAAAAAAACTCTAAAAATTTTTTTGGGAAATTTTTTTTCTTAAAACTATGCAGAATTGGCTTTTTAGGCCACAATTGACATTTCTATGCAGTTTTGAGGAATTTACGTTAGCCAAGCAGATAATGGTGCGCCATTGAAATATACATGAAAAAAATGAAAATTTTTGTCGGAATTTTTTGTCGGTTCCAGACACCTCCCCCATAAAAGAGCAATCATTGATTACTAGTCGATGGTTATACTGATGTTCTAAAATCAAAACTCATCAAAAAGATACATCATTCTCCGGAAAAAGGAGCAGCTTCACAAAACCGACTCCATTTCCCGCCGGTAGTTTCACCTTCGCTGCAGGGCTTCGCGAGAAAGGTCAAGAATCTAAGTCCGTTCTTTTGTTTCTCCTCCAAGCTCCGCACCGCGCTGCGTTAAATTGCGTTTGTTAGTTTTTATGACTCAAAATACCAACATGAATTTTTCCCTCAATTAAAGAAAGCCCATTTTACTTATTATCTTCGTTTCTTTGCTTTTTGGAAATAAAAAGAAGGCACCGAAAAGGCGCGGAATCGTGCCCCGGGCTAGAACTCTATAAAAGCCAGGAAAAAAAACGAGAAACACAATTACGAGAGAAAATTTCGCGTTTACACTCCGATGCACCTCAGAAGCCTCTAACGACTTGTTAAAACAACAGTGATTAGAGAGAGAAACACACGAAATTAGCGAAGGAAAATTAATCGAAGAGTGAAAATGGCGTCAGATAAATCAGTGATTACTTGGATATTTATTTCCGTACTTGTGGATTTATTGGGATTTACGGTTATTTTGCCGCTTTTTCCTGCTTTATTGGAGAGGATGAAAGATTTTTTGGGATGAACACCATTTTAATTAGTTTATCATAAATTTAAAGATAGGTTCATGAATTGATTCGTACGGATATTTCACATATTCTTTTATTTTAACAGAGGCTGCGGTACTTTGAAACAAAAAATTGAGAAAACGAGTATTTAGAATCTTTTGATCGAATTTCCAAATATTATGACTTCAAAATCAACGACAAAATTGAAAGTCAAGAGTTTTGTTTCCACTCCTCACAAAACCAGAATATCATTAATTCTGCGGTTTGTTTATATGATAACATGACTCCGAAAAATGCCTTACCATTTCCAGTATAATTGCGATAATAGTAATGCCGATAAAACATGTTAAAAAAAGATGGTTGACATTTCATCAGACCGTGAATACAACATTTGTTCAATTTCCATAATTTTCTATCATTTCAGACAGTTAGGGTATTCTCTCAAATGGAAACTAAATAATAGGTTAATCGATTGTTATACAACAAATTGATCTTCTTTCATCTTGAAAAAGGATTACTATGCAAAGTCTGAAAACGACCAACTCTACAACACGGTTCTCAGCTGGGTCGAGTCTTTCAGAAGTCTTCTTAGAATTCCAGTAGAGGAGCCTGTTACTTCAGTTTTGTTTGGGGGTCTTCTGGGAGCGCTATTTTCATTTTTGCAGTATGTTAATGCGCCTTTACTTGGCGCATTATCAGACAAATATGGGAAAGGGTCAATTTCTCAAAAACAAGATAATGAAAGTAAATCTTCGACCCAAATAAAGACGAAAACGAATCATCATCCTCTCACTCTTCGGCTCATCTTTCGCCTGTTGGATGTGGTCAGGAGCAAACACTTTCGCCTGCTTCGTTGCTGCACGAATCGTCGCTGGCATCTCAGAAGGCAACATCTCCATCTGCATGGCCGCTTTGGCAGATCTTGAGGACAAGAAAGCCAAGAGTCGAGGAATGGCGATGGTCGGTGTCGCCTATTCGATTGGCTTCACTGTCGGCCCATTTGTTGGCGCGTACATGTCCAGCTTGCTCAAGGCCGATCAAGAATTCTTCGCGATTCCGGCGTATTTTGCCCTTGCGATGTGCCTGCTAGACATCGTCATCGTCTACTTGTTCCTTCCAGAAACACTGCCGGAAGAAAAACGAGCGTCTTCGCTTTATCTCAGCTGGCGAGAAGGACTTGATCTTATCAATCCAAAGAAGATGTTTGCATTCCGAGCGGTAGAAATGAGCTCGCACGATAGATGTTGTGTTTCAATTATTGGACTGGCATACTTTCTTTACCTTTTCTTTTTCTCAGGTAGAGCGATTTCGTTGAAAATCTTATTTTGAAACTCTAAGCTTCTTCTCAATGGTCTTTTAGCTGGTTAAGGTTAAATTTCAAATCATTGAGGTTATAAAAATACCAATTCGTCGTTATTTGAACAATTTTCTGGTGTCTGCGTCATGCAATCTCTAGAAAAACTTCTTGAGTCTTCCACAAGTCGGACCTTTTCAAGCATGTGCTTATTTTAAAATATCAATGAAACAGGTTATCAAATATCTTTTTCTCTGAAATATATTTTCAGGACTTGAATTCACCCTCACCTTTTTAACCCACAACCGATTCGGCTTCACCCGCATGGATCAAGGAAAGATGTTTGCCGTTCTCGGAGTCATTATGACCCTCGTCCAAGGTACTTAGAACATCATTAGAATCCTAGCATTCAAAACTTCTTTCCAGGTGGATATATTCGCCGCGCCATGATCGGCCGTGAAATCGCAATCGCCAAAAGATCGATTTGCGTGTTGATCGTTGGTTTTGTCGTGATCGGTTTTGCAACGGAAGCTTGGGTTCTTTACGCTGGTTTGGTGCCGTTTGCGTATGCAGCAGCTTCGGTCGTGCCCTGCCTTTCTTCAGCTGTGTCCAATTATGGCGGCATTTCGGAGAAAGGAACGGATAATTACTTTTTCAAAAAATTGGCTCGATGAAATATTTGAAGGTCAAAATTGATGCTTGACTTTTGAAAAGACCCCTTTTTATCAAGAAAAATCCTCTCAAAAGGTCGAGTTATGGGAACCCTTCGATCTCTAGGAGCCCTTGCTCGAGCAACTGGACCATGTTTCGCTTCAGTTCTCTACTGGCTCCTGGGATCAAGATTTGCCTATGTTCTTGGAGGATTACTTTTGTTACTACCGCTGAAAGTGCTGAAGATTCTGAACAAGGTGCTAGCTAAACATGCCAAAGAAAATTAATTTATACCTGTTTATTCCTCTGTAGCCGAGAAGATACTAGAAGTTTTAAATAAAATGACAGAACTTGAACCTGACGACGCCTCTTTTCTAAAAAGAAAACTAACGCGAGAATTTTAACTTGAAACCCTCGCGCTGTATTTTTATCTCATACAATTTGCCTTTTAAAGACCCAAAACGGTATCAATAACAGTTAGATCCCCTACTGATTAGGCAATCCGATTGAGAACCGCAAGTATAAAAGCACTCGAGAGTTCATTTACAAGCAAAAAAAATCTTCGAAAAAAAGCGCGATGAAAATTTTCGCAGGACTCATTATTGCCATCAAAGCCGACGAAAAGATTCTTGGAGAGCTTATCAATAATTTTTGTGGGTTTGACCTACATGACTTCTATGATACAGCTGGACTTGCTATTGAATACCGGTACGAGAATATTTCGAGTCTGAAACTGGGTTCGCCAACCTGTTTAGAAAAGCTGAGTAAGAGACAGAATGATCACTTTTTAAAGGCAGCGTAGAAGGAGCTTTTCAACTTATATCTTTCAGGCTCTGACTCAGCTTTTCTACAGAGGTTGCCGAGCCTAAGTCAGACTTAGTAGGTCTGACATAAACGAAACACTCAACCAAAAACTTAGAGTGAGTCCCCGGAAAACCTGGGGTGGGGAAGAAGGTGGCAAGTCGAAATGGAAATGGACTGAGGTTCATGATCCTTACAATGGCACCAGTAAGAAGACAACGGGAAGATATGGTAAAAGTAAAGCCAAAGGCCCGTCCCACTGGAGAGAGTCTCCGAGAGACGTTGTCCGAGTGAACTGTGTTACAAGCCGTGGCGGGACTGACCATGAGAACTTAATGCCACTCGGCGGAAACCCAACCAAAAAGATGGCTCCAATGATCAAGTGCACTAAAAAGGGACTGAACGGCACCCCAAAGCTCAAGCCTAACTCTCGAAGATGGAGAGGAAACAAAATCCTTGACTGGTTTCAAAGAAACTGCGCCTAACTTGTTTTTCATATTTTTTAAATAAATCTAATACCAGAAACAAACAGATTACAAATTTCTTTTTACATCTACTTCGATTTGAATTGAAGACTCTCTCTTCCAGCGCGCGCTCTTCATCCATAGGGGAGGACTTTCTCTCGCGCTCTCCTTATTCTCCCACGAGAAAGTAAATGTATCTGAGCGAAGAAAATGATAAAAAAGCGGAGAAAATGAAGAGAAAAAGATGAGAATATTTAACTTGAAATTTATGAAATGATTTCCTGAGGATAAAATCCGAGTTTTCTACCCCAATGTTAAATTTCTGTTTTATTATTTATGATAAAAGCTACTAAATATTCGATAGAACTGTATATTCTGTAAAATGACAAAACCTTACTAAAAATATATATCTTATTTCTAATCTGCGCTGTTAGTTTTCTTGTTTAAATGAAAATATTTATAATAAAATAGTCAGGAATAGTTTTAACGAATTTTATCAATTCACAATACGCTAGAATGAACCGAGTCGCGATTCTTTGCGCGGCCGGGCATGGGCGACTTCTGCTGCCTTCGAATTCGGTTAGACAATTACAATTCGGACTTTGGTGGAACAACGATGCCGGCTGGTTCCGTCGCATTCGTGGACAAGGCGTTCGCCAAGAAAAGATCTACGACCATCTTTCCTTTGAAGACAGAGCTGACATCAAACGGCAGTATCCGTTCTTGTACAAATTTATTCTCAGAAGAATGCGGGATCAAGCAAGAGGGAGGAAGTATTTTCCTATTTTTCCGGACATTCTCTTTTATCTCAAGGAAAGGATAGATTCGCTTATTAGAAATGTCAACCCTTTTTCAAATGAACGACTTCTATCACCTCTCAGTTCTTCCTCCTGTACCCAACTCTAATGTACATGGCCTTCACCTACTGGGGACAGGGCCGAGAGCGAGCCACGACTTTTCGCGACACCCTGACCCGAGATTTGGAAGTAGAGAAGACCTTCTACACGGAAACGACGCTCTCAACTATCATGAAGAAAACAAAGAGCGTTTACTATCAGTTCTTGAACGTTCTGGGTCTTGATCCGTTGAAATTTGCAGAAAGAGACGTTAAAGATGTGACACTAGAGGATTTTATCGAAGGAAGAACGGAATATATTGAAGAAAGAAACAGAGATACGACTTCGTTCTTGTCGATTTTCGAGCCTGGTCGAGCGGTTTTGACATCTGATGGAACTGGTAAGCGTAAAAAACAAGCATCTCATCTATCGTTTTAGAGCATTTTGGCCTGACCGCTTACTCAAAGCTTCCCCTACGATTGCTTTCAAAAGCATTCGGCGTCTTAGGAAACACCCCCGTCCCGGTTTTTCTTCGAAAACCAATTTACGGTGCGTATTCAAGCGCTTTTGGCGTGAATATCGAAGAAGCCGTCGAGTCAGATCTTCGCTTCTACCCTTCTCTGAACAGTTTCTTTCGCAGAGCGATCAAGCAAGAAGTCAGACCAATCGATATGGACCCCAAAGTTGTTGTTTCTCCTGCAGGTTTGTCCTTCTTTACAGCAAATTCTAACGATTTCTTTTTAGACGGAAAAGTTCTCCATTTCGGAAAATGCAAAAACGGTCTGATAGAGCAAGTAAAAGGCGTTGATTACTCGCTGAAGCGATTTTTCGGACGCTGGGAAGAAACTGGCTTTACTCTTTCAAAAACAACTGATGCTCAATTCGCGCAAAATCTAAAAGTCCATCCAGAAAACGAGCTCTTTCAAATCGTCATTTACCTAGCTCCTGGAGACTATCATCGCTTTCACTCGCCCGCCGATTTTACCATTACTTCCAGAAGACATTATCCAGGAGGTAAAACACTTAGACGTCCCCTTCTTCTATTGTTTGAATTCAGATCTTTTCTCCGTCAATCCGAAACTAGCTGCTTTTATGCGCGATTTATTCGTCCTAAACGAGCGAGCCACATTCTTCGGCGAGTGGGCTCACGGATTTATGTCCTACTGCGCTGTTGGTGCTACAAATGTCGGTAGCATCATCTTCCACTACGATCCAGACATGGTGACGAATATTAACTCAGGGAGAATTTTGTACGGAGCGCATGCGGACAAAGATTTTACGCTCATAGATCCGCGACTCCCTGATGGTTTACCCGTCGAAAAAGGTTTGTGAAGAAAACTACTTCTTATTTATGAGAAACCGTTATTTCATCCAAATCTAGGTGAAATGCTGGGCGAGTTCAATCTCGGCTCTACAATCGTTCTCGTCTTCGAAGCTCCAAAATCCTTTGAATTCAACGTCAGCCCTGGCGACAAGGTCCTTCTCGGTCAGAAAATCGGCGAAATCCTCAAACCAAAGAAATAAAAAGATGAAAATATAACTGTGCAAATCTACTTCAAGCCTTCTTCGAACAAGTTCAAGAACTATCTCTTCTCTCCCTTCTGTATTTATCATCACAAATCTAGCCTATTTTAATTTAAAAATGATTCGGAAAATAAGAATTCAGAAAGAAAGAATGAAAGACATAAAAATCCGTCGCCTTGATATCAAACAAGAAAAGCTGGATGAACAGCTTCTTTCACGTCTTGTTGAAGAGGGGCAGCCAGTGATTCTCGAAAATACAGCGGGGCTGGATATGACAGAGAACTGGACGCTCGATGAACTTTGCGAAAAGATGAAAGATACTTCCTTATCAATTCATAAAGGAGGCGATTTGACTCTGGATTTCAGAACAAAGGTATTGTCTTCAATAGACACAATCACAGGGTTGTCTTTATAGTTAGCTGCTTGTATCTTCCTTCAAAAGTGCGGAATCACAGTCAGTTTAAATACAGCTCTGATTTTTGTTTGCTTCGTACAGGATATCGTGGCATTCCTTCCAATATTTCCTTCCAAACCAGGGTTCGGTAATTTGAGCTCAAGCTAAAACTCATTTTGGCTAGACGCTCAAATTTCCTCAAATTGAGAACTCAAAATGGCTTGAGAAATCATTTTGAGAAGATTTGAGAGTTTTGAGAGTTTTGAGTTTTTGGGAGATTTGAGAGTTTTGAGTTTTCAAAACTCAAAATAAGCGAGCGCTTCCTTGATTGGCTCATGGATCGCCAGAATTGATTTTTCATCTCTGAGTTCTCAAAACTCAAATTAAAAAACATGAGTCTCAAGCTTTGTTTCCTTGAGTTTTAGCGTGAGCTCAAATTACCGAACCCTGTTCCAAACGTAAACGGGTCTTTTCGAAGCAGTTGGAATCTTCACAGAGAACCGACGTTTGTGGGCAATATATAGCTTGCAAGTCACTTGCTGACCTGAACTTAGAATAAAAACTAGGTACAGTAGATACAGATGAGTCTGCTATCACCGTTATATAGTGTAATTAAATGAGTAAGTGGTTAAGCTATAGTTCCTCGGCTACGTACGAGGTGAGTAGTTGTTTGAGTCTACAGAGCTTGTAATCATTTTAAGAGTACAGTCCAAATGTGTAGTTTTTCATCGCTTGTTCAAATTCAAAAAATTTCTGATTTTCTTTTATATTGAAAGAAATGTTCACAAAAGGAAATTCTGGCGTGAAATTGCCTCTACTAGGCATAGAAGTAGTAGCCCATTCAGGCCGCCGTCCTAGAAGTAGACCAGAAGGTGTCGTCACTCCATCATGAAGTGTGATTTCCCACTTTGAGTTCTGAGTCTTCTGACTAGAACAATTTTCAGATGACTTTAGTTTCGAGGCGAAATTTTGGACCAATCTTACCATATTCGACCGGCTTTGGTCATATTCTCGCTCTTGACAAATTGAACTTCGAAAAAATACTTAATAATTTCCACGTCGAAGTCGCAAGGAATAGAAGAGGAATAGAAAATAGTATAAAATATAAACTAAATAATAGTCAATCATTGTTTGAGCCGATTTTACCTCGTCCAAAGAATTGTAAAAACGAGGCTCGCCCCGATCTTTATACCAAAAGTCCTTCATATTTTCGCTAAAATTGATACGCTCGTTCGTTCCGTTTTTCAAAAGGCACCCCGTTTCTTTTATTATGTACATTTCAACTGGCTCAACTTCATTTGTTTTCTTCGATTTTTGGGTAAAAGCATGGACGGTGACGATAATTGAAGCTCTTTCGACAAAGTTCTTTAAATTTCATAATACCAATTTCTTTTTGCAAGAGTACGACTAGCAAATGTAATTCATTTGTAGCATTAAGAACCTTTTATAAGTACAGCAGTGGAAACCAAAGCAATAAGAACCCGTTTTTTCTTTTCTCTCCGCATTTTGAGATCTCTTTCTGATTCCAAAAGATAAATTTACACTCACAAAATGATTATCCTGACACGCCCGAGTGGAGTTCCATCAGATTGCCCTCATCCGATGCTAATAATACTTTCAGAACTTCGAATACGCAAATGAATACCCTGCAGAAGATTTTCTCCGCGAAGTTGCTGCTGGAGAAGTCCGGTATCTCCGCTCCGTCAGCGCGCGACGCAAAGATCTGCCCGATTTTGAAAAGGACTTTCCCACCCTTTCTGCTGACATTTCCGAAGCGCTTTTCCGACCCGACCGACAGCACTCACAGATCCTGAGGATCTCCCCAAAGAACCTGGAAATCTGGCTGCACTACGACACTCTTGATAATTTTCTGACGCAAACTGTTGGTGAAAAAGAAGTGCTTCTCTTTCCTCCAAGCGATGCGAAAAATTTGTATCTTGATGGGGATAAATCCGAGTGTATTGGACTCATTTCGCATTTGCAAGAAAATCAAGTCTGTTTTCCGGATCTGAAAAAAACAAATGCTTATCGGGAAGTTCTCAAGCCAGGAGATGTTCTGTTTATTCCTGCGCTTTGGTTTCATTGTACAAAGGCCCTTGTAAGTACCCTTTTCAAGGGTTGAAGAATAACCGCTTTTAGAATTTTTCCGTATCTATCAACACATTCTTCAAATCTCTTCCTGACAAGATGTACGGCAAAGATCTCTACGGGAACCGCGATCCCCTGCCCGTCGAAGATGCGTCAAAGCATCTCCAAAAAGCTATCGCTGCTTTATCACAATTACCACAGTCATATCAAAGTTTTTACCTTCACAAATTGCTCTCACCTCACGCTGTAAGTAGTACCCTGACTTCTGATTCTGATAATAATAACTGCTCTTTTTCTAAATGAGAAATAAAACATGTAGTTTTATTTTTAGACCTCGAGAAAGGTTCTACTGTTCTTAAAATCATTGTTACAGTCTTTTCACGAGCCCTTTTTGTCGAAATCTGATTATGCTGGCGCTTGGTTTAATTTTTATTGGCATTTTATCTTTCTTTATACAGTTAATCTTCTGAATGCATATGATAGTCGTTTTCATCAGTTGCATTATTGTGGAATTCCATGTTATGCAGATATTGCTGGTACTGATCAACAAAGCACAGGACAACGAAAAGAAGTACCATCGCAGCCGTCATCCCTTTCAATAATAAATCAGTTGTAAGACAAGGTAATCTCACCAATAATAAATTGTCTTCTGCGCGCAGTTGCTTTTTCTAGCGCTTCTCTTTTCTTCGTTTCTTTGGTCGATCTCTAAACACCCTTGTCACTAAGTTGGATTTTTAGATTGATACGTACGGGGGTTGATCCAACTCTTATCATAACTTTATCATTAGAATTCATTTTCTCTCCTGGTTTATCCCCTTTTTTCTCCGATTCATTGGTCTCTGGACCAAGTTTTGAGGCTGAGGAGTAGTTTGAGCCACTTCGACTTTTTTCCTGGACGATATCGCTTAATGTTGGTCCCGGTCGTCGAATAGATTTCTTCTGGAATCGTCCTTTTTCTCTTTCAAGGGGATGTTGGTCGCAATCATTTCTGGGGATTAAGTTTATATTCGAGCTTTCATCCCTTCTCTAACGCTTTGTGCTCTTCTTGGCGTTGTATTGAAGCAAGAATCTCTTTTCAAATGAAAACTCCGAGCTCTGGAAATGTAAGATTAATAAATCAACTCCTTTTCCCAATTTAAAATCTGATATGTCTCTCCATCAATTTTTCAAATGGCTACATGTGCAAACAAAGCAACCTGTAAAAACCAATTGTTGCTGCGGCAGCCATATCTTCCTTTGACCGCATCATTGTCATAAAACTCATCCAAGAAAAAACTTTTTGGGTGAACTGTGATTTGATTATTTCCAGACGAGAAGGGAGTACACTCACTCGCTTGAATTTTTAAATGGATTGATAAGTAGGCCTCTAAACAGGTTTTCAGAACATCTTTTGACTTTAATAGAGATCATGTACGGAAACAAACTCAAGGTAGGGTTGATTTTCGATGAATTTATTTTTACAAATAAAAGTGTTTTTGATTTTACGTTTTTTTTACATAGAAAAGTGTTTTTGGATTCAGAGAGAGGAATCAGTTATCACAGCTGAGTTCTCGGTTCTTTGGGAGCATCCATCCATTGGAGAATTTCTTGTGGTCTTCGTATCGGAAGCATTTGGCGAATCCACCAGCAGAGTATTCCTCAGGAGTGCCGGCATTGCAAACGAACTGGCATCGGTTCATCTTTTCGAACTTTCTGACCTTGGCGCAGTTCCATTCTCCCTGGGAAGGCTCACTGACTTCATCGACGTTGGCAACGAGCCAGGAAGAGTCGCAAGGATCGGCGACGACGGTGTCCTTGAAGCAGAAGGGGCAGAGATCGGCCTTGACAAGGTTGGATGGAGCGTCGGCTTCTTTGAACTCGATGTTGATGTCGATTCGTCGATCTCCAGGGTTGAAGGTGGATTGGAAGTCGACTCGCCAGACCTGGTTGCCGTCATCGTCTCGGTCTAGTTGGACGACGTTGTCGCCGGGTCCGGCGACCTTGATGAAGGAAACATCATTGTCGAAAGCGAGGAAGACGTGATCGCGGTTATCCCAATAGTCACCGACGGCACCGATGGCGTTGAGGTTGACTTCAACTCGGATGTTGAAGCAATCCTTGCAGGTCCACGAGTTTGTTCTTTGAGATTTAATTTAATACTGCATTATTTTCTCTTTTTCTTACCGTGTGGTGTAGGTCAAGACATCCTTGCAGAAGTTTGGCTTGCCAACTTCAGCACACTCGGGGCTGGAAGTTCGAAGCATGGCGTTAGCCGATGCGATAAGACCGAAAAGCTTCATTATTTGAAATATATTTGATAAAAAGAAAGCTGATTTCTTTCTGCTATGTTGATCAAGCCCATCATGCTCGTATTTATAGTACTTTTTCTGTTCGTGACCTCTCGGAGGGCGCGCAAGAGCGCCGCCCGATGCACCGCGTTTACGTCTCGTCTATCGACAATTGCTTTACGAATCAGCAAAATTACGAAAGATAACAAGATGTTGCGATCTTTGTAACACGGAATTTATTTTTAGACACAGAAATACGAAACGAGCTACAGGTGTCCGAGCGATAGTCATTCAAGCTGTCATCTCCCTGCTTATAGGGTTTGGAATCGGCCGTCATACAAGCAAATAACAAACGTATTCATGTTTGACATACGTTTTGCATATTCGCTGACTGGTGCTCAGAAAACACTGCAGAAACAATCTACGAAGATCACGTGACCTTCAAGCAGAGATCTTCCGTTTTCGGCGGCGACTGATATTCTGCTGATGCTGACTTTTTGTCATCAACGTCGTAGGGGTCCCTGAACAGGTCCAAAAGACGATTTACTTCCGAAAAATCGCCGTCTTCCGCCATCTTTATTGATTTTTCAAGAATATGATTTCGAAGAACATATTTTGGATTGGCTCCATTCATGAGTCGTCTTCTTTCTGGGTTGAGTTTTTCACGAGCAAGCCTTAATTCTTATTAAATTTACTGAACATGCTTTACGTTCTGTAAGGAAAAGTGCACTTTTAACCGTAAATATACGGCGGAAGGGCTTTTCCCGGCCAAATTTCCTCGAAAATATTTTGATCGCAGATCAGTTTTTCCCTATAAACTACGAAAGCAACGTTGCGAAACAACAGCTCGTGACGCTAACGGATTGATCTGATTCCACGCCGATTTCAGTGTAAATAACGGAGGGGATTTGCCGATAACCCCCGCTAGGATATTTTCAAAATCTTAAAATTACCTTACTTTGTAGACTGTAAACCACGCGTTCCAGTACTCCTTATCTTTGATTTTCTTTTCTTCGTTGGACATTTTGAATTTGTTCATTTTTGCTTCGTATTCTGCCAAGTTTTCTTGAAGCTGCGCCTGGGAGAGAACTTTAGTATTATATCAGCTTTCGGTAAATTAAGATAAGGAAATGCGGGAAGAGGATAACACGAAAAGAGGATCTAACTACAAGGCCACGTGGGTACGGTGCAAGAGCAAGGGCACTTATCTCATTCACGAAAAATAGAATAATTGGCGAAAAATTGTTGAAATTCGTGATGAAGATTAGCGGTCAATTCACCTGCTGGTCGGGGTCAAGCATGCCATGTCTGAGCATCATTCTAAGCATCGCAAGTTCTTGTTCGTTTCCAGCGTCTGGAGCCGCTTTCGTAAGGATTTGAGATCCGTCGACCCATAAAATTAGAAATCCGGCAATATAAGCAGCATCTATTTCAGCTACCTAAGTCAAAACATGCTTTCTTTTACTAGTAAGCTCAAGCGCATATTTAGTGGCTATGTACTTGCACCTGCAATTTTACACGTTAAACTCTTAGTTAAAAGATCATAGCTGTCTGCTTATCATCAAAATAAGATTCTGCTGCATTTGCAAATTCTCATGCCACTCTAAAAATTTTCTTTTGGTGAGTCAAATCACGTTCCTTGACAATCCTCCGCAGAGTAGCAGCAATGTTCGAGGATGTTTTCTTTTGTTCGTTCAACTGTTTCTTCGTTTACTTCTCCATCGGAGGCCAGTTCAACGCCGGATAGAGCTCGGAAAGTATTGGTGAAGTCCGCACCTGAAGATATTTCTTAGTCGACAGAAATTAGAAAATAAAATAATTGATTTCATAGATGCAGCGGCTCTTAATTTTAAGAATTAAAGAATTAAGTTAGAATTAACAAATAATTTTGCTACTGCAATAATTATGGCAAGTCAACTAATTTTGATAAGCGCGCTAGTGCCGTAGCTAACCGCAGATAAGGAATCCCATAACGTATTTTAATGAATACATCTCATCTTTTGCTACAAACCTGACTCAAGCATTGCTGTCAGCAAGCTTTCATAAAGGTCCTTATCGCCATCTAGTGACTCGAAAAGGCCCATTTTCGCCCTTGCGCCGGAGATCAGAGCATTCATATAAGTCGTATCGTAGCTTTCTTGGATGAGTTCTCTTGCTTCAAGTCTTGGAACAAGATGTTCCATCGTTTCAGCCCATTTCATCAAGTTCCATTTTCCAATCAAAGGCTGATTTGAGTAAGTATAACGGCCCCTTTTTCACGGTCAAAGAAGGCTGAAATTTAAAACGCTTTGATCTGGTGTCATCGTGTTATGCTCACATCACTTTGCTAGAAATACGATCGATTGCGAGAACGACTGACGTAACATTACAGAGATTAACCGCGTGGGACGAATTGTACATTCCAATGTCATTTAAGACTTTGGGGCGCCGTTATTTCCAAACGAATTATCCGATTACTTTGAAAATTTAAATGTAAGTTAGTCAATGCCTTGTCACTGACTTGTGCAAATATGGAAGTTTTACCACGGTTCAGTTGCACCTGACACCGGATTAAGTCTGGCCTACTCGAGCGCCCGCTGAGACTATTACTGTAAAAACGAACCATTTTGTTTGTTTGACCTACTCAGACAAGATAAATCCTGGTTTTTGATGAAGTTCTACCAAATCAAACATTTTTCAAGTGAAAAAAATAATGCCTAAGGGAGATTTAATAAATAAAATTACATACTAACTTAAAAAAAAATATTTTTCACAGTGAGAAATTATCAATTCCGACTTCTTGAGATGAAAGACCACATAAATATTAGTACTCTCTGTAAATCTGAGGAATATCGGACGAGCGGTTCCAGAGTTATTCCAGTTTTCGCTTAAATGACATTCGAATGTACAATTCGTCCCACGCTCATACGCGGGGATTCGTCCCCCGCGGTTAGGGTGACAACAAAAAAAGAATGATGAATTCATAAAAATGACCATTCCTATTGTCTGATGCGTTGCAAATAAATTCCGGGTCGAATCGATCCATGAATCCAAACGGTCCATAATCGAGTGTTACCCCAGCGATGCTCATATTGTCGGTATTCAGGACACCATGGCACCAGCCTATCAGTTGCCATTTTGCGACAAGTTCGGCTGTTTTTATCGATACTTCTTTGATTAAATCAGCGTACTTGGACTCTGAGTTTTCAATCGAGGGATAGCAGAGCTAAAAATATCTTTAGGTATAGATAGGGACTTTCACGGGAAAACGATTGCCCTTCGATTTTCGTAAAAATTTACTCATAAGTATGGATTTTTCAGCTGATTCTGATGATACCAAAATCTTTTTGATCGGAAAATGCTGCGGAAGATAAACTTAAGACTACTCTTAAAGCTGACCGATTTTTCACCCGAGTTTTCTGGGTCACTTGCTTATTATTTTTCGAAAATTTCTTTGCAAACATGAAGCTTAGGACTTCCGGGAACTTTTTTGTGTTAATCACCCGGGATTGTTCCGAGTACTGGGTCACAGTAAGCACCCACTGAGATTATGGCGCGCGCTAATGCTTTTTGGGCTTCCCGCGCAGCGCGCAAAGCACTAGCGCGCTCTCACTTTTACTCAATTATCTGATGATTTCAAGAGACCAGTAAGCACTCGTAAAAACATTTTTTCAGAGATTTAAGGGAAGTGTCTTATAGAGAACATATCGAAAAAAGAATGACGAGGGAAGACGAGGTCTATACTTTTTCGATATTTGAAAGATAAATTCGATGTTTTTCATAATATTCTATATTTTTTTGCCAATTTTTCAATCATATTTAGAATAAGCAGGTAAGAAAACATATGTTGTCTTTAAAATCAAGAAAAATGGATGGCTATTTCGGGTAGTTGGGGAAGCGAAAATTGGGCCCTCGCGCTCCCGTGATAGTCCCTAGGTATAGAAAACGGCTCTGTTTTCGCAATCGTGACGACGATAATGCTGAAAAATAATATTTTCACGTCTAAGTTAATCAAATTTTACGCCCTAAAAACTCATAACTTTTGGAAAAGTTCGAACCTTTATCGTATAATCAGCAAGTTGCGTCGCGAGTTCTAATCTTCCAGCGCTTGGGCCTCCCCTTCTGATGATCTCAAAGCTACCAAATCGTCTATTTTCGGGTCAAGCTTTGTTTAAAAATTTAAAAATAGAACTTGTAAGAAAAGAACCCTTTCATGAAAGTTGGTGCAAGTCTTGTAATAATTGATGTTGGTTCTGCCTTTGTTTGGGTCAAAATAACGATTTAAAAATAATTTAGTAATTCTTGTGTTTTTGCCCGTGTGCTTAGCATTTCCGTCGTAGAACTTGTCTCTTATCACCGTCGTGTCTTTGAAACGAGGATGAGAATTTGTAAGTTTATGGTCAATAGACTTTCTTCTGTACAAAAACAAACACTTTCATCCCCTGACGAAAGAGACCACAATTGATCCGGCTCTAGTAGTCGGCACGCCAAGATTATGCATCGCCTCGGAACACAGAAACTCGCGGATAGAGCTTCGCAAGACTTTCCTACCATCAGCTGTTCGAGAAAATGGAGTTTTACCAGCGCCCTTGAATTGAATTTCCCAGCTGAAAGCAGTTCAATTAGGTGCAGTCAAGTGCGTTTGGGAGAGGTCCTGAGTGGGTACTTTGAATTCGGAATAGGGAAAACGTGAATTCAGGAAAGAGACAATGTTAAATTGGTCAGTTTAATTACCGGTCATTATTCTCATTGAGTACTTCCCCAATGTACATCGTCGCTCCGTCGCCAAGCTGACCAGCAAAGCTCCTAAAAAAGAACCATAAGGACCCCCCGTCAGCTTTTTCCTTCGAAAAATTGAAAATTTTAAAAACACAATATTTTTGGTTCTTCATGCGTCCTCAGGTTAAACTTGCTTCAAAAACTTGATAAGAGAACTTTTTGACCAAGAAAAATCTATATTTTTGCCAAAATTTCAAAAGTCAAATTTTCAAATGCGATTTTGAGGGTGTTAGAGTCGAGATAGACCCCCAAAAAATGAAGCCTCAAAATCGTTTTTACCCGTAGAATCCATATCCGGGGTCAAAATTTTGAAATTCCGAAAATAGATTTTTCGAAAAAAGCTGACGGGGGGCTCCATAAATAAAAACAAATAAAAAGGCGTAAAGTTTTTCTTAAAGAAAAATGATCATCCTCAGAAGCTCCGGAGCGGCCCGGTGGTGCTTTTATTTTTAACAACTAAGAACCATGAAAGAAAAATCAGTTTCTTCTTGTGGGAATTTTTGGTCAAACGATCAGTAATTTTGGGGCTTGTTTGTTGAGTGTAGAGAGGCGCCGGAATTCGTACTCTACTCTTGCGGGGCAGTCCTACAGGTGATTCAGGAAGTACGGATATTTATCTTAAGATTCTGTTGGTCAGATAAAATAAGGATGTCACATTGTTATCTACAAAGAGATTGAATTGAACGGTTGGTGCTCCAAGAGTCTCTGGGCTCGGCAAACCTGAGAAAACTGAGAAGAAAACCTGACTCACGGTCTTGGCGGCTTCATTTTTGAAAAAAAGGAGTCCTTTTCGGACGCTCTGAAAGCAGGGAAATTCAGAATTTTTGAACTTTGAAAAGTTCATGGAAAAAATCAGAACCGTGGAGAATCCGAAGATGCAATAATCATTACTTCAACAAACCGCTAACCAGATTAGTCTTGGATTCCGAGAGCTCAAATAATATTTACCCGAATTGATGGCCGCAGTAGCAGTGCGCGGCGTAATCGGCGCCAGGGAAAGCCGTGTTGCCTGACAGGTACTCTCCCGCGTCGCCTCGTGAAAATTCGGACGGATCTAAGCCGATGAGCTTTTTGGTGGTTTACTATTAGAAATCGATTGATTTGTAAGGTGATTGGAAACCAAAAGACCTTCAGAGCATCTTCAGAAATTGCAACGAGTTTTGGTTCATCAACAGGAGTTGGTTTAACTCGATGGAAACAAGCATTTGGGACTCGTCGCTGGATCAAGTAATCTGGGGATGAGTCGACAGGTAGTTGTTTCAGAGCTAAAATTAGCCGTTAAACGTAGAAAGTTAGATTCTGATGGAGATAATAAGTCGCCTCCGAAGGTATTGTAAAATTCAAATTTTTTTGTATTTTATTACCCATTATGGTGTTCAACTTGAAAAATTATTTTACCTTGATTATCGAAATTAAGTTTCTCAAAAGTTGTCATTTTCCGGACATGCCTTGAAACTCTCAAAATCATAAAAATCTAATAAAAAGAGTGAAATTGGCTTTCCAAATCTCTCGCGAGTCTATTGGCCAAACACGCGTTACGTCATTTATCGAACATCAAAAATCCTTCATTCTAGTGCTTTTTGATGTTGAAAATGTCCCTTCATTTTTGTGCAATCGATATTTTCGCTTTGTCTTATTTGGAGGTTAAAATTCCTGTTTGTTGTTAGTCTTCCTCTGATCCTCTTTGCGTTTGAACTCACCGACATGTTTAGTAAATCTTGTCTTTATGGGCCGTCTGCTGATTTTCGCACAAACGTAAATCCTCAGAGTTCGTATGGCTTAACCCCAGCCACGTGATCCATATATCGTGGCCAAACATCTCCAACTTTAAGCATTATAAATTCTCTTCATCAGTAATCTTGTAAGCTCATATTTGTCTTCTATGACGCTTAAAATCGTCTCGAGGACATAATGAAAAAATTTTTTTCAAAAAAAGTCTCTAGAGCCGATGCTGATTTTAATAAATTTAACCATTCTTTTATTAACTTAAAATCGCCATTTAGGACGGATGGGTCCGAAAGCGCTGATATTTTGGTAAGTTGTTTTTTTTTCAACGATAAATTTCAGATTGAGAAAAAAATGGCATGAGTTTCACCACTCCGATTCCAAAGGGCCAAGAAAAGAAAGCATGAAGCGATCGACTTCTTCACTAACTACATTGCCAATGTAACATTGGCTAATACGCTGAAACTGTATTTCCTTGTGCATTGCACGACAATGCTGTTTCTCTACTCCTGAATAAAATCAATTTCTTTTCAAATAACTATATTTACTCGCTATATTTTTCCGCATAATTCGAAGCCAACATGAGTTTGGCGAGTCTGAACTGTAGTCGGGTTCAACCGCTTTTGCTATTTAAAGGCGAATATCATTTTATGTAAGGGCAGTTATAATGTGGCTTCGCGCAGTTAATCCATTTACGTTACGATAACCAAAGAAACTTTTACATCAGCTGGCGGTTTCGACTCGTCTGTTCAATTTTTCGCCGAAAGAGAAAATAGAATATTTCGAATTCGAGGATGGCAATACCAAGCGAGGTAGAAAATCAAATTTTTTGCTTTTGCTTGCTATCACCTATTAAAAAAATTGTTATAAGATAAATTTTCTATCGTGCATAAGTGATAAAAGTGCTGAGACCATCCTCTCTCATCGGCATACGCATGGAAAAGGGAGAGCAAAGATCACAAATGCTGAAGCTTTGCTTGCAAGTCTCTTTCCACCTAGCATCTTAGCTTATTTTATTTTAGAGCAATTCTACACCTAATTCCTTTCCGACACGAAATTCGACCCTTATGCTTCAAGAGTTAGTTCTGCCACCTTTCGACAAGTGGCAGATTTTCATTTTTGCGGTCTTGGTTTTCACCTTTAGCTGGCATGGTAATTAAGAAAGAGTCTTCTCAGTTCACCTCTGACATTTGTACAGTTGTAATAATCATCTGGCCCATGTGGGCGAAGAGTAACGATGTAACGTCGCCGCCCGTGATGGTCGAATACATGTACAGGGGCATTTGGGTTCAGTGCTCGACCCACACTGCTGGCATCTTCAGCTGCGACAATTTCATGCGCCCGATTTTTTCACTCTCTTCATTGGCGATTGTTCAACGGTGTTTTGCTGTGATGTCGCTGGCTTGCTGCTCTGGCACGCTCATTTTGATGATTATTGGAATGGAGTGCACCAAATTTTATCTAAAAAATCCAGCAAAAAAAGTGTTTTTGATGAAAATTGCAGCGTTGGTTCTATTTATCGGCTCGTTTTTATTGCTCCTTACTGCTTCAATTTACGGTAAAAAAGCTTAGGAGCAAGATTTTAACAAAAATTCAAGCTGCTTCTTTATCCCAACAATTCAACAACTCGATGTTCTATTCGAGCGCTCTCGGATCGCTTTTTGGCGGAAAATCTAATTACGACGCTGATTTGATACGATATGAGCTCGGAGCATGCCTGTATATTGGATGGATAATTTGTTTTTTCGAATTTGTTCTTGCAATCGCGATCTATTTCAACCGAGGATTTCAGGTTGTTTTCTTCCTTGATTTCAAAATAGCAACAGCTTTCAGTATGCTCGAGATGATCCGTTTTCGCCTGAAAAGACGGATGAAAATAACTACAGCAAACTTGTAAAACGACTTGAAGAGTACGACCAAATTATGCAAGCGGCAGATTATGATGTCAATGTCGTTCGCTCTACGATTAGAAAATCTCAACGACAGGCTGCCCCTGGAACCATGAAGCAAAATAGACTTTTCAATGCTTACTATGGATGAAGTAAATCACACAAAAATTGCCTCTTCTTTTGCTTCCTTTTGTAATTTTTCACTATAAGGAGAACTAGAACTTCAAGCTCTGATGAGTTTTTTCTTACTTGGGGATTCCAATCTGCTTCATAATAGAGTCACTTCCACGCTCATCCCTCACAAGTACGATAGTAAACTAGACAACATGTCTCTTGAGAGTCCGAGCTTCTTTTTGAAAGACGGGCACCGTGCATAACTTGTGAAAAAACTCAATTATGCGTAAAAAATAAATATCATTTTGGCTTTCCAAAAAAAAATTCAGATTGAACAAGCCAGGTCCAAGTCTCTGTGGCGCAATCGGTTAGCGCGTTCGACTGTTAATCGAAAGGTTGGTGGTTCGAGCCCACCCAGGGACGCGATTTTGGAAAATTCATTGCATGAAAGTTTTATTCTTAGAAATTTATTATGAAAAACTTTTGATTAATTCGTGTATGTACAGAAATTAAACCATGGTTGCAGTAATTGTTCTCGAGAAAAATGAAAAATGGGTAAACAAAAAGTATAAAAAAGAAGGTGTCTGGTATAAATCGACTCAAGGATTTTACCAATAAAAGCCCGAAAATAGGGAGTTAGAAGATGTTTTAGCAGCTTTCGCCGATGAGGACCAAAGAGCCGGAATTGCAGCATTGCTTCTCGTCGGTGTTGAAGACCTTGTCGACGCAGCAGTCACGACCGCCGTTCTGAAACGGGTTGGAAAGGGCTCAGGCGGTTTAAAATACCTTGTCGTGGTAAGGGAATCGATTAGGATAGTCGCCGCAGCACTGGAGTTCTCCTCGGATGCCAGTTCCGTTTGGTGGGGAGGAAGGAAGGCATTCATCCTCGAATTCGAATCCTCGAAGGGAAGAATGGGCGGTTTCGAAGAGGTCGAAATTAGCAGCGAGCTCGAAAGCAAGCTCGTCATCGCAGGTGCACAATTTTGTGCCGCAAGCTAGATTTTTACGTTAGAAAAAGAAGGTTTCTTAAAAAACTTACGTCCGTTGCCGCCGCACTTGACTCTTCCAGTTCCGGAGTCGAATGAGATTTCGTATCGGCCGTTCTCCCAGTTGCAAGCGAGTTGTTCGCCCTCGACATTTACTGTGCTTCCGCTTTGGTCGTGGGCAACGCACTGGGTGCATCGTTGATATCGCTGGCAAATCCTTAAATTTTCTGTGAGGAAAAAGGCTCGTAGCGATTAATGGTCTTACTCATCGAGTCCGTCAACAGGAGTTCCAAGTCCAACTCTTCGGGTCTCGAGAAGTTGGCAGAAGCATCCGTAGTTGAGCATTTGTGGAGCTCGATTAGTATTGTGCCCCGCATCGTCCAAGTAGAATTCAAGAAGCAGCTGGATCAAGAGAGCATTTCCATCAGAGCGGGCGCCTTTGGTGATTTCGTTTTGGGCAGATACAACTTGTCGGTTGAGGTCAGCGACTGAAAGAATTTTTTAATGACGAATTTTTTTTTTCGGAATCAACACAATGATTCCCTTATTCTTTTTTGATTTATCTTTGTTTTTATTCTGAAATTGCTTTTTGAAAGCCTTAATTGCTATTAATAAATTGTCTTCTCAAAATTTTTTTAAAAAATATTTTCAATCTCTATTTTTGAAGCTACTCACCACTGGCGGCCTGGGAGACAGCGAGGAGAACAGCAGAGAATTTCATTGTTTGAAAAAAATAGAAAAATGAGAAATGGAAGAAAAAATAGAAAATATAGTTTTTATTAGAAACTGATCGTTTTGATGATGAATGAGGAGGGCCACGGGTGCTTTTATATTTCAAGTCCGACAGCGGTCGGGGGAGGCTGTCAATTTTTGAATGCGAAATTTTGCGGCTGACCAAAGCGGCGAAAATTGACTCGCGCAAGGTTAGCTAATATTTTTTTTGCAAGGCGAACATCTCAGAAAGCAGCTCAGGATTTCCGATCTACATTTTAATGACCTATTCAGTCAAGCGGTCCTCCAGAAGATATATCAAGAGGGAATTTGTTGAAGAAAACAGCTATGAGAATAAAATTGCTTTACTGGAGTTTTTACGCGAAAAACTGGATTTATTTGAAGAAAAAAATATAGCAAAGCGAAACAACGAAAAAAAATTACGACAAATTCAAAGAGCAAATTCAAAAAACTTCTTGTGACTCCATTTTCGTTTCCAAAGTCGATTCCGCTTGCCCGCGTTCATGATGCCCTTCATGTCGGATTCATAAAAGCGACAAATTCAATAGCGAGAATTTGTTTTGACAAATTTTATTTTCAAAAGATGGCTTTGAATCCTCGCTTTTGACATTGCGGTCTGCCCGACTGATTCATTGGCTCGCCGTCTAAAAGGATGTTAAAACGGTGAAAATTATGCTGTCTTTCTTACCTTTATAAAAGGTCATTTGGGAGCAGAATCGTAGTTGGTTGTTGACATTTTCCGCCCAAAAGACCTTTGTGGCGATTATGTACGTTTTTGGTTTGGGAGAGTCTGCTTCAAAATTTTGACTTTTCGATGCGCTAGAATAACGCTCTAGTTAACGGAATGGCTCTAGAATTTTTAGTCCTCTTTTTGGCATTTCCTGACAACAAGGCAAAACAAACTCGCTATCTTAAAAACATTCCAAAGCATATTTTTGGGCAAAAGTGCGCCAATTTCTCTTTTCCCACCCTTTTTTATAGTTAATATTTAACGAGCAATATGTTAAAAAATATTGTTTCATCAAAAAAGAGACATGAACTTAATGAACGCTCGTTAATATTTGATGACGATAAGAATATATTACGAGTACATTAAACGTCAGCCTTGAAATTTAAATGTCAGAAGCAGCAATTAAAGCCAACGCGGAAAGATGACGAGAAGAATATACGAAAATTAGGAAATTAGGAATAAGGAGAATTCGCGGTTTTGAGGATCGAATTGAAATGCAATTGACAATCGGTAGAATTAGATGGGCATATATTAAAGGAGCCCTGCCACTTATGGGGGTGGAAACAGCTTTCTCGATTTTCGACTCTCGCTATAAACAAGAAAATCATAGATTTATTTATGATAACGAAATTTCCTAAAAAAGGCTCCTAGAATAGGGGTTGAACTTCACAGAAATATAAATGGAATTTTTTTTGCTATCACGTGACTCGATATATTCGACGTTAAAAATTGGCTAAAATCGAGAGTTTTCAAGAGATGAGTTGCTTCTGAGCCAACTTACTCAAAAATCTGTTGACTAAAATAAATTTCGAGGGAGATGTTCTTAGATCTAAGATGGATCTATCAATACCTGTAGAGAGAATGTGGTAATCTTAAGTTCTCTTATCTGTAGCGCCAGTCGAAAACCGCCTTTTTTCGAGAAAAGCTGTTTCTACCACCTTATGCCAAGATGATGATTTCAAAAAAGGATTCACGAGTTAGGGTTTAAATCGGAATTCGTCGACCAAAATGATTGGTGTTGATTCAAGGAAGCTGAATCAAGTTCAGTGAACCTGCAAGCTCTGACGTTATTTTGAGAAGCGCGCTCAATCGATACTGAGAATAATTGATTCACATACAACTGGCTTCAGAGATAGTTCTAGGAGAGAGTCTTTTATCTGCTCAAAAATGCTTAAATAAATGCTCTTTTTGTTCGTTCAATTGTGCGAAAAGCATCACTGACTAAACATATGAAGCTAACGTGAATTTCACGAAGCTCGTAAAAAGAATTCAAGCCCTTTTCAACGTGCCAAAAATTCTATTCGAAAAAAAAAATGAAGAAAAAATTATTGCTGCAAAGAATATTTTTATTGATACTTTTTCTCTACTCCACCTTCCTGTTTATAATCTCGAAGAAGCTCGAAGAAGTGAAAGAAGTGAGAAAATATATCGAAGAAAATGAAGAAACTTGTGACATTTGTGCGGATTGCGCGAATTTTAGCGAAAATGATTTTTCAAAGGAGAAAATTTTGGTGCCACTGCTGGTTTGGGGACCGAACAATCAAATTCAAGGCTTTAGGAATTCGGTTTTTCTTACTTTTTAAACAAATTTTCTTTTATTTTTATAAAAAAAAACCCTTTGAAAGAGAATCAATTTACATCGCCAGAGCACTTGGTCGCAAAATCGCTGCTCCACCATTTTTCCCAAATTGGAATCACGTGAATTCCGGCCCTCCAGTAATTCACCCTTGGAATAGAATCGACACTGCTCTTCTGTCGTCAAATATCGACCTTGTGCCTCCTCAACAGCTTTCCAAAATATGCGTAGGGAATATTTCACAAAAACTCGCCACTGGAATCAAAACGAGTATTGTCAACATTGGCGATTTGAGACGAGAGATTTTTATGGAATATTTCGGCCTCAGCAGCTGGAAACAGTCGTTTCTACAGGCTTTTAATACGCTCAGCCCTGATTCAGGTAATAAGGGACTCAATTTTTCCCTTTACCAACCTCAATCTTTAAGATTCACTTCCATTGTCAAATGCAATCAACAAAACCTACCTCAACCAAATCTACTCCTCTGACGAAAAATGCGTTCTTCTCGAATTTCCGTGGAATACGATTCCTGCCCTTAATATTTTTCATGAACTTCAAAAGCCAGAAAAACATAGAAATCAAGACTATAGCGAAATGATTGAAATCATCAAGAACACCAAGCGCCCAGCTTATTTGAGAGAAGCAGCGAAAAAATTCAAGAAAGAAGTTTTGGGAGGAAAGAAATTTGCTGCGATGCATTGGAGATATGACAAGAAAGATTGGATGAAGATGAAAATCAAGAACGGGGAGAGGATTCATTCACTCATAGGTAAAGGGACGAAAAAATATTCGTTAAACAATATATTTTTTCGCAATCTTTTGTCGTCACGAAATAAGAATTTTTTATCACTAATTTATTTCTGTTCGAGAATTCATAGATGGTGAGAAATATTCTTGAGCTTCATTTTTTCTTGAAAATAGTTTTAGCCTTCAATTTGTAGGAAGAAAATCATTAACGGGAATTTTCACTTCAGTTTCATTTAAGTTAAAGTTTCTAAATGCATTTATATTCTTCGAGACTCTCCTTTATTTTATCGAGCAGCTGTTTCGAAGAAAATTTTCGCAGCTGGCTTCAAAAGATGACACTTGTAAGATAAAATCTAGTGATAAAGTAGACAGAACAAACCATTGTCCTTATGCATATAATATGCAGCATATTTCTGAACATCTCATTCTTTTTCGTCCCGTCAAAGATCGCGCTCACAACGATCCCAAATCCTTCGCCTCATCCCTCGAGTCCAAACTTCAGTCCCTCCAGATCTCCATCATCTATTTCGCCAGTCCTCCCGCAGAAATTCCCTTTCTTACCGAGCTCGGATCTCATTTCAAAAGCGTGACTTTCTTCACCGGCTCCGAGCTAGAACTGTTTTTCAAAAAGAAATTCGGCTTTTGCTCGAATATAATGGCTGATTTTGTCGAAAATATTTCGCTGCTCGACCAAGAAATTTGCTTCATTTCGGACTTTTTTATCGAATCATGTTTTAGCTCCTGGAGGTATGATCTTCGAAAGAAAACAAACAAACGCAGTTTTAGTTCAAATTTGATTTTGGAACGACATGCAGAAGAACAACGGTCAGATACCAACAACCTCGAAATTATTGCAAATGCTTTTCGTGAAAAATACGAAGATAGCTGCTTTGTTCAGAGCTTTTTATGATTTAGTTAGACAAGCAAAATTCGAATTCACTGCCGAGTAAACTTTTACATTTCAATAAAAAAAATTATTTTAAATTTTGAAAGATTCAGAGAAGACAGCCACATGCTCAATGAACGTGCTTGCGTGAGCTTCTTCTCCCAATGATGATGTTTCGGCTAATTACTCCGCCGCTCTTTTCCTTTCGTTTCGTTTTTTTTTTCTTTCATTTCTGGAGTGCAGAAAAGAGCGCCGATTAGAAAGTCAAAGCATGCGGTATCTCATTCTGACAATGCCACGATCGAGTATTACCATAAATGCAAATTGGATTGTCATTCGCGATTAGGCGCAAAAATTGAAATGTTGCGTCGTCGAAAAAAATAACTTTTAGAAGTCGCCCGGGCTGAATTTGGAGTGGTCGAGATTGAGGTCGGAAACGGAAACTTGGAAAAGACTTCCTCGTAATGACGAATTTCAATAAGGATTTCTGAGTGAAATCCTTACCCCCCTTTTTTATTGGCTTATCTGAAAGAGCGTAAAAAATTACTCTAGTTGAGTCGGAAAGATTGGCGAATTTTCGAACTTATGACGTCATAGCACGTGACGGAAGTTACGAAAGTACCAAACTTTGGACGCTTACCATTTTCATGTCGCTTGAGCTATCATGACATGCAATACATGAAAATGATCGTCTGATCGAGATCATTGTGTGCATTTAGGTTTCATCCCTCGAAAAAAATCAATGTTCACAGATTCAGACAAAAATGACAGTTAGATTTGTCTGAGTCAGAGTTGCAAATTTGCTGAGCTGAATGAGCTGAGCAGTGACTTACTCTACAGATAGCATCATCAATTTACATTCCAAATTAATTATTTTTTTTTCTGTTAAAAATGTTGATCAGATGAGGCGTCATTTATGCACGGCACGCCCCGAGGGGGTTTTGCTCCGCGGCAAATGCCTGCCGTTGACACGCGCCTTCCGGCAATGAATTAAACATTTTCATGCAGACTAAGAGCACCGAGTGCTAATTCAAAGATAAACTTGAGTTTCAATAAGAAAAAGGAAAAAATCAAGATTGATGTCACATCCTGCCAAATGCATTTCTTTATTTATAAACCAGTTCCGATTTATGCCAAAATCTTCCTTGATTCCCAATTCGGCCTTCAAACTTACCCTTGAAAGCGAATTCCTTTACCCGATTTTCTCATTTTACCGTTTACTTCCTCAACTTGAAATTCGCCTTACTTTCAACTTGAGTACTTTCTTCTTATCCCCATCTTAATCCGACATGCCGCCGAGTTCAGATCCGCTTATTATTGGATCAATCTCCTCGGGGGATATCAACGGCTTTCTACGGAAGTTGGAACGAATCACGTGACGTTCAATCAGGAACGGTTAGAGTTTATTACTGTTTTGTAGACATTTGTCATAGGATCATTAATGTCAAGAATTTCCGATCGAATTGACGGATGTGTTCTGAAATTAGTCTGGCCTCTTTTTACTGTTTTGGGTACAGTTCTTTGCTGATTGCTCATCACTGATAAGTTATCAGTTGATTCGGGCTGTGACTACTCAAATCGACAAAAGATGCCACAGAAAATTGATTGATACCGGGATGTTTTTTTTTGAAATCCTTTTGGCCAACAGACCGATTTTGAACACTTTCACTGAAATAAATATATGAGAAAATTTTTTTATTTGTTTGTTTTCAGCGTTTTTTTTGCATTGTATTGGAGGCACCTTCTATTGGAACACGGGGCGAAAAAAAGGAGGAGGAAGAAGTGATTTTAAAAATCAATAGAGGGCGCACATGCGCCTGCAGACCGACACACGCCTGAGGCAATTGTTCATCCAAAGAAGGGAGTAACTCACCTAATTCGCCTAAGAGAATCCATTTTCCATTCAAACATTGATTTTTCATTTGGAAGCTAATAGAAACTAGGAATCTTTTTTTTTGATTCCTGAAATAGAGATTGGAAAATTTAAAGAAAAAATTCAAAGAGAAGAAAGAAAAAAAACGTCTTCACATCAAAGCAACAGTCAAGCCAAATATTATCAAATAGAAACTTCAGAATCTATTTTGTAAGTCCATAAAATTCGGTTGATTTGATTGAATAATATTTCCTTTCTTGTAGCAAATTTTGGGCTTAACCAATTTATGGAAGTGCATTTTTCGATCACCAATAAGATCGCTGTATTTGGCCTTCCGGCCAATCATAACCCTAACTCATAAAGTCACTTCCATAAATTTGTTTCACCCTTCTTTTGAATGAAATTTTCTCATTTAATTCAGCTTATAAAGGTGTTTTCTTGATGTTTTTCAATAAAATAAACGACTTCGAAATCTGTTTGAATAATGAGGATCATTCAAAATCCTTATTTAACTTTAAAAAATTCAAATAAAAAACGTCAAAACTCGGTTAACCTTGTTTCACCCCCACTTCACCATGGGTTGATTATTTATTCCAGCTCGAGGAAAGAAAAAAGAGTATGAATAATTCAGCCATTTTTTCGACTGGCGAAGGGAATGAGGAGGAAGTAGATTAGTTTCATTCAATGTCAAGAGGAATAATTTATCTCGCTCCCAGAGGTGGATCGTTTCTCTCTTTTTCTTCGCTTTTGATCTTTTTGAGGATCATCCCTTTAATTACAGTCGAGTCTTTTAAAAGACGAAAGAGGTAAAAGAGGTCAGAAAGTAAAAAAAAGATCTTAAGGGGATCACCCCTTTAGGTCGGGTTGAAAAAGTGGGTCAAAAAACTAGAAGAACGCTCGAAGCTTAAAATTCTAGAACAAACAGTATTTTTTTAGAAAAAAATCGAAGATAGCGAGATTTGAGGCCGCGCATAGGGCATGCAAAGCTGTAGAAAACATCCGACCTAGAGTCTGTTTCAAAGGTAAAATTGTCAATTTTGTTTTATTGTAAATTATTGCCAGGTTTTTTGTCAATATATGGATTGAGGGGGAATTAATATATTTCAATCGCTTGGTTGGGTTATTGATTGAAAGATTTACTCACTAAGAGATTGAGCTCGTTGACCTATCTTTGCATCGGTCATTTTACAATTTACAGAATTGGTGAAAGAGAATAGCACATGCACCGAAATTGACATTATAAAAAAGGTAATACTGTGACCCTTTTGAACCATCTGATCACAAGAAAACAGGAGATGCAAATAATTCGGAGGTGCTTCGAATTAGCAAAAATTGCGAAAATTTCGGCCAAAATTTTGGTCAAATTTTGAAACAATCAAATTTCCGAAAAATTTTTTCAGCATAAATTAAAAAAAAATACTCATTTCTCAAATTTTTTTTTTGGCGAAAAGCAAAATCGTGCGTTGAAAATCCTGACTAAGGTTTTACAGCCTCGTAGTTATGAGGTGACAGGGGTATTTAAAAAAAGCACCTTTTATCTGTTTTCCCTGAAAATGTTTCTAGACAATAGTTTAAAATTATTTATTGGTCTGATTTTATGACCCCTTTTTTTCCTTTTGGCATTTCATCAAGCGTTGTTAATGAAGTATGGATCATCATTTTTTAGAGAGACTGAAATCGGAACAAAGAAGACAGAGAATACCATGGGATACAGGAAAACAGCGAGAGAAGCTGGCTCACTGAGATGGATAGCTGTTTTTGTTTGGAAATTTATTGCCTTTGTTACGTTACTAGCAGTTTTATATCAAAGGTAAGTGCTCCAGAAAACCGTTTTTACGAGACTTTTCTTCGGACAAGGGTTTTGACGTAAAATATAAGCGAGCTTCTTATTTCTTTAGCTAAAGTATGTTGCCCTTGATTTAGAGTCAACTAAAATGGAGAGGCAAGCTGTCTGACTAGATTCAGATTCTCTGACTTATCTTCTTGTCGGTTATAATTAATGATGAAAATTGACTTGATATCGAAAGAGAATTTTTCTAGGAAGAAAAAAGACTTTCAGTCTGATTCTCCAATAATTGAATTTGACACCTTTTTTGAGTGGTCGATACTGTATTTGACGGATTAACCTTCCACTTGGGAATCACAATGTTTTTGAAGGAGAGTTTAATTTTGCCCTCGTTTGAAATATTACCAGGTGTCAGGCAGTTCCCCTCCCACGGGAAATTTATGCAAGGCGAGATGGTTGTTTTTCTGGGGACAGTTTCAACTCTTGTCGTGCTTCTTTTTTGACACTTTTGATGGATCAGCAATCTGCCACTTTTTGGGAGAGCTGCGCTTGATTAATCTTTATGACTTTTATTGATATTCTGCTGCTGATAGTTTAGGAGGGGCAAATTGAGCTCGGCCACTTGTGTCATGATCTAGGACTGTTAAAGCTTAAAATCTTCATTCAGATCAAATGAGCTTAATGCCTCCCCCACGCGCGTCCGCCGGCAAGCAACGGACGAGTCAATCTCGACACCCGAAGTCATCGACCCGCAATCATCAACGACGGCTTCACCGCGAGCAACGACGATAAACGAAACGACGACGATCGCGCAATCAGATGGCACCTACCCCGACCCGTTGTTTACGATTGATCAGATTCGCAAGGGTGGCTTTATTTTGTACGCATTCGGAATGTTTTATATGTTCTGCGCGCTGGCGATCGTCTGTGACGAGTTTTTTGTTCCTGCTCTTGAGGTACTGTAAATATGACTGTATTTTTTAACAACAACAGTCACTGATAATCAGAAACAAATTTTGTTTTAGCTGAAATACTAGATTTTCATTGGTTTAAGTCTCAACAGCCCCAAAAAAGGACTTCAACCAATCAAATTCAAGTATTTTCTGCACGAGCAAATCAAAAACCCTTGAATTTACAAATTTACTATTATAAAAATAATTGTTATCGAGTCTTCGCAGTATAAATAATGCATTTCATATACTGAACAGATAATAAGATAGACTCTTGATTAATAAATCATTCAGGTTTTGACGACGAAGATGAAGATTTCAGACGACGTCGCAGGAGCGACGATGATGGCCGCTGGCGGCTCAGCACCGGAATTATTCACAAGTGTCATCGGTAAATGATTTCTCCAATTAACCAAAAGAAAGAGGTTTTGCTTAATCAAAACTCAGCCCGATATTCGTTTATTGAGTCGCTCCATTTCAATATGCATAAGATTGAAATATTGGCAGGGGGCTTTTTATAGGTTTTTACAGTTTAAACTGTCGATAATATTTAAGGTGTCTTCTTTGCCAAATCTGATGTTGGGATCGGAACTATCGTCGGATCAGCTGTATTTAATGTGTTATTTGTTATTGGAATGTGTGCTTTATTTTCAAAAGAAATTCTCCAGGAATGGTTTTGCTTAATCGCTCTTAGAATTTCATACAACCTGAAGTCATAGAAAAAAACAAAGCAAGAAGGCTTATTTTCAAAACCATATAAGCTCACGTGGTGGCCATTGTTCCGCGACTGTACATTTTATATCATCTCGTTAGCCGTGTTGATCTATGCTTTCTTGGACACAAAGATCGATTGGTAAATTATTCAAGCATTTTATGCAGCAGGCGTTGTTTTTACTCATTGTATGCAGACATATGCATTTTGTCAGAGCTGTTATTAGTGACATATTGGATTTAGTACTCTGAGTTTGCATTAATGAACGAATATTTTATTTAACTAATAGACTGGTAGTTACAGTTCTTCCAGAATTGTCTAGTAGACATGGAATTGTCTCTCAGCCAATAAAATTCGTGTATTTGTTGCACTAGCCAATCAGAAGCTTGAATATCCCTTAAGAACAAACTTGGCTTACAGATTTTTACTCGAAACTAAGGCTCTCTTTCTAGGTGGGAATCCTTGCTCCTTCTTATCTGCTACGCTGCCTATGTCATCTTCATGAAGTACAACGTCATAGTGGAGAAATTGGTGAAGTCAAAATTGAGCAAGGGAGGAACCAGCACCGAATCCATTTCTGTGAAGGTACGTTCATCCAAAGAAACCCGGCGGATTTGGATTAGTCTAAAAATCCCCTCTTCGCAAGTTTATGTATATCTAGGAAAATACTCTACTAGAGAGTTCATGATAGAATACGTCTGCCTACTTACTGTATTTCGAGTTGTTTTATCCAGTAAGATACAGTACCGAAAAAAAGGCAACGATGACGTTAGTGACACTCGAGTTTAGTGAAAGCAGCGATTTTAAAAATTAAAAGTGGCCACAGACTTCAGCGGTGATTAATTTTGAAAGCTGAATACTTGAGTTTGCTCCTAGGTTTGTCCTGCCGATGGTGAGGTTAGCAAAAATGGCGATCCAACGAAGGAAGCAAGCAAAGAACAAGTGTCGAAATCGTTAGGTAAGAATTGACCAAAGTAATTCAGACAAAACTTAACGATGCTTACACCCTTAATTCTTAATTTGGTAAAATAGAATGAGTTTAATTTTGACTTCCCTTATTTCAGATCACGATCAAGTAGGAGCACCGGCGCCAAGCTCCGGTGGTGGCTTTCATCCAGGGTGGAAACTGGCAAAGAGTCACGTGGCGCACCTGCAGCGGGTAGCTCTCACTTTTCGCGCCTTGCGTTGCGTTCGGGTATACAAAGAAACAAAACAGAAAACAAACAGTCAGCAACGACGAAACAACAATCTACTTTGTTGTTTTCAAAAAAATCATTCGCGCCTTTTCTAAAAGCTAGGATTTTTGATGATTGAAAAGTAACCTTCGATCATCGTCAAAAAAGTGACCCGCGATTTTCGTGAGTTTTCATGATTAAAAGTAGGAAATTCCTACTTTTGAAATTTTCGAGATCGAAATTTCGACTGTCAGTTTTTCATAAGTTTATTTTTCGGCCACTTAGGAGCGGATCATTCGTAAGTTTTTGATGGTTCTGTCAATCTTTTCTGAAATCAGATTTTTGTTCTTGATGATTTGAATTTTAGATTTCTCGAACTGCTTGTACAAACAAAGAGCCATTTTAAAGTTAAGCATCCATACAAAATGTGCATCAAGAATTTAAATGGCTAAAAGTGAACATAAATTCAATTTAACCCAATATCTATTCCGTCTTTTTTCTTGCAAAATTGAATCAATTTTGCTCGACCTCCACCTCATTTCATCAAACCAGCTCTTATGAATTTTACATAACAAAGTGGCCGAGAAAAAAAAGAGACCATCAGTAAAAGCATAACTCCTCTCAGGGCATGCCATGTGACACCATATTTTGTCAATGTTCCATTTTGGACTGTATCTTTGAATCATCTAATCGTTGAAATAATCAATGCTCTAGAAAAGCATTAATTTTTGACAAAATCGGAAAATCATCATCTAATCAAAAATTTCATGTTTAATCAATTGTTTCACTAACCCGCGCAACGGAATTTTGAGTTGAAAAATCACAGTAAAATAAATTAGAAAAATAAGATTCTATGGTGATCAGAAAAATCATATTTTGAGATTTCTCAGCTCATAATTCCAAGCAGGCAAGCCTGATTCTGCTTCAACCAAAACTCAAATTAACTATCGCGTCCACGAAATTGATTCGTTTTCACCCTTTTTCGCAGAGCGGACTGTTCAATCTCATGATCCACTCATTGGACCCGGCTGAGAATGACGAGAGGACAAACTACGCTTTTAACAGGTTGAAGGAATCGGGCGCTAGAATGAGCTAACCAACGCACGCACTATCTTGTAATCATCACTATCATCATAATTATTAATAAGTCACCATCCATTTGAATATTTTTCAATAAGATAATATTTCAGACTCATCATTTATAACTTCATTTATCTCCCTTTTTTCTATCTAACCCCCTGGAACATGTTTGCCAAAGTTTATGCAAGCAATCTGAGTTTTGGTTGGTCGAAATTCGTTAAGTCGGGGGGGAAGGTAATTTATGGTAAGCTACCCCCATCCTCAGAAACCCCGTAATAGACCACCTAAGATTTCAAGTTCTGCAAAATTTTGGCCAAAATGCTCCAGGAGGTTAATTTTTTTTCGGGGCAAAAGTGAACATTTCCATCTTTTGCCACTTTTCAATTTTTCCTCAAACTCCTGAAATCCATCCATCATTTATTTTCATCGTTATTTTCTTTTGTGTCTTATTTTCTGATGAAATATTCAAAGCGGTTATATTTCAATATCAGAACCGGCCTTTTCAATATTTTTTTTCAAGAATCAATATTCTGAAAATTCAGATCTTGTCAAAACAAAGAGCCACTTTTGAATATTTCATGTCCCCAAATGTTTGTTACACTTGTCCATTTCTTTGTTGTTTTCAATCATTCTAAAATCGAGAATTTTTTTATTCATTGATTCTTTTAAAGTTAAGGGGGTAGCTTACATGTAGGCTTTGTGAAAAATGTATACCCGACCCGCTCGCAAGATTTTTTTTATTTATTTGATTTTTGATTTATTTGCTGTTTTTGGTTGTTGAAATCAAGGAAGAGTACCTATGAGCAGGGCTTTATTAAGGGGAGCCCTCTTGTAGGGAAGAAATTTCAGGCATTTTTGAGACTTTTTCGACCAAAAACAAGCAAAAAACAAAGATTTTCCAAGCTTTTTCAGCTTCGAAAATCATTGTTTAATCAAATCAAAAATCGATATGATCACTTCCTTTTTCTATATTTTTTAATCAACAATGTTTGTCACAGGATGAAGAAAATAATGATGATGGAGCGACGCCCGACGTCAAACTTTTGACGCTCGCACAAGTCTCTGAAGAAGTTTTAAGCTAGATAGAAAATTCTACTCATTTTATTTTTTAAATCGTAGCTTTGGATACCTAAAGTAGCAGGTAGCTGTAATGTTAATGTTGTATTTTAGAAATCAAGCTTTTTTTACAAATTTCTCGCTTTCATTTATCCTCTTAAAACTGAAGGGGGATGAATTAAGCATGCTAAGACGAGGCATTATTGCTTTTGATCGGCTTTAGAATTAGTGTGAGCGAAAGATCACACTGTTTTCGCGGAAAAAACATCATTTTTTATCCTTTTATTTTAATTTTATTACAAAATTCATCGGTTAATATTTTTTGCTATCTACGTTTCACAGACAGAAAAACGCAAGTTATCTGCGCTGCCGTAGAAACTGCTCAATGCGAGCCCTGATGAAGGTGAATAACCCGCGTCTGACGCGTCAGGCCTTCGAGCGCACCCAAACGATGGATGAAATCAACGGCCAGAGCGGAGCGCAAAAGGTGAGACGCACCAGAAGCTGGCAGCCGCCTTCTAAAAAGGGATCCAAATACAAACTCACGCTTTTCGTTAGCACTCACAGATGCTCTCGTTTTTCGGCAAAAGTCAATTTCAGGAGTTAAGAACGTTTGGAGTAACAAAATCTGGAGCAACCGAAATTTTCAAACCGATTTTTAAGGGTGTTAAAGTCATAATTAAGGGTATCTGACTCGGTCAAAAGAAAGCCCGGGCCCAAAGCCGGGTTTTCGCTAGGGTCTGAGGGGCCGGGAGGCCCTTAACACCCTTAAAAATCGGTTTGAAAATTTCGGTTGCTCCAGATTTTGTTACTCCAAATCTTCTTAACTCCAAAAATTGTCTCGAGCCCGTTTTTCCTTTTTTCATAACTAGAACTTTTTCAAGCGAGGAAAAATTCCGTTATGATTCGCACGATTTCTCCTGGTGGTGCGGAGTTATCGATCGGAAATGACTGTAAGGGGTCCTGTAATAGGGAACTAGCAGTACCTACTGGGGGTCCCTCGCAAAGGCATTAGGGTGTCCCGCCCGACTGATAACTTCGCCCACCTTTCTCCTCTTTTTCGAAAAGAACGAAAAAAATATTTTGTAGAAATATTCGAAAATGTACCGGAATATTTCAATTTGTTTTTCCTGAAAATCATTTATTCACGTGAAAGTGTATTTTATCCCTTGTGATAGAAATCAAGCCACTATGCAGGACAAGTGGCTGAATTCACAAAAAAAAACGCATGATGAAAAGAAATAAGTTATAAAATTTCAGTTATTCGCATCTTTTATATATTCATTTATCTTTTCTGCGCACATTTATTCGCGTATTTTGGTATATATGAGTCTGAATATACCTATATTAGCTTGGTAAATATTAAGAGTCATTTTCAGGCGGAGGTTCTTTTCATATTGAAATCAAGGAAGAGTCAATCTCCTCGAAAAGGGAAAACAAAAATCTTAACCCTTTTGGGTTGACTCTTTTTTGACTCCGTCTGAAATTGATTTAGAAGTCTAAGCACGTGACTGGCCATGTTTGGTTCAGCGTCGTATTAAAAATTAAATATTACACACAATGTGAATAGCCCGGTGATCAGCAAGCAGGAAGAACTCTTTCAACGGACAAACTCACTGCCAATGGTAAGTTGTTTTTCATCTCTTATTTATTTCAACGTCCTTTTTTCAGCTCCAAGTCTTTCTGTTGCCGTGGATGCTAGCAATGGTGCCGAGAATGCTCAACAAATGCCTGCTATTTCTGAAGAGTAAGTCTTTTTCCTCAACAAAATCATTTATTCAAATTTTTTTTCAGAAAACAAAATGGAAACGGACACGCAAATGGTACTCTCTCCGTTGTCCCTCCCGTCTCAGCTGGAGGAAATCAAGTCTCAGACACGACGCTCAACGTTTCCAACGACAGTGAAGAGGATGCCGATTTTCTCGACATGTCCTGGCCCCAAGGCGACTGGAAAAAGCAGGCCATTTACCTCTTCCTCTTACCAATAACCGGGCCTCTCTATCTCGTCGTCCCTGATGTTCGACGACCTGGAAAGGAGAAATGGGTGGTCGTTACATTCATCAATTCTATCTTGTGGATTGCTGTTTACAGGTACTCGCCGCCGCAGCAGCAAGTTTTGACTATTTCTAGTTATCTGATGGTCTGGTGGGCTGACGTTCTCGGAGGAGCTTTTGGAATAAGCCCTCCTGTCATGGGTCTAACCTTCCTCGCCGCTGGAACATCCGTACCCGATCTGATCACGTCTGTTATCGTTGCGAAAAAGGGTCTTGGAGACATGGCAGTTTCATCCAGTATAGGTTTGTTTTCAAGCGCAAATGAATAAATAAATGTTTTGACCAAATCTTCAGGGTCGAATATCTTTGACATCACAGTGGGACTACCATTGCCATGGCTGATTCGCACGGCAATTGATGCTGGAGTACCCGTTCAAGTGAGATCGGAAGGAATGGTCTGCAATATCTCACTTGTAAGTCCTCTTTTTCGCGTTTTTGAAGAAAAACTTTCTCTTTCAGCTCTTTATTATGCTGCTTGCTGTCTTCTCCGGAATCGCCTGCTACAAGTGGCGCATGACGAAAGGTCTTGGAGCGGGAATGTTCATTCTTTATGGCGTTTTCCTCGCATTCGCCCTTACCCTTGAAACCGGAAAAGTGGAGTGTCCGATTCAAGTTGGCGGTTAAACACTAAAATATTATTATTTCTACTCTTATCTATTTTCTTTCACTTTTCTCCTTTGCCATTCATTCTGCACAGACAAATAATAAGCAAGACTGAAATTGTTTTTTCAACATTTGTGAATATAGCAAATCTATCATTTTCTTTCCTGAGATCAACTTTTATATAAATATATATTTAAACACTATCATAACAAACACATGTGAAAACCCTGTTATATATTTTCTACTGGACAATACTTTTGACAGAACAATAAAACAAGGAAATCAAGGTGTTCTCCCCAAGATAATTTTTTTTTGCAAAATTTCACCAAATTTTGCAATTTTTTTTGCAGCAAAGTCTCTGTTGTTGGAGTCAATGGGCATTAGCAGAAGAAATTTTGATGCCAAAGATTGGAGGAATGAATTTCAGACAAATGAAAGATTTGAATACCAGGCCGTCTTGAAATGCATGCCCAATATAATATTGGCAATATTTGTCAAGCAATAAGCATCTTTTCGTCCCGAATAACTTCACTGCAACAATTTTCGATTCGACAATGAGAATATCTAGCATATTCATATTTTCCGCAGAACTACTCCATGCTGATTGTAGTTTTAGGGCTAGACCCGGAGAATTCACTATGAAAAATTTCGAAACTATAGGGAATTCTCGCGAGAATGAAGAATGCCCGTAAGTTTTATCGAGGCAATTTTTTCTTATTCAAATATCAGTACTTTTCCTTATCATAAATTCAGTGACAAAGACTTGCAATCAGAATGCGAAGGTCTTTGCCGAGTGGATTACAACAAATGTCGTCTCCTTTGTGAAACTGAATACTGTCAATCCATTTGCGAAAGAGAGTACCAATGTGAGTAACTGAAAGGAGTCAATTTTGATTTTTTCTCAGTCTGCCTTGACAATTGTCCATGTGGAATCAACTGCAAAGAAGGATGTATCAACTGCGACAATGAAATTTGTCCGGTGCGTTTTCTCTTGGTCATGGGCTACAGTTTAATCGACGCTTTCTCGATTTCCTTCGATGGATTGACAAAAACAGGAGCGAAAATAACCGCACCGTCAGACGACTACATTAAATACGCACCTCATGCTCTTGTCAAAGGCGAGCTCTACATTTTCGGAGGAGCGACGGACTTTCAAAAGGTATTGAAAAATCCCTTGATTTTCAAATGATGTAATCAAGATTGCGAAACTAGAAGGATGCGAATGGAAAGAACAGCCTCAACGATTACAAAAAAGATTTTGGGCTGGATCGGCAGCACTCTCTATCGAAAATGAAAGTAAAGCATTAATTTGCTTTGATGATGACGAGGACAAAAACTGCGAAGTCTTCGATTCAACAACATCAGTTCACACTGATGCGAGCATCTTCAACCATCGTGGAGGGAAACTAGGCTTCTACAAAGGACAACCAACAACTGTTGGAGGTCAAGGAACCAGTGACAATTCGAAAAAGGTGGAGACTTTGAGCTCTTCTGGCTGGTCTTCCTTAGCCGATTTTCCGAGGTTTTGATTATTTTTTCTCATTCATAAACATTTTTTAGCGAAATCTACAGTCATATTTTGATCGGCCTTCCAAGTGAAGGTCTCTTGTTGGCGGGAGGGCGAAGATTTGACGATGGAATTTATGTTCCGCAAACAACAATTTGGCTCCTTCAAAACGACATGTGGAATCAAATTGGCAACCTTAAAAACGTAACCGTCAAAAATTCGTTCTCAAAATAACAAATAATTTTAAGGCTGACTGGTGGGAATCGGCAATAATGATCAACAACTCAATTTTCATCGTCTCCGGTCTCGAATATCTACATACAATCGAGCGGCTTGATTTCCAAGGAGATATGCTAAGTCACCATGAAATTATTGGAAACACTGTTAGCAGTCACATTCCTGTTCTTTTCGAAGTATCACCTGATTATTGTGCCTGAAACATTGTCATGAAAATTTTTGAAATTGCAAAGTTTATTTCGAGCTGAATAGCTGCAGAAAAACGAAGAAATCAATAGGCATTGTATAACCAGGAGTTTCGCATTCGCTCTCGATGAAACTTCTGAATCTCCTGGTTGAGGCGGATCTTGATGGCTCGCTGGACTTGCTTCTGCTGAACAGGAGTAAGCTCAGCGGCGGCCAAAGCTGAACAAAATTGATGTCTTGGCGAGAAGATCCTGTTTCATCCTTTATATTTTGAATGAAAACGCTTACCTGTGAGAAGCAAAGAGATACAGTTCATCTTACACTCACGTTGTCACACTTTTATTTCTTACAAAGAACAGACAACACGGATTGTGACTACGCTTTATATTCAGGGTAAATAACCGCCATTATGATTTCGAAGAGTATCGAGTTTTAACATGTGAATAGTGAGATTTTTCGGAGGGTGTGTGAATCATAATTAGGATGTGAAAACTTCGGTTACTTTTGGGATAAAGTATTGAAAAATGGAACAAGTTTGTTTATGACACCATAATGATATTGTAAATTTTATAATTTTATGAATTTTATAACATTCATCGTTGAAAAATCTAACTAATATCTATTATTTTCAATTCTACCAGGGTTTTGAAGCAGGGTTGTCTCCCACACCGCACGAACACTGACATGAATACGCTGGAAGACCGAGGCAGTCCACTACTCACAAACATCAAACTTTGTGAACAACCGAAAATGTCTGGACGAGGAGCAGGAGGCAAAGGTCTTGGCAAGGGCGGCGCCAAGCGTCACCGCAAGATCATGCGCTACAAAGCGGGGACGCTCGATTCGTCTACCAAAATTTTTTGGTACTCGAATACCAATTTTTGGTATTCCAATACCAAATTTTTCTCCCAGATCATATTTTTTCCTTGAAAAAACTACTAAACCACTCCCAAAGTTTCCTTCGAGACAGGCGCGAAGCGCATAGGCTCTCTTTAGCTGCGTCAAATTTGGGCTTTCCTAGGAAATTTGGTATTCGAATACCAATTTTGGTATTTGAATACCAATTTTGGTATTCGAATTCCAATTGGTACACGAAACGAGCGTCTCCCCTACAAAGCCCACTATAACTTTTTATTAAAATTGGCCATGAACTTCATCTACTGATCAAAAAATAATAAAACAAAAGGATTAATCTTTTTTTTTGAGCCTATGTTTGATACCTATGTCACTGTAATCAGAAAGTCTGATATATCTTAAACGTCCTGTTTCATGTCCTGATGTACATTGTACATTTATCATGCATGTTTCGGCCGTGAATATTAACGCCTGTCTTCTGGCGGTCCAACACGCCCGACAGGTCCAGTACAATTCCAAAGAACACTTGTCGTTTCGACCAACTTTTTTTCTTGTCAGAATCACTTTTTCGAACCCTTTTTCTAAAATAAGAAAACACTTTATAGAGGACGCTCGCATTTTTGATTTTTTGATGGAGATTTTTTGTATTTTAGCATAATTTATTTATTCGAAAAAGGCCATTAAAGCCGCTATTCTTTCTTTTGGAAAGGTTTCTTCATCGCATTTTAGTATTTTCGGCTAATAAAGCAAAGCATTTGTGAGTAATGAGAAAAATCGATTAGCTTGCGCCCGAGTCTGGAAAGGAATTGACGATGTGAGGGACAAAACGTCAATAATTCTAAGAGAATACCACTCGCTTCAAAGAGAGTACCGCAAAATACAACTCGAACGAGAAAGTCAGCGAAACCGGAAATCGAGAAGTTCAGAATAGAAGCGACGAAGCCTCATTGCAATATTCGAGATTTCTCCGTCAACTGGGCATGTCAACGGCATGTCGTCAGATGACAATTGAGCATTTTTGATGAGCCAAAGCAGACGTTGAAAAACGTTGGATTTTCAATCGGAGATACCGTATACATTTCAATTTGACGAGAAAATTGGAAATATGAACTTATAAAATTGAATATTTGGGAAATTATTAAAAAATATTTTTGCTAATAATTGGATTTTAAAAGATTCCTTGACACAAATTTGTCGATCAAAAAACTCATTTTTTTATTCTAGAAAAAAAATCTATGAAAAGGAAAAATTTCTTATCTATTTTTTCTTTTTCAGTTTCGAAATTTTCGTAAGAACTTCTTACTAAGAAGCGTTATTTTTTTTGGAAAATTGAGCATCTTCATCTTTGATTTCAATTTTAAAAATTCTATTTTCGTCACGCTACTGTAGCTAAAGCGAGCATATGACGGCAATCAGCCCCGCGCCCGTGTATCACGTGTAATTAGTTTTCAAACTTGTTTCGACTCTCCCTTTTATATGCGATTTATTATGTACGCGTACGCATCTTGGATGTTTCTTTTATGAGTTGTCAATTTCCAGCCGTTGTCCACTTCATTTGCAGGAGGTGATTGACTCCACTCACTCGCCTCAGGGCATCGCTTCGCAGCTTCAAAGATAATTTTTTCCGACCGTTTCGAGATACTGTATTTTTTCACAGAGCTGGATTTCGATGAAGATTTTTTAGGGGCACCTTACCCTAACCTTAGTTGTAACCCTTACCCTAACCCCAGTTTTTAGACTAATTCTTACCCTAATGGTTAGGGCCTAACCCTAATACCAGATTAAAATTTAGGTTCAGGAAGCTCGAAACCAGACTGCTCTTTTCTTTTCCTTCAACTCTACTGTTCCCGGTAGTACAGCACCAGGACGTTTAAAAAACATGCCTGACAGAACTTAAGTACACCTGAGTTTCGTGTCAAGGCACTTTGTCGTGGATAAATTTTTGATAATGGCCGGGTAGCACACTCGACGATCCCTCATCCTGTAATTTGTTTTTAACTTTTTTCTAAAGCGCTTTGAAAGTTTTTAGTCGTGTCTTTTTGGGATAAAATAGAAGTTGAAAAAAAGGGCTACAGTTGTAGAAACATGCGCCTTTATCTAAAGAGAGATAAATGGCCATATTTATCAATTTCCTCTTGAGGTGAAATTGGAAGTTCCAATCAGCCTTCAAATCACTTGATCTTCATAATTCGACCTTGGCTCGGCTTTATCCGCAAAGGTTGCATTTTGTACGCGAATAGGAGACCCACAAGGAGCCCCATCTCCCGAGAGTAATTAAAATCATCCTTCCTACTTTTCTGGGATTGATCTTTTCCCGCTTTTTAGATTGTGTTACTTGCGCTCGTGTTCAAGCCATCAACGACAAAGAAAGAAGAAAACGAGAAAACAAGAGATCGGAAAAAAGAAAAAAAATCAAAGAGAGATTGATTGAAAACAACGAAGAGTACGGCAAAGAAACATAATGCCGATGAGCTGATGAATGTCGACCGAAGAAAAAAGGCGAGCATCGCTGACGAGCCTTTCTGACACAAGGTTTTTTCAGGGGGCACCATAAAACTTTGGATTTTACGAATAATTTATATTTTTCTTGATAGATTTCTTTGATGATCATAAAAAATCGAATGCTCACGGTGCGCACTTGTAAAAATTGAATTGGAGAATTAATTTTATAAATAATTAATAATGATAAGTCACTGCAAGTTTGATTTGTAATAAATATAATATTGGATATCCAATTTTATCATATTTAAGCAAAGTTCGCAAAAACTTTATTAATGATGAGTTTGCTTAATTTCTCTTTTAACTTGTGAAAATATTTGATAACTTATTAACTCGAATGTTCAGGAAGAAAAAGATTCGCCCTCTGACGAATATTCTCCTGTGCCAGGTGGACGGTGGCGATGCGGCGATCCCTTTTGCCGATGACCCGCCGATATCGACCAAGTAAGTCGGAGTCTGAATCGATCCCACAGGTCCCGGAGTCCGCCCCGTGGATCGAAAATCCACGCCAAAACGTGTCTCATAACGTCCTTCTTTATATAAAACTCAATCTATCCAGCCATTTTTTATCAAAATTAAACTTAATCAAAGGCCAAAAATCAAAATTTTAACAGAGATACTCGAATAAAAGAGATAACAAAAAAGGAATTAGAAGAAAACCAAATTTAATTTACCTTCAAAGTGAGTCATTTCAGTCTACTTAGATTGTTCACTTCAAAAGGTTGGTAATATAAATTCGATTTTTTCTGTTTCTAACTCGCTTATAATTGAGAACCAAATTTGAATTTTATCATTAGAAGGGGTCGCTTTATCTGAATTCATTCCTAGGTCGAGTGTTCGCCTGGCCCCATCGGCATACGAGTCTTCGGAAGTCATTTCCAACCCCCACCTGACAAGCGCAATTGAGGTCGACTCCGCCACGCTCATCGACATACCGCCGCAGTCGCCAACTGCGCGCACCTCTCCTAGCCATGCTTCTTATTCTGGTTAGTTTCAACTCAATTAAGACGAGCTTTACCAAGATCGTCGACTAGATATTATGGACCATAATTTATGGTCCATATTTTATGGAGGGTCGCCATAGTCTATAGGCTATAGACTATAGCCCATAGACTCTCGTAAGAACCTATGACAGAGTCAGTTTATTCCAATAAAAATTAACGCCCTAACCCTAACCTTAACTCTATGCTTAAAAACTTAAGAGTAAAGGGTCTAACAAAAATTTATTTATTCTGATTTGAAGTGCCAACTCACTTTTTTTCTTAATCTTTAAATTATTTCAGCTTTCAGATTCTTGCTCATGAATTGTTAATCATGCTCGCTAAATTACTATCAGATACGCATTGGGGTACAAAAAAACCCGTACCCGTAGTCATTTTGCATGTTTTATGAGCTACGTATTATCTCAATGGATTATATTAAGAGTAGCTTATTACTGGCTTTTATCTTGTGATGAGGAAGCAGCGGCATCATGGTAAAAGCAGATTGATTTTCTGGATGTATTAGTTGAAGATTTACCGCTGAGCCAAACTAAGTAGAATTGAGGAAAAAGTATTATTGAGCTGAAAAAGACTCAGAATTTTCTGATCGAATCTATTGCTCCAAGAACGTCTTCATCAAGATCAACTTAGTTCAAAAATCTCGAATCCATTGATTGAGATTTCTAGCCAATACGAAGAATGCTTTCGGGCCAACCAATCAGTAGTCATGAAATCGCCCACGCAATTCTAAAAGTGCGTGGGTGGGAAATAGCTCATTGGACGGCCACCAAAACTGATGCTTGTTATTGGCGTCTGAAGAAAAGTTTAATTGGTATTTGTTTGTCACTTGACTGTAAGAATCGGTATAAGTTTACTCAGCTCCACTCATTTGCATGCGTCGAGTCTTGAATAAGCGGTGCAGCAGATTGTTTCTAGAGCAATCTGTCAAGAAAATCCATTGTCGCGTCAGATTCTCATCAGATTGTTTTCTTCTTCATTCGGTTCTTCTTTTCTTCTGTTTTTTATTGCCATTGGGCGAGGGTGCTTTGTCCTCGGGCAGGTTTTCTGAATTTTTGATGCGGCGTCGGTTTTCTCCTGCAAACTGCGCCGCGATACTCAATTTTGCTCCCTTTTGCGACTGTTTTAAGCGACAAGTCTCCTTTCTTCTCTGACAACTGAGTGGCTTTATATCTGAGAGGAATAACCCGTCTTTGCGAAAATAAGCACAGAAAAAACGATTTATTTGAACGATAGAGAGTCTTTTCGAAAAAAGAGACTAAGGAAAGTTTCAGAAGAAAAAATCATGAGTTTTTATAATATAAATTTTATGCGGGGATGAATCATATAGATAACCCCTTTTTTTGATATAGAAAGCGAGTCAGTTGCATTAACATTTTCATTGAAAAACGTCTTTTATTGTGAAAATCAGACATTCTCATTGAAAAAACGCTATTCAGAATAATCATTTGGTCATTTATGGCTCCTTCTTTATTTTGATGAAGAAATAAAACCTCAAAAATCAATTTAAAAGATATTTTTTTCGATATCAAATGATAAAAATTATCCGAAAATAATCTGAAACTTGAATTGACAGATGGTGACCATACGTTTGCATTGTTTTTTCTGACACGATTAAAAGGGACTCATCCGTTTTCTTACGCAGTTTTAAAAAACGAGCAGACAGAAGCACCAACTTCACAGAGAAAAAAGAACCCGATTGAAATCATAGAAGAAAACCCCCGAAAAAAGAGGAAGTTGTAGAAGAGAGAGAGAGTACCTTCTTCTGAATGAAGTAAGCTTCTTCTTTTTTAAGTCGTTTTGGAGGATTTTGGATCAGAAAATAGAGAGCGTGCGTAACAAAAAATTGAGTACAATCGACGAATTGGTTTCAAGTTGATCGATTTTTTGAATAATTAATCATCAATCGTCGCCTTTCCAAGCGTTTTTTATCTGCTTTATATACAAAAACCCGGTTCATCCCCTTTTTCGCAATTAAACTTTATAAAACTCGGTAATAGAAACAAAAAAGAATTAGAGTAAGTAGAATTAGAATCGTCTGACCGCTACTTGATTCGATCAAAAATTTAGAACAGACATGAGTTAAACAGGAGCTACTGATTGACCTTGGCCCTTACTTAGTTTTTAGTCGGACAGTTGTAGCAAGGACAAAGTAGCGTCAAGAATGCGCCTATTTTACCGGTATCAACAACTGTTTTAGATGTCTGCTTGTCAGACAAATGCAAGGCCAAGTTTTACTAAAAATAATCTAAGAGAGATCACTGATTATTTGACATTAATCTGTGCATAGGAAGATATACGCTGTTAAATATATTTTTGAAAAGCAGAGATTACGATGATCATTTTCACTATTGAAAGTTCGGGGTATCTCCAAGTACAAGGAGATTAAGGGACCTTCAGTGACTCTCGTCCTGAAATCCAACTTATTCAACAAATATCGTCAATAAAACTTGTCAAAGATAAGGATTTCTTTGTGCTTCTTAATTTCAAATCCGGCTTTATTAAATAACGTGCTTGGGAGGTTGTAAACCACAGTCATTATCATTCTGCACTAATGGAGTACGCTCAAATATTCATGGAAGTGAACTGACTCTGTCGAAAACTGTAATTAGGAAAAGCGATGGATGAACATCGATTTTGGCTATCATATCCTCAATACCAAAACATATCCTTTCTTTTTTGAAAATGAATTACTTCAGAGAATGTGCTGCCCACGAAATGCAAACTTAATGATGTCTCTTCAGAACATGAAGAGAAAGAACTGAGCAAAAATGTAAGTTGAAAGAAGAAGTTTGACTGAGCAAATTAAATTGCTTCAAATTATCAGCTGATTGCTAAAAGGGCCCCTTTTAAGATGGAAACAGTAGTTCAATTAGATGAGACCGTAGTGAAAGGAGTATCGCCACCGCCGTTGGATCCAACAGGGACTACTGTAGAACCGATTGTCGAAGAACCTACGCCGACTTACGAGCCAGTTGTCAATCATGTCCAGCCTCCAAGTCCACCGAGGCAACGACTTCCAAAGGTATCGTTCTTTCTTCGGATCTTCAGAACTCTTAGATAATCTTACATGATCTACTATCTGTAAATCAGACATTTCAATCAATACTACCGGCAGATAACTGTCTTCTTAGCCCAATCCTGGGTAGAAAATAGACTATCTTCGGTTTTTTTAGTCTCAAAATGAATCTTTTTGAAGCAGAAAAATTTGATTTTCACGAAATAATTAAGTTCATCTCGGCGACGGATCAACTGCGGCTGGAATCACAATTGTCGACGAACCAAATATCCAATAGTACGCTTCCACTTTCTAATGGCGAAAAGCGCTTGTCAAATATTGAATGCTCAGAGAAGAGGCGCCAGACGCGCTTCGTCACGAAAAAAGGTACAGTCAATATGCGAGTTTTTGTTGGCGAAATCGCCGATAAACAAAATGAGTTGCACCCCTTAAACTTTCATTGAAGGTCAATGCAATGTAAAGCACGGGAACGTAGAAGGAAAATACCGCTACTTTTCGGATCTTTTCACCACCCTGGTGGACCTAAAATGGCGTTGGAACTTGTTGATATTCTGCTCCTGCTACGTGCTCTCGTGGTTCTTCTTCGCTTGTATTTGGTTCTCCATCGCGCTCATTCACAACGACATTCAACCACTGATGCCTTCCATTCCACAAAGCAACTATCAAGATTATCCCGCTTTCGAGAACGTCTCGTTTGCGGAGTGCCAGACTAGCATAGATCAGTTCAATCAAGGAAAGGGCCAAACTATTCAACCCCCAAAAAACGGCCGCTCTTCTTAGCCCCCCTTACCCCAATCATAAATTTCGGAGAAGATAGTAAGCCTATGCAAAGAATCTTCAGACCTCACCAAATCAATACGCGAAGCCATTTTATCCACTCAGTTATCCGGTCTGTACGACGATCTCACTGAAACTTGCGAAATGGAGATGGTGAAGTTTTATGAACCGCAATATGAATTCAGAGGACCACCACCGCCAATCGCTAATAACAGTTCTCCAGGTATGCTCACTTCAAATTTTCATTTGCTCTAATTTCCATTCGCTCAAACCCATATTTTGTCGTGAAATCATGTCAAAATATTATTCAGACCATTCAAACATGCATTATTACCGAGGTACTAACAAAAAAGAAAAGCTAACTTTGTGTCGATTGTCGAGTTTTTCTCGAGAATTTCATGCGATGTCAATTTTTTATCAACATTTTTTTTCATTTTTTTGCCTTTTATCATAAAGTTCAAATCCATCAACGATTATTTCTAGAAAAAAAGCCAGAAGGAATCACCCCAGAGGTCTGTGTCTACGGAGTCGATTCCTTCACCGCGGCCTTTCTCTACTCCATCGAAACCCAAGTGACAATCGGCTATGGAACGAGGGTTATAACCGACAAATGTCCAGAGGCGATTCTTCTGTTGATAGTCCAGTCGATTCTTGGATCGATCGTCGATGCCTTCATGGTTGGCTGTATGTTTGTAAAGATTTCCCAACCAAAGAAAAGGACGGAGACGATCGTGTTTTCGAAGAATGCTGTGATCTGTACGAGGGATGGAAAATTGACTTTTATGTTTCGGTAAAAAATGCATATTATGGCTACTGTCAATTGAATTCTAGAGTTGGAGATCTGCGAAACTCCCACATCGTGGAGGCCCAAATCCGAGCCAAACTAATCAAATCCCGCCAAACTGCCGAAGGCGAGTTTATGCCACTCGACCAAACAGACCTCAACGTAAGCTTTTCTAGTTCTCAAGCGCTCTAGAACTCTCTTTAGGTCGGATTCGACACAGGAGATGATCGGTTATTCCTCGTCACGCCGCTGATGATTTCGCATACGATAGACGAGAAATCGCCGTTTTGGGAGATGAGCCAAGAGAGTTTGCAAAGGGAGGAATTCGAAATTGTCGTCATTCTGGAGGGTAGGGTCTTGTCTTTTTTCTTGTTTCTCATTTGTTTCAAGGAATGGTGGAAGCGACGGGAATGACCTGCCAAGCGCGGAGTAGTTACATTGAAGATGAAGTGCTTTGGGGACATCGCTTTGAACCAGTTCTTCTTCAAGCAGAAACCTACTATGAGGTGAGCTTTAGGGTCTGTGTCTGCTTTAAATATTTTAAGGTTGACTATGCTTCCTTCCACAAAACATTCGAAGTCAACTGCCCCGTCAAGTCTGGCAAAGAAACTCATAACGACGAGCTTGAGCGCCAAAAGTAAGCAAAACAATCATCAACAACAAGTGACTGTATCTTTAAGAAATCCTGAAAACGGGACGGACACTCCGAATGCAGAAAACAACATGCAGAGAAATCGGCGTCTCAATCTTCCTAATCAATCAGGCGATATGAGCGGATCAGTGACTCCAGTCGGCGGCCCCATAGGCGGGATTGGACTACATCACACTCCAAGGAAAATGCACAACATGCCAAAATTTGTTTGAGAGACAGTGCAAACAGTTGAACGCGCTTGGTAACTCTTTGCATGAAACGAGTAACGAATCAAATCATGATCATAAATCGACTAACAGTAGAATTAGCAATTTTAACAGCATGGTTATTGTTAAAAAGAAGTTTTATTGGCTGAAATCAACGAGGACAAGGATTCTTCTGAGCTAATTCCAAGAATCTGATTTCATTTTTTAAGTTTCTTTCTTGAAAATTGAGTTGTGAATTTTCAAAGTTTCAGAAAACGCCGCCAAGACTTGATGCAATAACTGATACTCTCTGTCTCAAATATTTATTTCACTAGCAAAAAAACAACAACAACGCATTCCCACTCAAACTGACTGAGAAAACGACCGACTGCTGATGTTTTTGGAGCTGAACACTACTCAAGATCAAAAACAATATATTTATACAGTCTTTTTCTTGCTGACCTTGACATTGCTTCTCGAAAATACTGCCAGAATTTTATTCCGCTTATCACTTTCTTTTAATTTTTAGAATTTCTTGATACAATAAACTTCAAAAAATCTATTTTTTTTTATTCGACGGTCCAAAGAAACTCTTCATCGTTCATCAAAATCGACTCAGAGAATGAAATTCTAGCGACTTCCAGGACAGAGACACCTTGTTCGAGAAAGCGATTAGTAGTTATTGCTCGTCGTATGTTCGGATCTTGATCATACCAGTAATAAATTATTACTAATAATCATCATAGTGAAGTTGGAATTTTCCTGGCTTGATTGGATGCGGAGTCAGCCGCCAGATTGTTCCGCGATCTTGGCTTAGCTCAACCATATCGGATTTTCCCCTTTTCCATCTTCGCCCATCGTTCGCTTCGATAAAGAGTCTGATTTGACCATCAATGAGTGTTTCTACTTTTATAAATTTATATTTTTCGCCTTTTATTACAGCAGCAAGGACATATTGAATCACATTGACAATGGTTTCTTCCTTGATTTCCTTCCCGTTGAGTTTAAGGTTGCTGAAGTCTTCGGCCATTGATGTTGTGGATATTGTTGTTGTTGTTGGATTTGTTCTGATATGTGCTGTTGTTGTTGAAGACAGCTCTGATGTTGTCGTTGTTTTCATTCCACAAAAAATATTATCGCAACCAAGACAACCCTGGGGACAATCTTCGGCACAGGGACATCTTTTGAAGCATGCTAAACATGATAAAATCGCGAAAAATGTGTAAATAAACCTTCATATCCTTCCTCACAAGTTGATATGCAAACTGGACTTTCACAGAGAAGCCGACATCTAGTGAAAACAACTCGACAGAGGTCCTCACAGTCTTGTTGCAAGTCTTTGTCTCTAAGAAAATAAACCATTGAAAATGCAATTGCATAAGATTAAAAGGATAACTCACGGGCAAAAGTCTTCTTCAAGGGTCGTTGTCGATAAAAACGTAAGAATTGAAGATGTCGAGGAGGTAGAGATGCTCGATATGGTTGTCAAGATTGATGTTCTCGAACCGATTGGGGTCGATGTTCTGGGGAATATTGTGGTTGCTGTCGGTCTCGTGGTTGATGTAGTCGTAGATGTTGGTGTTGTTCTTGTCCTTATAGATGAGGCTGAAACTGTCGTAGTGATTTTCGTAGTTTTTGTAGTCATTTTTGTGAAATTCTCTATTGTACCAATTGTGGTTGTTATTTTGGGGAAAGTTGTGGTGGCTGTCATGTTTATTGTTGAAGTAGTCGTAGTGGCTTCTGTAGTTGTCGTGGTAATTGTTGTGTAAGTCTCTATTATACTGATGCAATCGGGCAAGCTGCTGTCTAAGCTCGGGCACCAAGCACAATCTTTTTGCATCGAACATATTTAATAGCTCGTATGAAAGCTCAATGTTGGGCACGCTTTACGGCTCTCACAATTTTCACTTGGGCAGACAGCTTCATGAAAATAGCACCAAGGAGTTCCCTTCATAAATCGCGATAGTGGCTGATAGCAGCAATGATTTGCCTCACATTCAGCTTCAGTTGATCCGTAATAACCGCAGTCAACTTTATACTCGTTCACAGCTGAGCAATCTTTTCTCGCGACATCACAGTTGAGATTTTCTTTTGCTTTTTCGATGCATTGATAGTCTGTCTTCCACGTGGCGCAGAATTGACAGCCTACTCGAGTACATTCATCAGGGCCGACCTCGCGGTTTTCTTCGGGCGAAAAATATTTGCAAGGTGTTCTGCAGCCGTCTTTAAGACATGGACATTGTGAGCCTTCCTTGGCGCGAAAACACCATGGTTCGACGCTGTTGTGTCCCCATTCTTTCCAGCAACAACCAGCATTGACGCAATCATATTCATTTCCTTTGTAGCAATCAATCAAACCATCTTTTGATTCTACTGCACATTTAGCAACTCGATCATCTCTACAGAAATCACCACCAAAGGCACTGTGAAAAACAAGGATAAATATACTTTCTCTCATTTTTCTTCTGAGGTTGCCTTATGCGCTGAAAATTTTTCGAATCGATCAGACTTTTAATGAAAAGTAAATTTCAAAGTTGGAAAAGAAGGTGGTCGAAAGCTGGGTCAGTCTGTCTGCACAATCAGTGATTTTTATTCAACAGTCCATAAAAACTCTTCATCTTCCATCAGGATTGATTCCGAGAACGAAATTCGAGCTACTTCTAAAACAGAGACTCCCGGCTCCCAGTAAGAATTTGTAGTGATTCCTCGTCTTGTGTTGGGATCTTGATCGTACCAGTAATTTTCGTCGAAGTGGATTTGGAATTTTCCGGGCTGGGTCGGGTGTGGAGTCAGTCTCCATGTCGTTCCTCTTATTTGGCTTAGCTCGACAAGATCAGTTATTCCTCTTTTCCATTTACGACCATCTTCTGACTCGATGTAGCCTCGGACATGGCCGTTTGAAAGAGTTTCGACTTCAATAAAAGCATACATTTCACCGTTATCTACAGCGGCAAGGACGTCTTGAAGACCACTGTAGATGGTAACTTCCTTAATTTCCTGTTTATTGAGCTTGAGATTCACGAATTCTCTGATTTTGGTAGTTGTAGTTGTTGAACTTGTTGTTGTTGTTGTAGTTGATGTCGCGGTTGTCGTAGTTGTCGTTGTCGTAGTTGTCATTGTCGTAGTTGTTCTTGTTGTAGTTGAGGTCGTCGTTGTAGTCGTAGTCGTGGTAGTTGTTGTCGTCGTCGATGTAGTTCTTGTTGTTGTTGTAGATGTAATTGTTGTTGTAGTATCGAGTCCTGTTGAAATCGAATCAGTTCCACAGAAGATATTCTCGCAACCAACACACCCTTGAGGACAGTTTTCAGCACAAGGACATCCCTTGAAACAGACTAAAATAATGTTTGATTCAAAAGTCCCCTGGTCGTTTCGATACCTTCGTATTCATCCTCACAATCAGAAGTACAAGCTTCACTTTCGCAGAGCAAACGACATCTCGTGAAGACTACTCGACAGAGGTCATCACAATCTCGATGCAAGTCCTCATCACTAGAATGCGATTTATGATTTTTCTTCGAAGAAAAACTTACGGACAAAGCTCTTCTTTCCATGTTCTACCATCTGCGTTCGCGAAAATCAAAAAGAGAGAGGTTAACATTTCACGAAGATTACGAGTTCAAACTGCTTTCAGTTCCATAAATGCAATTGAAAAAACCGCGAATATTTGCGCCGAAGCCACAGATTTCTGAGTGTATTGGTCAAAGTCATTGAAAAAATGACATTTGATTGTAGATCAAGTGCTAGAAAATCCCAATTCGATCTCAAGACAGGACGTTTATCCGCTTTAATTTTCAGAATTATTCGTAACGACAGAAAATCTTGTTGTTTCTTCGCATTTCTTTGACCTCCTTATTCTCAGTGAGTTCTTCAGGTCTTGCCGAAACTGTCTACTTCTGAATGAATACAAGCCAGCGTTCAAAGCAGGCAGCAAGGACATTAGAATATCATCAGTTCTAGTGAGCGCTTTGCAAGCATTTTCGTCTTCAACGCGAAAGAACATCCGAATAAGTCGGTAAACACTGTTGTATCCAAGAACAATCCCGTTGGACGTCAGAAAGAGCATCAAAGTCTGATGAAGATCGCGCTCCACGGTGCTTGATCGATGGCTCGTGGATGTTCCTATTGACGCAACTTGTCTAGCAGACGATTGCACTGTCTTTTTGACTTTGATCAAGCTCCAAGCTAAAGAACGATTTCTAGATTAAACATTTGGCAAAGCAACTAACCAATAATCGTGAACGGGAAAAGTCGACAGAAAATAATCTGAAACGTAAAGAAAAGTATCCTCGGTTCAGAAAAAATCTCTCCAAAAGAAGGATGATCAAAAGGTGTCATTATCAAAGACGTGTAGGGCTCATCACAGGACGTGAACGAGGAAGACTTATATTTTTGTTTCAGATTGCAAATTTCTTCCATTTCTTCTTTTTCGGTGATTTTCTTTTCCTCGAAAATCGCTTGACATTGATTTTCTGAAAATGAGCTCCAGACAACATCGCATTTTGGACCGTTTCCTTCCATCCAAGGGCAATTGAAGGGCGTTTTGATCGTTGCTGCTTTCATTTTCGGGAGAGCCATCAGAAGGGAAATGAAAACAGCGAAACAAATCAAAAGAAATGAGTTGAAACGTCTGATGAATTTGAAAGAGCCGGCGATGGAAAGTCGAAAGAGCGAGAAAATGACCAAAACCATCATCGAAGAATTCAGAGTTGCTTCGGGGAGAAACTCAACAGAGCGGCAGACGAAAAGTGATGAAGTCAAAAGTCGATTTTCGTCGAGATCGTAAAACTTCGATATTGCATAGATGATGTCGATGATTGCAAGGGATGTGACCAGATTTGAGGCTCTTCAAGAAGATTCAAGATTTATTCCGGATTTTCTCAAAAAGTAATTTTGAATCTTGACTTGAGCGCTGTTTTCTAGAGAGCATAATTACCAAAACGAGTATATTTAGCAGAATTCCGACGATTAGCAGACTAAAATTGATCCAATACAGAATACTCTCGTAATCAACTGCTTCTTCTTCAGTTTCTCTCCTTTTCCGAAAACCGGTGAACGAAATGTTGTAGAGACTCAGTAGATCGTAAATGTCCTCTTCAGATGATGTTCCATCACACAACCTGGTCTACAAGACACTAACCATGAAATTCACCGTACTCAATAAAACCTGGTTGTAGACATATTCTCTGAAAACATTTTTGTAGTGCTTGTAGCATTCACACATATTGTAAGGGTACTCTGTTTCGATAGAAAATGATATATTCTCCATCTCCAGGCTTGTTTCTTATTGTATCGAATTTATACTCCACGAAGATTTTTAAATAGATCCTCTCTCTTTTGTAGCAGAATTTTCGTCAATGAAAATAGACTTTGGAGTCAAGCGGAGCTAAAACAACATTATCTCCGGCCCAATTTTATACCTCTTCGAGACCTTAATTTGATTGAATCCTGCCCTTGAACCGCTTGTCTAAGGGTTAAAATCAGTAACCCGCTGTAAACTGTTTCTCTTGGCTTTCTAATGACCTGAAGCCCTCGTCTAAAAAGAGAACGATTTAGCGCAGTAAATTATCTTTTGTAAGCCACAGCCCCGAATCCACAAGGAGTCAAGGAAGATTGATGAATGAGCGAAATTCACCAAATTGAGACGTTTTCAATCAGAAAGAAGTCTGCACTTGATTTATAACTTTTAATTTTTGCTTCGCGAAGCTATTTTCGCGGGCGCCATGAAAGTTCAAATTCACACCGTTGCTACGATCTTTACAGTTACAGTGTGCATACACCGCTCCTTGTAAATTAGCTGACGGAAGTGTCGAAATCCCCCGATACGGGTCTATCTGTATTTTCGCACTGCTTTTGTCGCTTTTGCTGACAGTATCGCCAGAAAGAACACTCGAGCGCCAGAATTGTCAAACAGCATTAAAAACCGCGCCTTCGAAAATTGAGAATTCAATGACGCAAATTTCCGATATAACAATATCATTAAAAAAGGCAAAGACATTTATAAACGCCTTCGAGAAATTTTCGCAAAAAAAGGATGATTTTGAGGAGGAATTCCAGAGCATTTTTGGCGATTTTCCGACAGTCAAATATTTCCAGAGACGAATCGAATACTGCAAGAAAAAACTTCAAAGAGAAGAAAAGGTCCTTCGATTAATCGACTGTAAAAACACTGAACATCGAAAAAATATGGCAAAGATGAGAATCAAATGCTACAAAGAATCGTTGGAGTCAGAAAAGAAGGCTTTGAAAACGGAAATTTCGAGGATAAAAGCGGAACTACCAGAGACCTTCTTGACAATTTCGAAAGCTCTTAATGCTCTTGAATTATTATTTCCACAAATTTGTGCCGAATACAAATCTCTTCAATTAGCTCTTGAAGAATTGTATCCAAGGTAAATCTTCATTGACTGAAAGGGGATAGATTCAAATCCCATTTTCGAACAGGCGATTTTGAAGGGATACCCTTATTTTTTTCCTTTTTCTTTTTGCTTTGCAAATAAGAGGACTTTTTAGTTCCTATCTTGAAGAACACGAGTTCATAAATCTCGCTGCTTTTGTCGATTCCCAACACCTAAACAAGCCCCGCACACTCCCAATCGACAGTTTCCTCCTGACGGGAAAGCTTCTTCAAGGTAACAGTTTTAGTGAAAAACAAACAACTTCAATCGGAGGTGATGATTTTCCCACGTCCCGAACGATTTATGACTGATGGAAAATTTTTAGTACATCGCTACCACGATTTATTCAAAGAATGTAAAAGTCTTGGCGATTTCCTGGAGACAACACTTCAAGCAAAATACAGTGGGAGCAATTTTTCTGACGAAATAAACGATCTTTTGAATTCGAAGGAAAAGTTCACAAAGCTGCACGTGATTAAATTTGAGCCGCTCCTGCCGTCAACTGAACGACATTTTTTCTTTGATTGATACTGTTTCTCGTCTTACTGTACATATTTAAAATGCTGATAAAAACGCTTAGTTTAAGAAATCTCTTCAATTCATCGAACTTCATTCTAGAGCATAAAGTGGTTACCCATCTTAAGAGGCCCTAACTTAAGAGGACTTTTGCGTCAATTTGGCTAATTTTGTCATCCTAAAAAGTTCCAACTCAAGAGGACTTTCTTGATGATTTTTATTAAATTTCGGGAAATATCTTGGCAAACAGTGAGTCATTAAGCATTTTTTTTACAGTAAAGAAACTCGAAATCTTTGACTGCTTTTCTGGCCATTTTGAAGACGATGGCTTTGCAATGTCGGCTTCATCTGAACCTGGAATTTGAGGTTCTTCCTCAATATCCATCGGGGTCGCAGCTTGTGTATCATCGATCTGAAGCGCCAGGAAATGCTCGATCAATTCTTCTTCGTCTTCTTTCTCCAAGATACTTTCGAAAACGTCCAAGCCCTCGACGTCTTCAACATTCTCCTCGTATTCTTCTTCTTTAATCAGTCCAGTATTGATCCAATTTCGCTTGAAGATTGCTGGATTCATGTAAGTGAAGATTTCGTTGGCTTTTCTCACGAGCTCTTCCTCTGTGATATTAAGATGATCGTGATCGACGATAAAATCATCGAGGTAGTAGCAGATTTTTAAATTGTGGAAGAAGCTTGTAAGCCGGACAGAGTTATCGATATACATCAAATAACGCTGCGATGGATTTTTTTCTTTCAAAAACGCCGAAAGACGAGTCAGCTCCAGAATAAATATCGCTCTTGTACACCAGGCGGAGGAATTCCAGTATAGTCGAAAATCTTAAAATTAATAAGCTTTGTTTTTTTCAATTTTTACCTTTAAAATCTCGAAATTCTATTTCATGAAATTTGAGATTTTTAGAGGAGGAGGGCTTGGAGTTGTCGAAGTTTGGGTTGGCCACTCGTTCTATCTGCTTTCTTGGTGCGCCTTTCCATTTACTTCCTTGATTTCTTATTATGATTGCGGGGCGGTAATCTTTTAGCGGCCCAAACGCAGAGATTGTCGGGATATATGTAAACCGCTCTTTTTGATGAGCAATTTTCGAGAGTTGATCATCTGATCCAAGCAGGATACGATTTCGCGTGTCAATCTCTCGGCTGACGCCTGTCTTGTCACAGTTCAGAATAGCACTTTAATTTAATGATTTCAAAAATAAATTATCAAATCCTCACCTCAATGGATAATTCGAACGACAGGATCGTAAACGCTGAATTTCGAAATTTTTCTCTTCTTCTTAATTCTAAAATTTGCTCAAATCAAAAAATTAGTTTAAATATTGCAGTTCAAATTTTCAGCAAAAGAAGTCCAATATTTGCCCTCTGGGTAGAGTTGCGCTCTTGCTCTCTGGACCAGCTCCAGGGTCTATTTTCTTGAAAAAAATAGGCGTAGCCCTTTTTGCCATCCTCGCGATTTTATTGCTCTTCGCGGCCGGGTGCCCTTGGGAAAACCTACCAATTTCAAAAAGCAAGCCCTTGAGTGATTGAACTGTGACTTGAAGAGCTAGCGAAGGATCAGAAGCAACAACTCGCGCGTCTGTTTTTGACCTCGATCGAGAGTGAGGTGCTATTTTTTGCAAAAGGTTAAAAACAAGAGATCTAAAAGAAGATTTGACTGAAAGGTTCAAATGGCAGAAAAAGAAGTCCCCTTAGGTAAACTGATGAAATCAGAATTTGTCTTTGGCAGCTTGAAAATTGCACAAACCAGTTTGACCTTGATTTCGGGTTCAAAAAAAAAATAATTGGTTATTAAAATAAGAAAATTTTTTTTTGTGAAATCACTCTCAAATCCAGTTTGATTTGATAATCGTTTTTAGGACTCAAGTTCGTCTTTGGCGGATTATCAGGATGCGGTGCCGTTTGCGTCGCCCAGCCAATGGACTTGGTCAAGAACCGAATGCAAGTTTCTGGCGAGGGCGGTGGAGCTCGACTATACAACAACTCCTTCCACTGCGCGCAGACTATCATCAAAACTGAAGGAATCGCTGGACTCTACTCCGGACTCACCGCCTCTTTTGCCCGACAGCTCTCTTACACGACAGTCAGGTACAGAAGGAATAAAGAATGAGTATTTATAAGCGCCTAGACTTGGTGTCTACCAGACACTTCTCGGCCGATTCTCGAAAGATGGAGAAACTCCTGGTTTTGCTCTGAAAGCGGCTCTTGGAATGACTGCTGGTTCGATCGGTGCTTTCTTTGGAACCCCAGCTGATGTGGCTCTTGTCAGAATGACGGTTGATAAAAGATTGCCTCCAGCAGAGAGAAGAAACTATTCCTCGGTTTTGGACGCCTGGGCGAAAATCGTCAAGCATGAAGGAATTACAGCTCTTTGGGTAAAAATTGAAAATGAGGTTGAAAATTCAAAGATTCAAAATTCTAGCGTGGCGTTCTTCCGACCATCTACAGAGCAATGATTGTAAATGTCTGCCAGCTATCAGTTCAAACTCAAGCTAAAGAAGCTATTTATGATCAATTCAAAGGTGCTTATTTCGAAATTTTTATGGCCCATTGAAATCGTTTTCTAGTTGAGAACAAACTTGCCCTTTCATTTTATGGATCCATGGTCGCTGGATTCGTAACTGCTTGCGTTAGTTTGCCTGTCGATATGGCGAAGACAAGAACGCAGAATATGAAGGTATGACTTCAAATAAGAATTCTTCTTGACAGAAAAATCAGGTCATCGATGGAAAACCAGAATACAAGGGAATGCTTGACGTAATTCAAAGAACTGCGAAATCAGAAGGAGTTCCTGCGCTGTGGAAAGGATGGACGCCCTATTTTGCTAGAACTGCCCCTATTACTGTTGTCACTTTGGTTCTTATGGACATGTTCATGTTCCAGTACAGAAAAATGTCATGAAATTTCATCAGTAAAAGCAAAAATTCATAACTACAGCGTAAATAAAGTAAAAATAATAAAGAATTATTGAAGAAAAAAGATTAAATTTGAAATATCCTCGCAAACAGGTTGAAAGGGGAGGCTTTGAGAGCAATTGCCAATTGAGAACTGACAATGACATTAAAAAACATCCGAAAAAACATAAACCTGTCGCGTTGTTGTGATGAGAAGAAGCAGTAAAAGCTTTTCTTGAGGAACCGGCATTATTTTCTTGGATTTTCAGAAAAAAAAACTAGAAGAGATCTGTTGATGGTAATAGAGGAGGTATTCGAAGAAAGAAGTGTGGATGAGATTGGTCAAACTAAAGTTCAGGTATTTTTTGTAAAATCCGTCTTTTAATCAGTTTTTATAAGTGTTTGGATTGTCACTGTAAGGGTATTCTGAAGCAAAAGGACGACAAAGTTTACTTGTTTCCTGATGGAGGTTTGTCACCACCGATAGATACACGGAAAAAAGATGAAGATAAGGGAACATATTGTTCAAAAAAGTGGTGGAGGAATAAATGTTCTATAAAAAAGCATGGAAACTCAACAGAAGATCAGAAGTATGCAATGCTCTTTTTTGGTCTTCTTTTCTGGTTGCCAATTATGTTCATTGGTGGGCTATTGAAAATAAATCATTTTTAAAAAGCTTCAGCTAATCATTATTCTCTTGAAAACTTCAAAACAAGTACAACCTTGTCGCCTTGCCATCGATACTACAAGAAATGCGTTCAAACTGGAAAGATGAATCTCTGCGGTCATTCATTGAAGCAATGCTTTCAAAATGCCACCAGAGGGTTTATTTTTCCAGAACCGGTTACGGTAATAGAACAGCGTGGCCCTGCACCCCTTGTATTTACCGAAGAAGAAAATCAAGTGAATCTCATTCGATGCAAAAAGGAAAAATTCTACAAGGCAAAGGAATGCCGTTTCCTTTGTTCCACTGCACTTGTATTGGAATCAACGAGGACAAATCCGATTTCCCCGTGCGAGTCCATTTGCTTCCAGTTGACTAAGTCTTCATTATCTTCTGGAGAAATTTGCCCAAAAGAAAAGTACTGTGAAACTGGGTGCCCTTGTCCTTTTTACAAATGTGAAAAAATACCCGAATCCTCTCAAAAATTGATTCCTGCCTTTGACCTTCAAAAGTCAGAGGCCATTTATCCTAACAGTCAGGCATTGTGGAATCTTGGTTTGATAACTGAAAGGTGGGATGATCGGCGCCACATTGAGAGGCTGAAATTTCCTATTGTTCTTTCTGATTTAACGGGTAATCAAGATCAACTTAATATGACCGGTACTGACTCTCTTTTTCCTTATGAATGTTTTCAATTGAAAATTGTACTCTGCATTTTGAAATATACTTTTGAAAACGGAAAAGGCAATGGGCTCAACTTTTCTCAACGGCAAGCACTATTTGGTCGATGCGTTTGGAAATCTGATGAGACTTCAAGAATCTGGGGAGTCTTCTATGTTCATCGCTAATAGCTACAGATGGCTGTAAATTTATTTGTTATGATTCCTTTAATATTTTTTTTTATTTATAGAGGATTCTTTGTTTTTCACTTTGGCTCTTCGATGGGAACCCATCAAATTGAAGTTCCACTGCGTCAAGATCGGAGAAAAAGTTTTCCTGTTGTTGTTATTTGAAAAAGGTCAAAAAAAATCTTTGTTCTGATGCCTTACCTAACTCTTGAGTCAAGAGCCTTGACCATATACAGCTCCCCAACTGCAAGATCCGATAAGTGCTTCTACTATGCTCCTGATTACAATCTGAATCGCTTCGAAGAAGCACAAGGCTTCATTCCTGGCAATCATTACAATGCAAAAACATCTTCTTACAGTTACAAAGGAAAATTTAATCTCATGAGTATAAGACTTGGCGATCATTGGATCAAACTTTCAAAAACTAAAGACTATGGGCTCGCCATTCTGAGTCCGACTTAGACTTAGCTAAAAATCTTGATTATTGATTTCGGTATGATTCATACCGTATGAAGAGGGTCACAGGTGGTGAGCCCTTTGTTGCTCTAAACAAAATAAAAAGAAGTGAAGAATCAGAAAAAGGGTGGCGAAAAGATGAGATTCATTTACCGTGGGTACTGAGAGATTTAGACCCTGTGCATGTTCTTCCACTGATACGGGTTCAAGAAAATTGATAAGACAGTAAACCCCTGTTTCTTTTTAAGTGTTAACCCGGAAAAGATAGATGTCGGGCGATTATTGCTAATTCTGGTCTCCAGAAGCGTTGCTCTCTCTAATACGATGTACTCTGTGCTATTAGAAGGACCGGGAAAGGGAAACAGAAAGCTTCTGCTTCTCGGAAGTGAGTGGATCGGGTCTCTTGTAAAATATCAAGAAAAATCCATCTGTTATTCGAAATTATTTGCGTCTGACGATGCTTATTATACCGATCAAAGTGGAATCAACAATGATGAGTGCGAGTACTTCATCAATGGAATGATGAACAACGAAAAGATTTTCATTCAAAATTTTGTCTTCGATAGTATCTTTGAAATCGAGTATGATTTCGGAAGGGATTTTAAAAAATAGCAGCGTTGAATGTCAAAAAGAAGGCAAAAGTATCCTCAAAAAAGAAAAACTCGAAATGAATTTTATTCAACAAAAATCAACAAAGAGAATGCATGTCACAAGTAACCCGTTTTTCGCATTTCACGATGATGTTTTCCCGGCTTTCTCTAAAAATGCACTCGCTCAGCCTCGATTCCCTCGTCCTAGTGGCCCTTCCTCGAAAACAATCATTCCGGACTCTTTCTTCTCCACCCTCGATTTCAAACCACACATTTCAACCCTTGAATTGAATTTGAAAGAAACAGAGATATTTCATTTTGTAATTGAAATTCCGGTAAAAATATTAATTTGATAAATTTAAATCAATCAATTAGGAAAATACCAGAAGAATGAAGATTTTTGAATTCAAGTTTTTCGACGAATCGATTCTTTTGAGCTTTGGAGTCTTTGAAAATTCCTCTTTTTGGGTTGATTCATATTTCTTAGAAGAACGAGTTATTTTGCAGTCGGATGCCTCATCATTTGAATTCAGGATTCACTCGACTGACGCTTCGGAATCATCAATCTTTGAAATTTTAGAGGAACAGTTTCATTATAAAAGTTTTATATATAATATAATACTCAGGTCGTACCCTTCTTGCCCTCTTAACATTTGAAACTCAATAAAGAACTCCTCAGTTAAAATGACGAATGTAACACTGACCGGATTGAAAAAGATTGAAGACAAGAAAATACGAGTTTTCAAAAAAGGCAGCGCAAGAATGCGGAACTTCTTCTACTCTAGCATTCAGAAAACTCAGATCGCTGTTATATTACCACATCGTTTTGAAGACTACCAACCTTTTGCAGCCCTCGATGATGGATTTATCAGCAAATCTTTGTCTTTAAATCCTCCTCCCTCTTATTCGATGTCTGAATACATTTATTTCTCGAAATGCGGAATCGTCAATAATCAACCTCATCTCTTTGGCGGATTCAGAGATAAACAAAGAGTACCTTGATTATTTGCATGAAAATTAATAACTTTTATTGTAAGATTTCCCGCTTAGAAGGATGTTCATTTAGTGAATTGTCAATAAAGCTGATAAACGATTATTCTTATGGACATGGAATTTTAACTCTTGAAGGAGGAAGCGAAGGTATGAAAGAGAACATCTGATAGTATCCGATTTTTAGCAATAATTTGTTTTGACTACGACAAAGAAGATGCTTGCGAGATATTCGATGGAGAGCGGGTAAAGAGCACTTTTCGCTCATCTAAAAGGCATTGGGACGGAGGTTTTGCCTTCTATAAGGGCTTTCCCACTGCTGTTAGTGGATACGGTGCTGGAGGAGCAGTTGAGACAATGAAAACAAGGGGTTGGTCTAATCTTCCATCCCACCCAAGGTTGATAGCTTTATTTTATTATATTAAGAGTGATTTGCATTTCAGAAAGTTTTGTTCTACTTCTGCGATCGGACTACCTTCAGGTGATCTGCTGACTATTGGAGGATATGAGATGAATCAAGATAGAAAAATGAACGAAATTTATGTTCTTCGGAGAAACAGATGGCGAGAAATTGGTTCTCTTTCCAAGGTTAATACTCTTTGAATGATATAAATGAGTTTTTGTTTCAGGCGGTTATCTTTCCTTCTGCGATTATGATTGAAAACAAAATAATGATCTTTCCTGGTTCTTTCGATGAACCTCAGTCTCCTATCCAACGAATAAATTTAGGTCAGAGTTTTCACATTCTCCAAGACATTTTTCCATTTTTCTAAGACAAAATATTTCACAGAAAAATTGTGGTTTCGATATTAAAAAATTATATTCTAAAGTCGAACTCTTGAATAAGATTCGGATGAAAATATCATTTCTACTCAAATTATTGCGGATCAAGGCGTTTTAGACATCGCTTCTCCGATTGTTTTCCTTACTCCTATGGATTACTGTACATCTTAGTGCAATAAAATCATTCTTAGAGCTCCTTTTTCGTTTTCTTCAAATTTCTTCAAGCAACAAAAGTCCTCCAGCAGCGCGCCACCGAGTTTTCCCACACTCAATGAGGAACCATTATTCAAAGTCTTTTGTTCGTTTTTTCAAAAAGAGAAATAATCACTACGTTTGCACATTTATGAGAAAATTGATTCGGAAAAGAACTGTGAAAGTTCAAATTTGAGTTACTGTTATTACTTTTTATTTACTCAATGATTATGCAATTTATGTTTAGTTTGATCGTCCGATGCGTCGTCTCTGCATTTTCGGATAGTTCAAATTCCTGGTGAAAAGAAAGAAAAAGTAAAAAAATCCAAGAGAGAGGTTATTAATGAAGACTTCAAGAAGAACATGAAGATTCTAGAGATTTTTTACTTGCTCATTTGCCCGACAGAAGGAAATATTCTCGAAGGAATCAATGAAAACATTATTCGCCCTGTTCAAAAGGTAATTTTCATTGATTCTAAAGTTTAAACCACCTGATTTTCAGGCTATTTTCGGCGAAATAAGCGACTCAAACTCGACAATCTTCATCGAAAACGGCTCCATCCGAAACTCCAATCGACAAATCGGCTCCTATTCCAATAGAAACAACCTCAAAATCGACACTTATGAAAACCTGGAAATAGTAGTCGTGAGAGACAACATCGGCTTCATCGAAATCACGAACAATCTTCCAAAAATCGAAGTTGACGAAGATTATACAGTCGATGAAGCGTTGTTTTACAATATAACGGATGTTGATGAAGACATATTGTTAGGAACAGGGCTTAAAATTGCCGAAGATATTAAAAAAAAAATTCTATTTTTTGAAGAAAATAAATTCGATGAAAACTTGTTGAAAATCACGATTTTTTGGACAAAAATGAGCCCTCGATCAAGAAATTCTTCAGAAAATCGAGCATGTCCAAATCAAGCGCTCCAATCTCTCCGGGTTTTCCGATTCCTTCATCAACAAACTCCTGAAATTCTCAATTTTCAACTTGAAAATCCGAAACTCCTGGTGGTCATGTGACTGCACCAAGAAGCGCCTTTTGTCGCTCAGAGACGTCTTGACAGGCCTCGATGTAAAATGTCTCGTTCCAAACAATCTCGAGGACGAGTCTTTTTACGATTTGGAGGAAGATGATCTCAAGTGCAAAGGAACGAACACGCCGAGGCCGATCAATCGCGATGTGAGCTCGATAGAATACGAAAGGGCGGAGTTGAGATGCGCAGCGAGTGGCTATCCCCTGCCGAAAATCTACTGGAAAACTCCGGGAGGAAAAATGATTGATCAAGAGTTTCTCATAAACGCTTCGAAAAACGAATCTTTGAAGGAATACACAGAAGTCTTCGAAGTAAAAGAACAAGTGACGGACAGAATCATTCCTAATCACAGTCATTTGCTATCAACACTAAGTAAGGATTCTTTTCTGGCCAATCAATATCTTGAAAAACGACTCCAGACCAATCATTATCGCAAAAATAACAACTCATTTCAGTTGTCCGAGATGTGAATAAAAGAACAGCTGGAGAATATCGCTGTCAAGTTGGAAATATCATCGACCTTCTCGACAATGAGGACGAGAATATCAATTCTAGCGTTCCATTTTCCTTCAAAGATCTAAATAAGGCGAAGTCGACTAAAGTGCGTCTATCGTATTTGCCGAATGAGAAGGCGAATGTGGCGTTTTTCACATTAGTTTTGACTTGCTTTATTGCTGCCTTTGTCATCAACTTGGTAAGGCGCTCTTCTAAACCACTTTTCAATTATTCTGAAGGTGAATATTTGCCGATATCATTGCGACTGGAAGAAGAGAATCAAGAACCTGCGCCAAGATCCAAATCGCTACGAGATTCCCGAATCGATCAGGACCTCTATGGCCTCTGTTTACTACGAGAAATATGATTTCACTTGCCAACAGGTATTTTTCCCTCAAATGAATCAAAGTAGACGACGTTTAATTCAGGCTTTTTTGGATGCGCTCCTCAAATCAAGTCATTCCATCAAGAAAACTTTTGAAAACACGACGCAGGGATTCGAGATAAATGTGTCTTACAGGAATGTGTTTCAAATTGACTACAGTCAGAACTTTTTACAGCTTTTTAAAAGATCGAGAAGCATTTTCATCTCATTTATGAAACGCTTCAGGGAATTCAGTGACAAGCTTCGAGAAAACTTCGGCGGTAATATCGAGTGGCGCCCTAGTATTCCTTCTGTCCGGCTCCCTGTAAGTCTTCGCCCATGTTCATTCTCATCATTATTCTTCTCTTCAGAATTTGCCAAACTTTTACGGCTCGCTCTCCAGTCTCCGAGAGCGCATCCCCAATTTGCCGAAAGGTCTTCGTCCGTCGATGAACTTGTCGAATCTTCGCTGGGAAACCGGCGATTGGAATATGAAAGTGCGGATATCTAAATTTTCCCGAAAATGGTTCTACGGCTCAAGCGAGAATCCATCGAACATCGACGAGTTTCAAATCCGAAATGAGAATGGGCGAATGGTCATCACGCCTATTCCCGAAAAGGTGCCTTTTCGCTGTTGCTTTTTGTTTACAAAATCCCCTAGAAATCGACTGAAAACCGGCTAAACAGGGAAAACTCGCTTTCAATCGACGATTCCGCTTTCGAAGCATCATCTTCTCTCACCCATGGGTCCTCTTCTCCTGCTGGCATGGACGAAGTAGACGCAGATTATTTACTCACATTTATCGCCACTCCAAAAGAGAAATCTGTAGGAGACCATCTTTACGAATCAAATGTCTAAACTATTCTTCAACTCTCGCTCCCATTTTCCCATCTTTCCTCCTCTTGCCTACCTTAAAACTTTAACACTCACTAAACTTAAAACTATTCAACTTTTTGTCTCTTCATTCAAAATCCAACTGTACACTACCTATTCATAAAACATCTCTTCACAAATTTTTTCTTCAGAGAATGAGAGAGAATGGTAAAATGATGCCAAAAATGCCGAAATTGTCGGTAAAAATTGAGACTCAAAGGACATGAAAATTGTCCTTGACGAGTATGTTGCTGAAATTCAGTGAAGAATATGACGGAATGGAAAGTATACAGAATTGGAGCGCGAAAAATAGGGAGTGCCCTATTTTTGGGCACGCCTTTGACTATCTGTAGAAATTAAAACTGTCATCACTGCGTTACTGGCGAACTGCAAATAACCAAGAGTCTTGTGAAATTGAGGAAAAACACCGACTTTTTCACTTTTTTTTCTACATTTTTTTATTTTGACGATATCAGACTGTAAGATGGACGTTTTGGCCGAAACGCTGGGCGTTCCGGAATCGGGCTTGCGTCTCGTCGGGTCTGTCCTGGCGAGCTATCCGCTTGCTCTCGCCCATCGCTGGTGCTTCTGGGGAAGTTCTCCGACAACTCAGAACATTTTCTTCGCTTCAACTGGCATGGGCTTGACTTACTGGTGCTACGGAAAGGATATCATCCATTCCTTCATTTGTACCCTTACTCAGTGGGCTTTTCTGAAGGTAAAATTCAACGCAACGATCCCTTATTTGACCTTCAATCAATCTAGTTTCTCGGCGATAGCAAGCATTGCCTCCCACTGAGTTTCGCTTTCCAATTTGGCTACCTCCTCTTGGGTTACTCCGCCACAGAATCTGAAGATTATGACATTTGCTGGACCATGACCGGCTGCATCATGTGTTTGCGTCTGATCGGGCTGGCATACGATCGGTATGACGGAAACAAAACCGACGAGGAAATCCGGAAGGATCAGAAGGAACGAGCTCTCAAAGATTCTCCAAGTCTTTTGGAGGTTTTTGGGTTTTCGTACTCCTTCATGGGCTTGTCTGTTGGCCCTCAGTATCCGATGAGTCTGTATAGACAACTTATCGATGGAGAACTGACGGAAGAAAAGGGACAACGGCCAAAGTGCATTCAGAAAGCCATGGCGGTGGCGCTGACTGGGGTCGGTTTGATGGGACTCAATGAAGTTCTCAAGGTAGAAAAAAGATGTTAAAAATAAAGTTTTCATGCTGTTTAGATGTACTTTCCAATGTCTTACTTGGACTCACAAGCTTTTCTAACCGAATGGCCGTATTGGAAGAAAATGGGGTATATCTCTCTCGCTGGAATGGCCCACATGCACAAGGTATTAACCAAGGAAATTTCAGTAAAACACAGATTTTAGTATATATCAATTTGGACCTTGGGCAATGGTGGTTTAATCCTGACTGGAATGGGCTATTCCAAGAAAGAAGATGGCCGAACAAACTGGAACTCGCTTGCAAACATCAAACTCGGCCAGTACATCAAGGCGATGTCATATACTGACATGGTCAAGGCTTTCAACGCGAATACCAACGACGTAAGTCTTCCTTGTCTTCAATTTCGAAAAGTTTCGTCCCTTATTTTAGTGGGTTGCCCGTTATATTTACAAACGATGCATCTGGATAGGCAACAAAAACATCTCCCAAGCAGCTGTTCTTGGCTTTTTGGCCATTTGGCACGGCTACCATCTTTGCTATTTCATAATGTTTGCTCTAGAATTCTTCGTAAGTTATTGTCCCTGAGTTGAAATGCTTATCTCATTTGTATTCAGGTCGTCAACGGCGAAAGAGAGATCTTCAAGTTCACAGGCAACTCCAAAGCAATTCAATCTTTACCTCAATCAATCCGCAACGCTTTCAGCTATCTTTACTTATCTGCCACTTGGGGCTTCTGTATCATTGAATTCAGGTACCTTCCGATCTCTCACCGTACCCTCTAACAATACTGTTTCTAGCTTACTTGTGAAACATAAGTACATGCCAGTCTGGAGCTCAATCTACTACAGTCACTTTATCTTCTGGCTGGTGACATACTTCGGCCTTGGAACTTACAATAGACTTTCTGCGCCACGAAGGCGGCCTAAAACCGAATAATTCTGATATTTCTTCCAGTAGACGTTTTAAAAAAGTGGCATGTTTCGAATCTGAAATCAAGCCTTGTTAATTGTTCCCATCCACGGCAAAATTGCAACGAAAAAATGTTCATGACCATTTTTTGAGAAGCTGAAGTTGCATCAAAAATCACATCTTCACAATCTGTTTTTCCTATACATACAACTTTCTATTTATTTATTACATATGATTCTTATGGCTGCTCTTTCTATGAGTAAGGCATGATTCTGTCGCTGTAGAATAAAACAAACAGCTGTTCTATTCGTTGTTGTTTCGTATTTTTGCTAAAAGAATGAATCGGAGCCAGCTGAGGGATGCATTAGCGATAAATGATCTAAAAAGAAATATCTTCGATGTTGAAGGTAATTATCTTCATCCTTCATTCAAGCTAAAAAACGCTAAATCTAGGTGTTATTCAAAAGCTTCCGAATTCATATCCAGGACCAAGCTGGAAGTTTCCGCAGCGTCAGGCGAAAGATATCGATGTCGAGGAGCAATCAGCTCGTTTCTCGGCAGGTGAAGATGTCATGAACAATTTTCATGCGCAGTTGAGTTTGTTGGAGTTGCTCGTCGATAGGATTCATTTTTTGATCCTCTCTTGCGCGGATGTTCAGGTTTGTTTCGATGAGCAAAAACTGCTCACTCATGCGTTTTTCAGTCTGTTTCTTTCACCTCCATTGGTGGCGCGGGAGAATCCCTCCTAAACTCCATTGTCAAGCTCCGTCAAGGTGACCTTTCCGGCTTCACTGGAGGGCATACCCCCTGTGGAAGCTCAAAGGTCTACTCGCCAAACTACGAAGAAGATGTTCGCCGAGAAATGTTTCCCTTGATTCAATCACTTGTCGTATCGGTCAACACTCTTTGCAACAACTACGTTTTGCCTTGCGAAAGTAACAAGATCTGGCAACGAGAAAACAGAAAATTGGACAAGTGTACTTTTGTCAGAGTAACGACAGCGCTAAGAAATGATATGGGAAAGGGTCAAAAATATGCCTTTTAGAATATAAAATCATTATCTTTCCATTTAATTGACCCGGAAAAGAAAAGATTACAAAGCTCTTCAGCTCTTTTGACAAGAAGGTCGTTCGGTTGAAATCGCAAATCGACGAGAAACAAAACGAATCGAACAAGTTCAAATCACTCTGGGAGGCGTCTAAGGAGTCACTCAAGAAACAAAAGGACGCATCTGAAAATGAAATAAAATCGCTCCAGCGCGATATTCAACTGTTTCGCGAAGAAAAAGATGTCTTATCACGTGAGCATAGTCTTCATCTCTCGTCGGCGAATAAGAACTTGTCGAAGACGAAAGAAAAGCTTGAAAAGCTAGCACGAGAGAAGGAGGAGCTCTCCAGATCGAAGAGTCTCGAAGAAACGACGAGAAAGAACCTTGAAAAAGAGCATGAGACGCTCAAGCGAGCCAATTCAGATCTTGCTTCTCAAGTCAAACTCTTCAAAACCGAGAGCGTCAAAATGAAGAGAAAAATGGTCGAGCTTGTGGAAGCTGAACACAAGAGCCAGAAATCCGAAGCGGAAAACGATGAGCTTCGAAGAAATCTTGTCCAGAAAGATGATGCTATTTCGGTGCTTTCCAAAGAGGTTGAAAGGGCAAAACAAGTGGAAAAGAAGCAGTTGTCGATGATTGAAATGTTCAAGGAGCAAGTTAAAAATGGTATTCTTGACGAGAACCTCATGATTTTTCATTTTCTCTAGCGACGAGCTGTGGAAGATGTTGCGAACACGAAGTTCAGTTAGAAAATCTTCAAACTAAGCTCGAAAACTTGACCGAAAAACTATCTCTTCGAGAAGAAAAACTCGCGAATACAGAGCACGAATTACACAAAGTCAATCAAGAAAACAAGTCGTTTCAAGAAAAATGCAAGCTACTCGTTACATACCCCGATTTGGTCAAGGACCAGATTCCTGTCCCCGACGAGGTAAATTCAGTAAAACAAAAAGTGGAACTTACTTTGTTTAGAATTTGAGCATCAACCAACAACTTTTATACCAAATCGAAGCCAATCAAATCCGCATGGAGCTGCTTGAAGAAGAAAACACAAAACTCCGGGCTGCTCTTGGCAAGCTCTCGCCCCAAGCCTCTCGTCCTTCTTCTGGAACATTATCTGCCTGGGGAGACGCTCCCATTCCTGTCCCTAGCCATGGCTGGAGTTGGAGAGATCAATTCCAAGACCTCGAAAACAACGATGACAATGACGATGACTTACTGGACTCCCCTCTTCCAAGCGATCTGAGAAGCATGTCACAAATGAGCCTCGCTTCCCGCCAAAATTGGCTTCCAAATCGTCCTAATTCTGTGCGCTCAAATGTGTCCTCAGGACAGTTGGATAATCCTTCATGTTTTATGAGTTCCTGTAGGTGTGGAATTAGAACTAGACTTTTTTAAGCCTTCTTTATTTCTTTCATTTTGTAAGTTTATCCGGGTGATAGTCAGAAAACCGCTCAACAAGCGGGTCGCCTCGCCAATGTATCATTCGACATCTCATGCGCCTAACAACTCGGTGCAATGCGTCCAGTGGAACGCAGGGAGAAGAAAAAACTATGGCCATCCTTCCTAAAAAGTTTCTTTTTTTTAAATTTTCAGTTCACCTTTTATGCACCTCTTGACAGATATTTTTGAACACTATTTTTATACAAATAAAGTATTTCTTTTCTACAATCTCTTCCTTACTATTTCCTTGAAGAATTCTTCTTTAGAAATTGTATTTGGGATGAGCTCTCATTCCTCTCTAGAAATTTCAATCTGGGAGGAGCGTTGGAACTCCGATGTTCGCGCTGCCCGGGCTCTTGCGGCCCTAAAATTAAAAGATAGCGAGATCAAACGGTTGCGCGAAGAGAATGACTCGCTCCGCGAACGAATCTTCGATACCTCAGCAAGTCGAGATAATCGCTTGGAACGACGGTTGTCAGATGCTCGTGAGCAAATTGCTCAGCTCCAGAGCCAGCTTGACGCGTCGAGAAGAGCGAAAGAAAACGCTGTTGATGAGAAAAATGATGCGATAACAACGACCAGAGCTGTAAAAGAGCAGCTTTCGTACGCGGAAGGGCGCATCTCCGATTTAATTTGCCAAAACACCGAGTTAGAGCAAAGTCTGAAGGACCAGAAGTACAAGCCTCGTGTGAAACCATCGACGACAGACATCACCATCAAGGGATTAAAAGACGATCTGGTCGATGCGCAACAACGAGCAGAAGAAGCGATCAACAAACTCGCGGGAGTGAAGACTCAACGAGAGAATCTCGCGCGACAGCTTCACGAAGCAAGGGAAGAACTGCGAAAAGAAAAGGCGCAATCAACGATGGCTTCGGAAACGCTTCGTCGACGACAAGAAGATCTTCTCACAGAACAGGACAGCGTAGAAGACCTTCGTCTCCAAATCGCGGAGCAAAAAGCCCTCATCACTCAGCTTCAAACGCTCCACGCCGACGCGCAGCTTTTATTGAAAAATCAACAAGTTCAGCACCGACAACAAGTTGTTCATTTCAAAGCGTCGCAAAAGAAACTACTTTTGTTCTGTAAAAAGCTGGAACAGAAGCACAAGAATTCGCAAGGAAAGGATCAGGCGTTGAAAGAGAAGATCAAAAAGCTGAATTCGACACTGAATGAAAAGACAAGCTTGTTACTCGAAATTGAGGAAGCAAGGAAGCGGCAAGATGAAGAAGTTATTTCGCTTAGGTACAGACACTTAAATAAAGTTTTTATAAATCATATTTTTGGGGCTTGACTGTAATTTAAACGCAGATTGTCTAGCCCAGTTCCGCCAAATATAGTCATAAATGATCATTGACCTTAACAAGTTACCAAATAAGGAAAAACACGCTGATAGAGCATTGTTGTCATTTGAATTAGAGCATGACTCAAAGATGTTTAATGTATCGATGAATAAGCCTTTTCTGAACTCTTCCTTTTCAGATTTCAAATACAAGCTCTTCTCGATGAAGCGCAATTAGCTGTCTCAAAGGACGATGTTCTGCAGACAAAGAGACAAGCAAGCAAAGAACTCAGAGACAAGCAGCTTCAGGAGATCATGGCTGCACATCACAAACAATTAACAGCTGCTACGGAGAGGAGAGGAGCGATGGAAGCGGAGTTGAAGAATATTATTGAGCAGAATGGAGACTTGGTGGAAAATCTTGACCAGTTGAGGGCGAGGGAACAAGAGCTCAAAGCAAAAGGTACGATTTTGCCCTTTTTTTTCTAATATCAAACGAGTTTTAGTGAATTCAAAGATTGTTCAATCAAGGGACGCAGAGATAAAGCTCACGAACTTGGAAATAAAAGCTGCTCACTTCGAAAATCAGTGGATCATCGCAAAAGACAAGCTTGATTTGATGGAAGCCGAGCTCCAGCGATCAGAAAAGAACTCTGATAGACTCAAGCAGAACCTGAAAGATGTGAGGGTGAAGTTGGAGGGTAAAGATCTGACGATTGAGGAGCTCAATGGAAAGATCGAAGGCTTGAAGGTAAATTTATGATTTCGGTGATTGTTCTTGACGTTTATTTTAGCTCAATATGGTCCGAATGCGATATCGGAAAAGGGTTGATGACGATGTCAGCGACGTTGACTCAATCGACGAACCGATGGGTCAAAAAACATCGAGATCGGCAGCGCTGGAAATGAAGATGCTCAAGAACTCGCAGTCTAAGATGGCGAGACAAATCACAGAACTCAAGATGAAAAAAGCTGACGTGGAGGCAGAGCTCCGAGATCAACGAAAATCACACTTGGTCGTTATCGGCGAAAGGAATGATTTTAAGAAATCGAGAGATCAGCTGAGTGATGAGTGTAGGAAGCTGAAGAAGGCAAGTTCTATTCAAACACAGAGAATTGAAGCGATGTCAGTCAGGAAAGGTTCTTTATTTCCAGGTTTCTATTGATTTTTGATGAATTTAAACAAGAATGATTCTCATTAATTGGTCTGCATTTGCTTTCTTGTTGCAAACATGACATCGAGAAGTTTGTCTTTATTTGATCTCATCTTTTCGCCAAAATAAATATATTATAAATAGCATAGCTGTTAATCAGCTGAGACTATCCTTATTGTCTCTCTTATGCATTTTTCCCCAAAAACATGACCACACCGTTCCAACGTAAATGAGAAATGATCACCCGTGTTGAAATTGCTTAAAATAGATTCATTTTTTCAAAATAAAAATAAATATCTTTAGTTGACGAGAGTTCAATTACATGTCATTTATTTAGCATAAGCTTTTCGCCAATTACGGCTTCTTCAGTGCTTTTGAGATGCAAAGACAGAACTCAAAAGCACTGAAGAAGCCGTAATTGGCGAAAAGCTTATGCTAAATAAATGACATGTAAAAATAAATAGATGAAAAGTAAAAACTAACTCGTAGCATATCGGACAAGCAAAATTTTCAAGCTTTTCGCGAAGCTGGTCAATCTCTTCATTTTGAGTTCTTCTATTTTTATATTCCTCCTCCAGTGTTTTCTGAAGTCTTCGTGCTTTATTTTCAAGCTCTTGATTTTTTCTTTGAAGGGCACCGTTTTTAGCTTCAGATAATTTTCGAAGACTGCTTTCTTCTTTCAGTTTTTCGCTTGATTTCTTCAACTCATCTTCATTTTTCATCATCATTGATTTGATAAGATCCTTCCATTGATCAGTTTTGTCATTCTTCTCTTTCTCGTGGGCATTTTGAATCTTCAGAATTTGCTTCTCCAATCCACAGATCATATACTTGTCTTTCTGATGGGCCTCTTGAACATGTTTTAATTCTTGACTTCGTTCAGATAAAGCCGTCTGCAGCTGATGATTTTCGCGAGTCAAGTTTTTAGCTGCTTCTTTATTCTTCTCGTTCAATTTCTTCAGCTCCTTTTAATCAGTGTGAAGTTTTTATAAGTTTGTATACTTACAATTTGCTTTTCATGAAGGCTGTTGTTCTTTTCTTCTTGGTCTACTAATTTGTCATGAACCTCTTTAAATTTTTTTTCGCATTCAGTTTTTTCATTTTGTAGTTTTGTCAGTTGATTTTCCTTCTCCTCCCTCTCTTTCTTCAGCTTCTGAAGCTTAGCCTTTAGCTCTCTTTTTACTTGAATACATTCAAGATGCTCTTGCTGAAGGCTATCGTATTTTTCTATGATGAATAGATTTTGCTTTTCAAGCTCGTCGATTTTCATTCCCTTCTCAACTATTTCTTGTTGTAATTTCTTTAGTTTTTGCTTGTCCTTGTCGGTAAGATTTTTTGACTTGAGTTTACCCAAATAAACCACATTATTTTGCGAACCGTACTTGATTTCGTAGCTTATTTCATACGGGTGTCTGAATCTGCTTTCACGATTGACCATCTCGAATTTTTGCTCTTTAAAATTCTTGACAGTCTGAACTCTCTTATATCGCATATCATGATAGCAACACAAAGTATATTTTCATTGTATACTCCTGATTTATACTTTTCACATAGAAACCAAGTCCCAAAAAGTCGCAAGTGCTTCTCTTTATGATCGCACTTAATTTTTTAAAGTAAAATAGTCGAATTTATAACATCTCCATGGAAATATCGAACCGAAAATAAGGATCGAAAAGCTTTCATCGGAAAACCTTAATCTTCGAAACCTTGAGGATCTTCCTGACAAACTACGAACAGCTCAAGCACGTGTCAGGAACACCACAGCTGAAAACTCTCATCTTCGAAACAAACTTGAACAAATCGAGAACACCGTCGATTCCGATCAAAGAAAAACCAGAGGAAGCAAAGAAAAGATCGACAGGCTTCAAAAAGATCTTGAGCAGAAAAAGCTTTTGATTGAGGAGCAAAGATCGAGGATCAAGAATCTTGAAAAAGAAAGACAAGGTATGCGATCTTTTCAAGTTTTTTATTGACGGTTTCAAGATCATCGAAAAAAAATTGAGTCGCTGGAAGAAAAACTCGACGATCAGACCTCTTCTTTATGTCAAAATAAAAGAACAAGTCAAAATCTACGTCGGCATGCCCAAGATATCAAAATGGAAAAAGAAGCTGTTTCACGTTAGTCTTCCTTGATTTTAGTTTTTCTTTATTGATTCAGTTGAGCTTCATAACCTGAGAAAGAAGGTAGAGGAACTGGAGGTCCAGGAAGCAAAAATGAAGATTGATATGAACAGAAAAGAACGAGAGTTCCAAGCGAAAAAGGAACAGCTTCAGGCGGCAAATGAAGATATGGCGGAATCAAATGATAAAGGTTCAAGATTTCCATTTTTGTTTCGCTAAAATTGATAAGCTCTTCAACTACTACGCGATCGACTGAATGAAATCAACGGAACCAAGTCGGAACTCGTCAACACCGTCAACCTCCTCGCCAAAGAGCTTTTCGCAAGAGTCGGCCGACAAAAAGCTTCAAGACAATCTTCTCATACTGGCGTCCAGTCTAAAGTCTGCGAGATTCTGGACATTTCAGCATCAGAATTTGGAAACTTAATGACGGACAAGGGTGATCAATCGTGGCTCCAGAGCATACGAGATGTTCTTGATGCAGGAGCAGTTCCTAAACTTTCATAATCAAAAGATATTTTGAATCAGATTTCCGATTAATTAATAACTGAATTTGTGTGAACCGCAGAACAGGTGCTCCGTTCGCCGACACTATCGCAAATTCCTTCAAATACCAGTTAGATGAGCTCACCCGCGCTTCCGCCCCAGTTTCTGGCAGATAAATGTTTAACACTCATCCACCACTGCGCACTACTTCTGAAACTCGAAAATTTCTCTTTATTTTTACACAATTCTTCTTTTACAATCTTTACATAATGATGCCTTTTTTATTTTTCAACAGTTCCTGATTTATTTTTTCTATTTTATTCGTTGCTAGAGACTTTTTATAGAGAAGATGCCCTTTGAAAATATCCAAACAATCGCGCCTCTTCCACCAGTCGAGCGAGGTCGTTCCTTCATTCTCTCTGGCGATCCAAAGGGCAAGAACTTCGTCTACTGCGCTGGAAACTCAGTTGTTATCCGAGATATTGCAAATCCTTCAATTGCGGATATCTACACTGAGCATTCCGCAAAGACGACAGTGGCGAAATATGCGCCAAGCGGGTTTTATATCGCTTCTGCGGACAAATCTGGCAAAGTGCGAATTTGGGATACCGTCAATAAAGGTACGAAAAACGGTAGAAATGAAGCAGGAGCATGATTTGTAGAGCATTTGTTGAAATATGAGTACCACCCCTTTGCCGGCGAAATTCGCGACCTTGCCTGGGACGGTGAATCGAAACGAATCGTTGTTGGCGGGGATGGTAGACAGAACTACGCCGCTGCCTTTTTGTGGGACTCGGGATCAAAGTGTGGTGATTTTACTGGACTTGGGAAGACTGTTACTTCTGTTGATCTCAAATCTGGTCGTCCTTTTCGTGCGATTTGCGGATCTGATGATTCCACCGCGGTTTTCTACAACGGAGTGCCTTACAAATTCAACAAATCACTCAAGGTTAGCTCCATTTCTTTCCTCTTTTAACTAACAGAATAGGATCATGATCGATTCGTCAACTGTGTCCGTTTCAACCCCGCTGGATCGCTCTTTGCCACCGTTTCTTCAGACGGAAAGCTAATCTTTTACGATGGAAAAGAGGGCGAAAAGAAGTCACAGGTCGACAAAGCCCATGGCGGTGGAATCTATGCTTGCTCTTGGAGCGCCGATGGAACGCAAATCGTCACTGCTAGTGGCGATAAAACCTGCAAGATCTGGGATGTGGAGACGAGCTCTGTTGTGAACGAGTTCGTCATGGGTAAAGATATCAAGGATCAGCAGTACGGTTGTCTCTGGCAGAATAATGATATTCTTTCGGTTTCGCTCTCTGGAAAGATCAATTATCTCGACAAAAACAGGTAGATGCTCGCGTTAGAGCGACCTAATCATACTTGTTAGTGGAAAAGTAGCGAGAGAAATCAATGGCCATCAGAAAAACATCAATTGTCTGACCTATCACAGTGGTTTGAAAGCTGCAATTACTGGTGATTATGACGGCAATGTCTGCTATTGGGATGCTCTTGGTGGCGAGGCAAAATGTTTCACTGGAAAGGTAGAAAATCCTTTAATATCAAATGCAAATTTTAAATCATTTCAAAATAGGTAGATAAAATCAAGTGGGTTATCAAATCTACTAATCGGCCTAACAGACACTGCCTCTGAGGCAGGTGTTCTCAGCAGGAATCATTTTACACAAAAGTACGAGCGGTAGTTCTCTAGCACCATCAGTACATCTGCTTTATGAATAAGCGCACGACAGAGCGTTGTAATTCATCTCACACGAATTTTACAAAATGACGCGAGTTTTGTTTCCCTTGTTGCAGCTTGATTGATGGTGTATCATATATAATAAATATTTATTCAAATTCGAACTTAGAAATTTTCTTCATTAGATATTCATGCAACTGAAAATCCGCAAGCCTCAATGATTCTATCACCGTTTTTTTAGGTTGGCCCATCATTTGACCTTTATAGGCTCTTAAACGGATCGAGATAGGGGGATACAATGTGTAGTGAACTTGTAGAGGAGGGTTTGGAGGTTGTGAGGAGGGGGTTTAGAAATTCAATCATGAATTATATTCAGGGACATGGCTCTTCTGTTAACGACCTTGCCACAGACAACCTTGACGGTCTCGTCTCTGTCGGCAACGATAACAAACTCCGCATTTCTTCAATTTCCGAGCAGACTATTTCCGATTCCGCGACCGACCTCGGCGAGCAGCCAAAGTCCATTTCCTTCGCCGGAAATAATCAACCAGTCGTTCTGACCACCGAAAAAGCTTTGGTCGTGAATGGAAACAAAGTTTCAGCGACGAAACTCGGCTTTGAACCAAGTTGCATTGCTTGCAAAGGAGACAAGGTGATCATTGGCGCGAAGGAAGTTGCTGGTGCTTTCCAGTATTCTCTAGCAGGCGGCGAACTGACGAACAAGACTGATATTGCGATCAAAGATCCTGTTGTTGCTGTGAGATTCAGGTTGGACAGCCTGTTTTGCCGGGATAAACTTACTCAATTTCTTTAGCCCTGATGGTCAAAAACTCGCCGTCGCAGATAAGAGCAACTGTATCAGTATCGTCGATAGTAACGACCATCACATAATCGAAAAAGTCTACGGCCACCGCGCTAGAATCACTTCCCTAGCCTTCTCAGAAAACGGCTGGCTCGCATCAGGTACGAAATTCTCTTCCTTGAGTCCCAAATTAATTTTTATGAAGGAAACATTGACCAAAAAATTATCGTCCACAATTTCGAAGAACGCAAAGTCGAAATTCCCTTGGCTCACCGAATGGCTGCCATTTCCGGCCTCGAGTGGACCAGTGAGACTCGATTGATGAGCTCTGCCCAAGATGGAACTCTCAAGACCTGGGAAATTTCCTTTTAAAAATTATAGCTCTTCATTGAACAAGAACAAACTTCTTCTGTCCTATCTGCAATTCCCGCCAGCCAGAAAATGATACTTTATCAATTGCAAAACACAATAAACAAAAAAATACAAAGTTCAACCGTTACTGAAAACTTCTTCTCAAATTAGTCTAGTACAAAATTTCATTCAATCACCAGCCTTGTCCTTTAATTTTCGTTCAAAAATTTTCAATTCTTGATTAGCATTTTTCTTGCATCTCATTCATTACTCAGATTATGACTCAATCTCTTTTGCCTACTCTTTTATGTTTTTATGTAGGTGTGCTTTCTGACCAATCAAAAATCTTCTCTTCTTCAAAATCTTCAAATTTAGTTTTAGAAAAAAGTTACTTCGCTTTCAACTTTCTTCGTAATTTTTGATTTCTGTATAGTCAGACTGTATGTCGAAAATCGCGAGTTCTCAAAAAAGTGTCAAAGAAGAACTGAGTACTTTAGCAGAGAAGTATCCAAAAAGTCATGAAAAGCTTACAGTAAAATGTCATACTGAAGAAGTCATCATCTCTTTCAAAGGCTAGCTACCTTCTCAATCTTTCCCTAACAATAAGAATTTCAGGGAGCTTCAAGCACTCGATCACATGCTCGGTCCCTGATGAGTATCCAAAACAGCTCCCAATCTGGTTCAGCGACTCGGAAAATGAGTTCATACAGCAGGTACACTCTAACGCTTACAATCTTTGATTTTTATAGAAAAAAACTTTATTTAAAGGTTAAAAACTTAGATAACTTCTCCGTTATTTTGATTTTCGACCCAATGAGAGTACACCATCGCTAGAAAATAGAGTTTTTTTCTACAAATAATTTCACAAAAATATGCAATAAATGCAATGTTGACTTTGATGGTTGTTACCTTGTCTGCCTGCGTTTCTCACTGTTTCAGTCAAACACGTGACCATGATGATCACGAAAGCGACTGGAAACATGTAAGGAACGACCGAAGTGGTGAGGATGAGGGCAAGGTAGAACATGCCAAGTTTCATTGATCGAATACTGTCTTGGCGGAAGCGCTCAATTTGCGCTTGCTGAGCTGCTTCTTGCATTTCTTCCCGTGAAAATGCCTCCGGAATGTCGATGTTAATTCGGCCATGGTTGAGGTCCTAAACAATGAGTAAAAAAGTTTTTTAATTCTCTGTTTTACCTCGAGAAAAGCGGTGAAACTATCGACGGATCTTCTCAAATCCGGATGAACTGGATAGTCCTCCGCAGGAGCTCCAGAAATAAGGGTCGCTCTCGAGTTTTGCCCAGGGAAATAAGGTGGTGGCGCGTCAGCTAATCGAGGGCCAGGATTCACTAGATCTGGGTATAAATCTTCATATTTCGGCGGCGCCGGAGGATCTTTTCAGAGTTTCAATTGAAATCATTTGATTTCATTAAATGATTCTTTTTGCGCATTATTACATATTATTTTGAATTTTTGATCAATTCAACATCTTCCTTCCTCGCTCATTTTTCAATCCGGACTTCCGAAAAACCAAAAAACCGACCGTGATCGCCTTTTGGCCTTCACTAAACAGCGCATATTCTAGAATTTCGTATTCAGATGCTGGAAGATCTTCAAGGGCCCAACAATCCAGCATTGAAGTCTTCCTTGTCGAAATCTGTGGATCATATTATTGCCACTTTGAACGAAGTTTTCCAGCTCGACATAAGCCCTCTCTTGACTTCTCAGGAGGAAAATTCTTCGAGCTCATTCGAGAGCTTGAAATCAGACGAAATGAAAGATCTGTCGTTGTCTGATGATGAGGATGAAGAAGGAGAAACAGACGAAGAATTTGACGATGATGATTTGAATTGGGCGGAAGAGAAGGATGTCAAAGAAAAAATCGATAAGGACGAAGGTCTGACTGAAGAACAATCTGTCGCGATTGAAAAGATATCGTCCAAAGCAGCGAAGAAGCTAGGACAATTCTCTAGGCAAGTGTTAGCGTAGTTTTCCATTTTTAAGCGGCTTCTTTAGATCATCAGAAGCATCAGTAGCCGCTTCAGATCGTCTTCTCAAAGAGCTGAAAGCAATCTACAAATCTGATTCGCTGAAAGACGGCAAATTCAGTATCGAAATCGTTGAAGACAATATTTATGAATGGAAAGTCGTTCTCGTAGGTTTTCTTTTTCGTTCTTTCTCGCTTATGCTTTGTTCAGCACGATTTTGAACCGACATCACCACTGGCCAAGGATCTTGCCAAACTGTCCGAGATCAAGAAGGAAAAGATAGGAGTCGAGCTTCGCTTTCACTTTAGTGCGGATTATCCAGTAAGAATTATTTATTATTCTTGAACTAAATGTCCCTAGTTCGCGCCCCCTTTTGTCCGAGTCGTCGCACCCGTTCTCTACAAAGGCTACACATTTCCAGGGGGAGCAATGTGTATGGAAATGCTCACCGCCGATGGCTGGTGCCCGGCATATTCCCCCGAAACAGTCTGCACTCAGATCGCTGTCTCCCTCGTTCGTGGACGTGGTCGCGTTCAGGAAATCATCAAAAAAGAGTTTGAAGAAACTGCCGGAAAGCCAGCTGACATGAGCGAAGAAGAATACAACGGCCGAAGAATGCTTTTCGTCAGCTCAACTCTCAACAGACCAAAATACACTCTCGAGGCTGCGCGATCTGACTTCCGAAAAATCAGCATTATGCACAAGAAACATGGCTGGCATCCCGAAAAAAGCTAAAAGCTTTATCTATCCATCAAAAGTCCTTCTTCTTAGTCTTCATTTTGTACAGTTTATCACTGAAAAATTCTGCTTCTTTCGCGCCCCAGCTATTTGATACTGCTTCGAATGCATTTTTGTTTCGCTCAATTTCAATTTTGAAACGTTCATTTATTCAAACACTTATTAAAAGTCCTTCTTTCCTACGATATTATCTATTGTCAATAGACAATTGATGAAATAAGACCATTTCTGCTGCAAATAATAGAAAACTGACTTGTCGACTTTTCCCTTAAAAACTTCGCATTTCTGACACATGTTTCAATAAATCACTAAAATCTGCCAATTCTTAAAAGAATTCAGTAAAGTTGGAACTCCAATTTTCAGAAAGGCTCAAAAATGGCTGAAATACTGCGGCAGCGTGCTCGGCATTACCCAAACTGCTCAAAAATGGTCAAGCAAGTCGAGAAAATGCAGCGCTTCTACAAGGACCTTCAACCTTCGGTCAAAAGATACACACATGACAATGGGCATTCTGAAGACTTGGCGAATCTCAATGGCACCATTCCAGCGTATTACAAGGGCAAGCAATATAATTTTCCGATCGAAATCTGGCTTTACACGAGTTTTCCCGAGAGTGCACCGCTTGTTTTCGTCCGGCCGACATCTACGATGAATATTCGCCAGGGTAGACATGTCGATGCAAATGGAAAGGTATGAAATCCCACACTCACAATAACATTTGATTCCCTATTCTAGGTCTACCTTCCCTATCTGAATGAGTGGTCCGCATCACGATCAAATCTGAATGGACTTATTGGCGTATTAGCGACTTGTTTTGGCTCTGATCCTCCCGTCGTTGCTCGTTCTTCAACCGCTCCGCCTGCTCGTCCTCCTCAACCAACCGCATACCCTCCACACTCATCCTCAAGTGCTGGCTATCCCGCTGGACCTCCGTCTAGCGGCGGCTACTGGGGCGCTCAGAATAATTCAGGCTATCCTTCTCAGCCACCAAGCTACCCCGTGCCTACAAGTGGTGCTGGCTATCCCCCTAGCAATGGCTACCCACCGAATAGCAGCGCTGGTGGATATCCACCGCCTGCGTATCCGCCAAGCTCAGGTGCTGGTGGTTATCAGCCTTACCCGCCGTCTTCTGGAGGCTATCCTTCCCAACCCTCACAAGGTACAAATCAGGAAGTGACCTTTTCCTTCATTTTATCATCTCTTTTCAGGGCCAACACCATATCCTCCAGCTCCAAAAGCTTATGGTGGGACTCAAGGAAATTCTAATTATGGTCGAAGTGATTCTGATACCATTGCCGAGGACGTGATTCTGATGTCAATCCGAGACTCGACAAATGACATTCTAAAACGACGCTTTGCTGACGTCCAGGCTCAGTCAAAGAGCGAAGTGGATACACTCAAGGTATTGAAGCCTTTGATTCTTGTAATTATTGCTTCTTAGAGCACTGAAAGCGAGCTAAAACATGGCAAATCAAAACTCGATGCAATGATGGGGCAAATTGAAAGCGAAAGAGCTTCCTGCGAGGACGAACTTCGACGATGCCAGAGAATGGAGGAAGAAATGGACCGAGAACTTCAATCACTCGAGGAGTCGCAAGAAATCAACCCAGAAGAAATCATCACGCCGTCGAATCCAATTTACAAGCAGATCTTTACACATCACAATAAAGAACAGGTACCTTCTATTCTGTAAGAAAGCGTATAAATGTATTTTAAGGCCATCGAAGACGCAATATATTTCCTGAATAAAGCACTTTTGCGAGGCAGTATTGACGCTGATACATTCCTAAGAACCGTCCGTCAGCTTTCACGACAGCAGGTTGATCTTGATCCCCTTCAATCATGAAAAACCGCTGTTTTAGTTTGAGCATAAAACGATCGTCATCAAAGCCCGAAAACGCGCAAATCTCGCTTGATCGAATTCAAACAAATCTAAACGGAAAATATCTCTTCAAAAGATTAATCTTCATATGCCTGTATAATTCGTCTTTACGTTCAATTCTCGTGCAAATACAGTAACAACAAATTATGTCCAAGTGAAAAGATTCTTACAAAAACCAAGATGAGAAAATATATAACAGAAACTCCTTTCTTCCCTTTTTTGTGCATAAATACGCTTGAATTCTTTTATAAATCGCTTCTTCTGATTATTAATGAAAAATATACATCGCTTCACTTTTTATTTTATCAATAACTTCAGGCAGCTCGGATGGGGTCGCCAAACGACAGTTATGTGGTGAAAATTGCGAATTTAGCAATCACCACAAAAGAAGATGATATCCGTCACATGTTTGGATATATCGGTCGCCTGGAGGACTGCCAGATGTATCCTAGAAAGTAAGTGAAGTCTTCATTGATTGCAGCTTTGATTTTCTAGTGTTTCATTGATGCCAGTCCCGTCCAAAGTCGCTTTTGTCAAGTATAGACATAAACGGGACGCAGCTGTGGCGCTTCATTTAACAAATTCAATCTTGGTCGACAAGTGTATTCAAGTTATTCCCTGGAGAAATGGTATGACTGCCAAGATTTCTTGATTTAAAAAAATTGTCTAGATGAAATGCCATCAGAAGCCGTAGCGCTCCAGCAACTTTTCCCTGGAAAAGGATACGGGCAGAATGCGCAAAACAAACCGACCCTCGAAATTTTGCTGAAAAACGAAGGCTTCGAAGCTGCTCCTGTAAGTATTTTGCCGTTTTCCCTTTCTCATCTTTGTTGCTAGACTATTCCGCCATCAGTGGACATCGAGATTCGTGAGCAAATTCAACGAACAATCCATATTCGCGGACTTGACCCTTCCAAGACTACCAATGCTGCCCTTTTGGAGTTCTTTGAAAAATGTGGAGAAGTGAAGTACTGTACGCTCGCTGGGGAAGGTGATTTTGCTGAAGAATGCGATGTAGGCCTCATCTCTTCTCTACGAAATTTGAAATTATTTTAGGGTTACGTTGAGTTCTCTGAAATCACAAGTATTATCAACGCGCTCAAACTTGAAGACAAAACAATCAATGAAAAACCATTCACGGTGCGCCTCTTTCACCAAATTGTAGTTAAATCTTGTTTCAGGTGGAAATGTCTAGATGTGCAATTTTGAAGAGCGCTGTGAAGCCGAAAATGCCCGCTGATGCGGCTATTGAAATCGCTGACGCCTTAAAAGCGGCCAAAGATGGACGGCTTCCAAGTGGTTTCTTCGGAGAAGCAACTGGCAATCTCGGTAAACAAAGAGCAATATTGACCACTTCTAGCTGCTTTTTAGATCCCGAGGAGCAAGAGGCTCTTGATGCGAAGAAAAAAGAGCGTCGGGATAAAGAAAGAAAAGAACGAAAACGATCTCGAAGTAGAAAACGCTCCCGTAGTCGAAAGAGATCTCGAAGCAGAAAGCGTTCCCGAAGCCGCAAGCGTTCCAGAAGTCGAAAGAGATCCAGAAGTCGAAAGCGATCCAGAAGTCGAGATAGAAAACGACGATCACGAGACCGATCCCGCGAGAGATCGAAAAAGTCGAAACGCTCCAAGAGATCAAGAGTTAGTTTCTACTTCAGTTTCTTTTTCTAGCTCTATTTTTAGTCGAAGGAAAGAAAACGCGATTCAAGGGAACGATCAAAATCCAAAGAGAACGAAACACGAAGAGAAAAATCGAAGTCGAAATCGAGAGACCGAGAAATCAAGGAGGAAAAACCTGATTCACCCGCTCGCGAAAAAACTCCTGAGAAACAAGAGACGATGGAAGCTTGAGAAGCTAAAATTAGCTTATTAGAGATAATTCTTTAGGCACTGTCTTATCACCGCCACTTTCACATCGTAATAAATGTCGAAAACCATCATCCCTTATTTATGGAAAAACAATCATGAAATGGTTGTTTTTGTTTCCTTTGGCGAGTTATTTCAAATAACTTATTTGCAGAGCATCGCTAACGAAGATGTTTATGTATCGCACATTTCTCTTATTGCAGGCATAGGAAATAACAACCAAACCGTTTATCGAGAGGAAATGAAATTCAGGCTTCTTTTTATCCTTTGGTTTTGCGATGGGAGCAATGCCTACGACAGGAGCAAAGATAATGAGGGCTCGGCTGATAATGGTGTTTTTATGAATGAGTACATCGTAACTGCGACCGACCTAGGAATGGAACTATTTGGAAGCATATTTTGAATATAATTTAAGGGTAATGGTATACATCGGCGCGGCGCCGCTCGCTCGATCTGCGCTCCGCAAGAACCTATTTCTCACGAAGCCATAAAATCTGAACGGATCGAGATTTTTTCGAGATTTAAACAGATTCGGAATCCTCAAAGTCTCTTCTATAAACTGATCGAAAATTAAAAAAATTTTCAAAGAGGAACAATGTGAAAAGTGCCAGTTTCCTTCAAATGACATTTTCTCCATCATTTCTCATCCAAATTTTTTTAAAATTAGACTGTCTTGTAGAGAATCGTCAGCTCTACAATTCCTGTGTTTCGGATTTTTCATTTGGGCTTTCAAAAATTATGTGCGCTCTTTTGAAAAGAGAGTTATTCTCGCCCGCGCCTCTCCGCTTCCTATTTCTCGCGGCGCGCTCCCGCTGCGCTCTTTACAAATTGCGATGTAAAATTAATGAAAGCTTAAAACAAAAATCTGAAACACAGGAATTGTAGAGCTGACGATTCTCTACAAGACAGTCTAATTTTAAAAAATTTGGATGAGAAATGATGGAGAAAATGTCATTTGAAGGAAACTGGCACTTTTCACATTGTTCCTCTTTGAAAATTGTTTTAATTTTCGATCAGTTTATAGAAGAGACTTTGAGGATTCCGAATCTGTTAAAATCTCGTAAAAATCTCGATCCGTTCATATTTTACGGCCTCGTGAGAAATAGTTTCTTGTGGAGCGCGGATCGAGCCTGCGGCGCCGCGCCGATGTATACCATTACCCTTAACCTGATTTTGAGAAATAATTTATTTCAAATAAGTAATCTATTATAATGCAATTTGCCTTTTTAGTTCAAAATCCCAACTTCGAGTACAGAACACTTATGATGTTCCATTACAGACTACGACGACGATTGTTCTTTCAACATTGCCCTTCAAAATGAGTATAAAAAAGCGTTCTGCGACCCCTTTGCCTCTTTTTGTTTTGCTAAATTTCCATTCAAATACTTGGAGGGACAATGCCAGGAGGAGAAAACACAACAAAATGATCCTATAACAATATTATTCGAGTCAGAATCAGAAGAAGAGGAGGAAATCAAGGAAATTTTTGATAAATTTAATGATTCATAAACGTTTAGAACTCGATAATCGTTATCCTTGATACTGTTTAAGATCTTGCTATAATATCAAATTTAAATAGAAAATGATCGAAGAAAGTTTCGAGGATGCTCGTGAGAATAACGAGATTGACAAGCGAATTCGAGAGAAGCTTGTGATAAAAATTGAAACATTTAACTATGTTCCCGTTGATTCGACAACAACCTCGACCAGTTCTACTACTTCCACTACTACAATAACTACAACTACTACTACCACTGCTTCTACTTCTACTACTACTTCTTCGACTACTTCCACTACTTCTACTACTTCTACTATTACTTCGACTACTACTTCTTCTACTACTGCTTCGACTACTACTTCGACAACTACTACAAAAACAACAACAACATCAACAACGACTACAACTACTACTTCATCTACGTCTACAATCATAAGTTCGACTACTAGTTCTACTTCTATAATAACCTCCACTTCAACAACTTCAACGACACTTTCAACGACATCTTTGACCACGAGTTCAACTTCCAAAATAACAGAATCAACAACTTCCACCACCTCAAGTACAGAATCGACAATAACTACAGACAAAACAACAATTTCTACAGAAAACCCAACTGAAATAACAACTACAACAAGATCAGCTTCCAATCCAGAAGACGATTCTCTTTCCATCATTGAAATCATCCTCCTTGCGATATTCAGCTTTGTCGCTTTTACGGCAGTTGTCTTGCCTCCCCTGACTTGCTTTTCAAAGAAGAATTTAGCTCAGTTTGCAACTTTTTATTTTACTGGTATTTTAATAGAACAATTTGTTATTGGTTTCAAACATAACATATTTTAGTTTTGATTGCCGTCGCTCTGACTGGGACACAACTTGGATTCTATGTTACTGATAAATTCGATGATAACACATTTTACGGATCTTTTGGTCTCACGATTTTCTTTGCAATCTCATCCTCTATCGCAGTCATGAAATAAAGACCTTGAGCACTAAATATTTTTATTTTTGAAGATACGGATTCAGACTAGAATTTCTTTGCTTGTCATTGTTGATGAATGCAAATAACGCTGAGTCTGAAATTCAAATGACTAAGCAAATTTCGAAGGAATAATACATACTCGGCAAAATTTTTCTGGACATAGAACTCGTCATTGAAAACGTAGTAAGAAATCCCACTGACAAAAGAAGGCTCGCCTCTACACCAGTGGAAGCCTTGTTCTTCTGCATCAAAACTTCTCGCATCAGCAGCGACAAATCTTCCGTGAGCGAATAAAAGATCCCGATCGAGATGGTATTCTACAATGTACGATTTTCCTTTTTCATGAAAATCCCAAAGATGGTAATTTTTCAGAAAGGTGTAGTTCAAATTAAGAATATCGCAGGTAACATCGTTATTATGGTGAATTATCACTCGTCCTTCCGAATCGTAAACTTGATTTTTACAGACATACTACGGTAAAAGCAACAATTTGAATGAAAGTAAATGCTCACCTCATAATTCAACGCCTTGCTGAAAAGCCAAGAAAGATAGACGCAGTCTTTTCCGCTATCTGAAAATGCAACTTGAACGGATTTCTTCTTCTTTTCAGAGACTTCTTCCTTGATCTCAATTGGTATTCCAGAGTTGTTGGCCAAATTGTTAACATCGGTTGAAAGCCAAAAATTTTTTTGCTTGTATTTATAAAGAAAACTTTCATTTTTATAAGAAAATTTTGTCCAAGGAAGTGTGGCATTCAACCTTTTGCATTTTTCTTGAGCTTCTTCTTGGAATGACCATTCACGAAAAATTGAAGCATTGAAAACTCAAATCAAACGTTTTGTTTAAAAATGTATCGAGAAAATTACCTTTGCCTTCGATCAGGGTTCGAAATTGGGCGAAAAAATCGGTAGGCTAGGCTTGGGTAGGCAAAGCGAATTTTTAAAAAGCTAGGCGAAATTCGCCTAGCCTAGCCTACCTTTTCAGGCTTATTCGCTTAGGCGATTTCGAACCATGCCTTCGATTATCACCTCGGTTTTTTCATACTCGGGGATCTGGATTTCAATGTGCTGTCTAATCAAAGGTCTGCTCGTCGGCACAGTATAGTCTATACTTTCTCCCTCATCTCTCTGTTCTTCTAGCAACATTGTTGTTAGATAATAGGCAGCCGCCGATCTGAAAATGATGAAAAAGTAAAAAAAGAAATAATTACATAAGTGCTAGAACGCCGAGAAGGCCGATTAGCTTTGAAAATTTGCTGCCAAAAATCATCATTTTTTTTAATTCTAGCAATGTTGCCTGAAACAATGAGCATATAAAATTGAAAAGAGAGAATTTGATGATTGAGTTCCTCTCAGGCGTAAATATGTTTAAATGTTTATTGATTTATTTGACGAGAAATACTGAGAGCCTTTCGTGAAGAATTTTAAAATTGGCCAAATATAATCAGCATCTCTTGAGAATCGATTCAACCCAAAATTCAAACAGCGATATTTTATGCTTGAAAATGAATTTTGTTTGAATTGCACTGGAGCATTTCCTGAGCTATAAATCTCATTGATACAACGGCGGTAAATCTCAGCCGTTCTTTGAAAAGGGCGTCGGAATAATGGTTATGAAAAAGTAATAAAACGCCTTGAATCATTTTCTCGAGACACCTGCTCCAGAACACACTCAGAATTTTCGTCAGAATTTGAAGAGACGGATCTTTAAAAAGTCAAATAATGAAGGAGTCGGAGGTTCTCGTAAGTCAGGTTTAGCCGCGCTTCATAATTTTTTAAAATCGAAAAGCCGCTAGCGGCTTCGAGAAACGAAATTAAAAGCCGCGCTTTTTGCGGCTTTTACGTTCTACTGGGTTGAAGCCGCAGGCGGCTTTTCGATTATAAGAAATCAAAAAGCGCGGCTTTTTTATTTTTTTTTTTTCGAAACCGAAAGCGGCTTCTCGATTTTCTTGAATAAATATTGAATTTCAGGAAAAACAGTACAAATCCTTGGACGAAGATGGAAACGGTCAAGTCGACTTTGAAACGTAAAATCTCCTGTTGAAACAGTATTTTCTTCAATCTTTCGTATAGCTACCGTAGTTCAATCAGCATCACCCTGAACAAGCACTACAGTAAAATGTCCGAGAACCAAAAGGAAACGATCATCAAACAAGGCTTCAAAGATCTCGACGCCAACGGAGACGGAGTGATCACAAAGGAAGAGTTTGTCAATCGACTCAGGAAATGATCGGAAACAACAAAATCCGCCCCGTGAATTCAGGATTTACCGGGAAGGCATAAATCTCGAGGAAAGTGATAATATTTATATAGATCGATCATTTTTGCAGCTCTGTTCAAAAATGAAAAAAAACCTGTTCAATCAATAAACTTTAAAATCTGAATTTGCCCTCAAATTTGAAAGTTCAAACGGTCTTATCGCCTTCTGAGCAAATCCCAAAAGTGACGTGTTTTCCGCTGAAGTCAGAAGTCAGAGATTTTGAACTTTTCAAAATTGTGCGCTCGGGCGCATAGCGACCTGATGACTCATCCTTCGATTACTCCGCGCCCTGGCAGAGTAAGAGAAATTGAAAAATATGAAGCCTTCTCCGAAAATCCTCCGAAAATAGAAATCTGGCCGAAAAACTAAGAATATGAAATGTCTCAAATGAACATTTTTGCTACATTTGGTATCACGCATCATTTTTAAAAAAATACTGTAATCTTTACTGCGAGAAATTTAAGCATAACTTTCTAATAAGAATTATATATAAAATGAAATGATTATATAACATCCTATTTCAGATAAATCTAATCTTGAAGCCCTGGGAAATTGCGTTTTGCATTTTCTATTTTCGCGATAATGACGATTTGACATTGCCTTGAATTGATTCGAATCGTTATCGTTTCTTGATACAGTCACACAATCAAGCAACCAGCTCATAAAAAGAAAAAAAAGAAAGAATGAAAAGAGAAAATCGAGAGAACAGAACCTTCAGAAGATCTTGAAAATAAGCCGCGAGCGGCTTTTCAAGAATAATAATAAGAAAGACGCGGTTCGCGCGGCTTTAAGGTTTTTATTGATCGAAGCCGCAAGCGGCTTATCAAGCTTTTATTGATGTTTTATTTTCGATTTCTTTGTTGAAGAGTTAATTATTCCTTTATTCGCCCCCTCATTGTCAATTTTTCTTCCTGCTTCTTTCTTTCTGTAAATATTTAAACCGCATCTCGATGGAGCGAGATTTAACAATTACAGTAAATAAAACCATAGCCAGACAGCCCTTTATTTATTCAAACTTCACGATGTCTGACTGAAGTCGTTTTTTCTGACAGAATTTTAGTTAGAGAAAGTGAAAATGTCGGACGAGCGGAAGAATGACAAGTCGAAGAAGAAAGAATCGATTCTTGAGCTGAACAAATATCTGGACAAGGCGATCCGGGTCAAATTTCAAGGAGGACGAGAAGCCAGTGGCATTTTGAAAGGGTAAACTTACTGGCTTCTAAACCAACCGGTTCAATTTACTTTCTAACGTAATCTTGAATATGATAATCAGAATATCAGATATCAACATCAAATTATCTCTTACGTAAACCGTCATCCGGAACAATGTAATTTTATGCCTACATAAATATTATAATCAAACTAAAAGACCCTGTCAGACGAAAAAAACATATTTTTTCAGTTTTGATCAGCTTCTCAATTTGGTGATTGATTCGACTACTGAGCAGCTTCGAGATTTAGACGATCCCTATCGACCATCGACAGAGTCAAGAAATTTAGGTACTGAGCTTTGAGCCTTTGTAACGACAGATACTTCCATTTCAGCCGCTCATTTTGAATATTTTTCTGAAGAAATTAGATTTTTGAGTCATTTTTTTGCCAATTATCTCAATTTTCAGGACTTGTTGTTTGCCGTGGAACATCTGTTGTGCTGATTTCTCCCCAAGATGGAATGGAAGAAATCCCCAACCCGTTTATTCCCCAATGAATCGATCATCTTTCACAAGATACTGCAAAAGACTGCCACGAAAAACCATTAAGTTAGACAAACTAAAACCGTCGATTCTAGAATGAAAGAAAACGCGTGAATTGTTTGTACGCCACTACTGCAGAACTCGACAGTAAAAGTTTTGGCCAGTGTGGTGTAAAGCGTTTTTACTGCAAACAACAAAACGGGCAAACCCGGTTTTGCCCAAATCGATTTCATGATGAGGGAGTCCAATAGAAGAAGACGCAGAGGGTAAGTGCATCTTTCTCGCACTGAAATTTCTTGAAGTTCCTACCGAAGCCGTTTCACGGCTTTTCAGTTGCTCTAGCTCGAAGCCGCAAGCGGCTTCTCGATCTTAAATTGATGGTTTAGCTTTTCTGTGTATCTTCGCCAAATTGTCTCGGCAGTTCCGAAACGACGATGGTTCAATGAGGCTGGCTTCAATATCGACCTGACTCGATTTCCCGATAAGCGATTCGTCGTCATGGCCTGGCCAAGCGACTCGATAAGTTTCAAGGACCCCAAGCGATCCAAGCTTGTTCGAAATGACGCTGAAGAAGGTTGTTAAAACAACTAATGTAGCAGTGACTGACTTAAATTTCAGTAAAACATTGTTTGAGAGAATTCTTTCCAAAAGGATTCAAAATCTACAATCTTTGCTGCGAATCCCAGAGCTTCCGCGGCCAAGATTTAGATGGTAAGCTTCTTTCACCGATGAATGCATTAACCTCGATTTCAAGTTGCTCAATATGGATGGCTTGATCACGAACCACCACCATTTGGTCTCTTCGTTCGGCTGTTAGCTGATATCGATGAGTACCTGGAGCAGAATCCTGAAAATGGTGTCGCTATTCACTGCAAGGTACGGCTCTTGCGATAGGATCGGGAACCAGTGTGAGAACCTGACTCAGGGTTTTGAAGCGTGAATTGAAATGATTTGATGGTAATACTGGCGAAGCCGCTTCATAACCCTGACTCAGGTTGTATACACATCATCACCACACCCTTCCTGATGTTTAGCCCAACAATTAATCATTTCCTAGGCCGGAAAAGGTCGTACTGGCACGACAGCAGCAGCATATTTGCTAAAAGACCTAAATTCGGCGGACAGGGCGCTGGCAGAATTCGGCTCCCGTCGGTTCGGACGAGAAGATGATGGCGTCACCATCCCCAGTCAGAAGCGCTACGTCAAGGTTAGTCGCCATTTCCGCCCGATCAAAGAGACTTACGAGTCTGATTTAGTACTATGAAAAGTTCACCACTTCCGGCGAGAAATATCAGCCAGCGACGAATACCATTCGCGGGCTGAGAGTCACTCTAGGTGAGTTCTATTATTCTGCGTAAATCATAGCCTTTTTCAGCTGCGAATCTGACGAATGACTGCAAGGAGAAACTGAGCAAATCGCTCTTCAAGATCTCTGGAAGGGTAATTTTCAAAACCGCTGTCTTTTACTTACTTTGATTTCTTAGAAATACAGCACAGAAGAACGAGAGAAGCTGAAAAGCCTGGATATCGTGTTGAAGAGTGAAGTGAAGGGAATAGCAATCGACGAACGAACAGTTGAGCTCCCTCTCAACGATGTTGAGCTCTCAGGAGACTTCAAGCTGACGGTCGTCCAGAAGGAGAGTACTGCTGTCTTCAAGAGCGAGCGCACTATTTGCTCATTCTGGAACGAGTTTTTATTGATGAAATATGTGGTGTTCTCGCCTGTGGAGGCAGAAAATACTGGCCTAAATTGCCTCAATGACTCATGAAAACCCGAAAAAAGGTTGAATACAGCGTTCCACTCGGAGAAAGAAATCGTACTGAAATCGAGAGAGCTCGACTGGAACAAGAAAGAACGAGATTCGCGGGATCGAGTGGAGAGCATCGCCGTCCTCCTTGGCTGAGAAGAAATGACTCGCTGGAAAGAACGATCCTCCATTCTCAATTCTTAGGATGATTCCAACAAATACTAGAATTTCTAATATAGTGCACTTTTTAATTAAATTATTCTCCTGTTCAACAAAAATAATTGAGCCCGTTTCTTTTTCTCGATAACTTCGAAAAATTTGAAAAGAAGCGAGCTCTCTTCTTACTCATTCCTTTCGCGCTCAGGTTCAACCTTTTTCGAGTCCTCAAAAAAGGGATTCCTAAAGAAGCCCCCTAAATTTCGCTTTAGTGTGCACAAATATCGTATTTAAAATGAATGCATCAAGCTTCAGACAAATCTGCTAATGTAGATGAAAATGTAGTAGTCTTTTTAGAGAAAGCACAAATTGAATCAAATGACTTTTTTATGCGATGCGCACTAGAATGCGATAAAGGGGCAAATCTACTGATTCTAGCTTACAGTATTAATAGTCCATTGTTTTTTTTCAGGTACGGACTCTCTCTCTGTGATATATGCAGATTTTATCCATAGGATTTAATTTAGTTTCCAATTGAAAACTTGATCTTTCAATTTGATCTCTTTTTGTTTTGTTTTCTGGATTTACAGATTTCTTACTGATCATTCCCATGGTTGAAAATTGTATGTACTTACTATTCTTTTGATTTTTATTTAATCTCCCTGCTTATTTATTTGAAACGAGGAGAGGGCGCAGGTTTCGCCCTTTCTCAATTCTCATTCTCAGCATCAGTCAAACCTGAACTCTTCTTCTCCTGAATTCTAAGAATTCTCCTTTCTTCAAGTGAGGTCGCCTATCGTCTTTTTGCCCCACCTGAGGAAGAGGAGCCCGGTCATAAAACGCCTGCATAAGTCTACCCCACAGTCATTAGCTGTTTGCTCGGGAAACTGTGTAGAACTTGAGTCAGGGCCCTGAAAAATCTTAGATACAAGTTTCTGCACAGGCTTCGGAGACAAGCTTTGATGACTAGTGTATCCGAGTCTAATTATAGGCGAAAGAAAGTTCGCGTGTACCAAGTTACCTTCCGGTTTATGTTTCTTTTCTAAAAATTTCCGTGATAATAATAATTATTTTCGAATTTGATTTCTACTTATCGAAATCCTTCCGTTTTTTTTTCTGCACGGAGTGGCTTACTCTTGAGTTCAGTACTGCTCTAGTAAAACAACAGGTGTTTGATTCATTGTCCAATAATACTCATTCTTTATTTCTTTATTATTTCTTGTCCCTGTATATACCAACTGTAATACCCTCATATCTCACCATTGAAATATTCTGAATATTATATTCACCACACCTGAACATAACAACAAAATAAACTTCTTGAAAGAAAAAAACGAAGGGTCAGTTCTTTGCTTTTTAGCAAAATAATTGAAATTCAGATTAGCACTTTTTCACTTTATTGTTGACAGTATCCAACAGGGACTTCAAGGAAATGAGCATAGTACAGTTCCATTGGGCAGTCTTCTGGTTCCGTATCAAAGAGCGTTTCCGTCTCAAAAACGCCCCCTGTGAACGTCGTTTTCTCCAGCGAGCAGCAGCCAGAGTACCATGTGAAGCCGGATTGAATCGCTGATGTGACGTAGTTGGTTGTGTAGGAAGCTTCGTTGAGTTTTCCGATGTTTTCCCACTTGTTGTCCTTCAATCGGAGAACTATTTGAAAATATTTTTGAGAAGGATAAGCCTTTGAAAGTATCATACCTGGAGGCCTGCCACCAGCGTAGGTCTTTCCGGCAAGGATATAGACCGCTTCTTGATCCGCAGTCATCACTTGACTTCTGATGTATTGATACGGGGCTGTATCGAGATTAGGATTGAGATTTGGCCCGCTTCGCCAGCCATCATCGTTCATAAACTCCGTCTCGCTGTGGCAAGTATTGAAGATGTCCGCTCCACAGCCGCCAACGGTTACAAGCTCGTTCTTGAAGTTGACCATGTCTGCCCATTCGTGAGGATGCTGAGAGAAAGGAAGCTCCGTTTGAGCCTGTCCAGGCTGCCAAGTGAAGCAACCTTTGTGCTCCTGTTCATCACTGTTGAAGCACAGAGCGACTGATTCTTTATACTGAGCACACGATCCGAAAACACCGTCTGTGTGTGGAATGCTGAGAATTTCATTCTGGACTACGATTTCGCAGTTTTCAATCTTTGCGACTTGGCGCGTCCGATTATAACCGCCTAGGAAATAGGTTTCGCCGCGGAAAGTAATCGAGCAAGAATCTTCAAGATCTGAAAAAAGGATGAAAAGAGGAGTCTTAGGATGGAGATTTACCGACGAAGTTGTATTGGAAAAATCTAACTTCGGACTGATCGTTGAATTTGTTGATCACAAGCCCTTTATCTTGAAAAGTTTGCTTGTGGTTCAGCACTAGAATATCTGTATAAGAGCAGAACTCATTCGCAGAGCAGAAATCATCATCGCCGTTGCATCCATCAGGGCAGTTGATTCCACAAGGACAGGAATTGACGCAGTCCAAGTGTGTTGCCTGACATCGAGTCTCGCAGCTAAGAAATCAAAATAAGAATAAGAAATGTTTAACGCACGTGTAATCGTTTTCGCAATTTTGTTGGCAATCGAAAAGGGTACCCTCGCATGCAGAAACACAACGCTCTCCCAAGTTAAAATCTTGACATCTCTTATCTTGATTCGGTTTATCAGCAGAGACGGACAGCAAAGCAACTGAGAAAAGCTTCATTATTGGCGATGATTTCAGCAGTTGGGGGTACGTATATAGTCAAATACTTTTAGAAAGTCAAACATATGAGAATTTCTCACGGACTTTGGGGGTAACAAAGCACAATCTTCAACTGCAAAAAGAAGTCTTTATTGAATATTGAAAAAGTTGATTCAGTAAGTCATATTTTCAGCTCAAGAGTTTTCTGCGATGGTTTTTGTAATCCAGTCATCATAGTTGACAAATGAATAGATGCCAGGATACTTTTCCCATCCGCATCCCTCTCCCCAAGCAACGACGCCGACTTGAGTGGCTACATCATCAATGTTGCAAACGAGTGGTCCACCAGAATCACCCTGGCAGGAATCACTTCCGGGCATCATTAATTCCTCATTCAATTGGATAGAATCTTCATAGTCCCAAACATTATTGATTTCTGTTCCATCGGTCCAGCCGTCATAGTCTTCATCTGGGAGACCAGCACAAATATCGTATGTATCAATTTTGTACTTATACTTGGAATCAGGATAGTTAGATTTTTCATTGCAGTATTGTTGGGACATGATTGATACTCCGACGCTTTTGAACACCTTTGATGATGGACCTCCACTCCCAAAACCTCCAAAACCTCCGACCCAACATGCCATACCGTCTGAAATTAATATTTTAGGCTTCCTATCTTCCTTTTAAACTTACGCTTGGGATAGTCCTTCGCAAGGCAGATTTCTCGGGTAACTCCGTTGCCTTCTTCATGAATACTCTTGTCGAATTTGATCAAGCAAATGTCAGCCTTTTCTGGTCCGCTTGTATAGTTCGGATGGTTGAAGAAACTCGATTTTCTTGCGTCAAGCCAAAACTCGCCTTTATTGAATTTTGTTCGGTCAGGGTCATTAAAAGCAGCCTCAACTCTGTTGACCTGAAGACCAGTTTTTTCATCGACACTTGCACAGCAGTGAGAAGCAGTCAAGACCCAATTTTCCCGAATGATTGAGCCGCCACAATGAAATGAACTGTCATCTGGGTAGGAGAAGTGAAGTCGAGCAAACCAGGGCCAACGTGTGTGATCAGCTTGGGTACCGCCAACGATTCGAGCAGATGCAGATGACCCGCTGCTGCAAGTTTTCAGTCCTTTTTTTATCTCATGCGTTCTTTCTTCGAACTCATTTGAGAAGGGGCAGTCTGATCGGCTCCTTGTTGCGTCACAGGGAACTTGCTGTCGAAAGTCCGCTACGTCAGCATCGTTGATCATTTTTCCAAGTTTAGGCGCATTCCAGCCGCAAACAAAATTATTGCTACGAGGGCAAGTGCAAGTAGCGCCGATCGCATGAAATCCCTCACCGCTTGGATCGTGAACGATGTCGAGACTTTGGTCCTTCGAGGTGTACAAGCACTTCTTCTTTCCTGACGCGCTGAAATGGCAATTGATGTTGATGCCTTGTCGCGGAGAGGCTAAATCGGGGCAGGTTTCGCAGTGGCCAAGCGTGCGCTTCCAGAAGAACTGGCTGAGATTTTTTAATCCGCATATTGTTCTTCGTCATCCGATGGCAACGTAACCTAAATCGTCAATAATTAGACTTGAATCAAATTTCAAACAATCAAAAAAACGCTAAATTTTCTTACTGCAATTACATTTTTGAAGGTTCAGGTTCGGTTGGGAAAGAGACTCAGGTTGATTATTGATCATTAAAAAACGCGGCATTTGCTGAGCAATTTACATCAACAAGGGACGTTCTATTTTATTACCGAAACTGCTTTGCGGAAAGCCATATTACCTTGATTACAGACAAGAGTGCAAGTCGACCGATTGCAGACGATTTCACCATTTTCAGGAGCGGTCAACGCTGGGCACTTTTCGTAAAAAGCAGCGAAGATACTCGCAAAGAAGCTCACAAATACCTATAAATTTTAAGCGAATAATATTTTCAAAAAATCTTTACCCTCATCTCTGTATCGATATTTTTTGATTCCGCCAACGAAAGCGGTCGAATTTATACAGAAAAATTGACATTTCGATATTATGATTGAATCGAGATTCAGTAGCTTGGCGCTTCAGAACTAGCTTACAAAGGAAAAAACTGTGAATGCTTAAGGACCCCCCCGTCAGCTTTTTTTGAAAATTCAAATTTCGGACTTTTTAAATTTTGACCCCGGAAATGGATTCTACGGGTCAAAAAACGATTTTGAGGCGTCATTTTTTGGGGGTCTATCTGGACTCCTTCACCCCCAAAATCGCATTTGAAAATTTGACTTTTCGTCGAAAATTGATGAATTTGCCCTAATTTTGGCAAAAATACTGAGTTTTCTTGGTCATAACTTCCCCTTATCAGTTTTTCTTAGCAAGTTTAACTTTAGGACGTATTAAGAACAAAAAATATGGGGTTTATCGAAATTTCCATTTTTCGGAGGAAAAAGCTGACGGGGGGGTCCTTAATGCTTTCGATGACCTTCAACAGTCTCTAAACAAGAATTTCGTTGTATCAAAATTCGAAGTTCAATGCTTTTTCATACATTAAAACTCACGTTCTTCCCCGTTTTCAAAAGAAAAAGAACAAGCCCGGAGTCCATTAATATTTCATTCGACTTCTTATCATCAAATAAAATGATATATTATGATTTAGGAAGTAACAGAATTTTTTCGAAATGAATCGCGATTTCAGCAGACGAATCTCACCAAGTCGTAAATATTCGTACCTGGAAACGCCTGCGGCCAAGCGCAAGAATGAACACCGCTTTTTATCAGTTTTGACATTTTGAGAAAACAGGAGAAATCAGTACACCGAGATGAAATTATGACAAAGAGAATGGACAGCCGCTTCAAAGTATTTATTCTTTTGGTGCTGCTTGGAATCATAGAGAAGGATTTTTAATTATTAAAAGCCCGTAAATTAATTATTTTATTTTAACCAAGTATTTTTGGTAGTATATCAAAAATAGCAATTATAATATCAGATGCATTTTTAAATCCTGTAAGAAGCGATCTTCAATAATTATTATCCGCGTAAAAATGCAGTACCAGGGAAGATTAAGCCGAAAGTCAAAATTGGAAGTTACAAAGATGAAGATATTGAAGTTAAAGTTCGCAAAGGTAAGGCCTTTTCATCACAAGAGAATCAGGACTATCATGAATGAAAAAAAAAACAAACAAAATTCATCAATTTTCTTCAATTATAAGCGTTTAATTAAGGCTACAAGTGGGTTGATCAGCTTCCAAATTTCTGGCTAAAGGATCGACCATGGCATGTTGGTTTCACCGGAACGTCTTGCCCAAAAACCGACTTTTTGGTTCTCATCGAAACTGCCCCTAAGAATCTCGCCTACCGTATCGTTCTTCGACAATATTTCAAAGAACTCAAAGAACAGGGGATTAAATTTGAGCACAGATTCATTTTCGGAAGAGCAAATGATGATATCAACGTTGAATTGAGAAACAACGATGATGTTGTTTTTGGCGAATTTACCGACAGCTATGTAAGAATTCAAAGCTCAATGGACTTTTTGTTTATCTTTTTGTAGGCAAATCTTCCGCTGAAAACAAAAGTTGCTTACGAATATCTTCAATCTTGCCCCTCGACCCCCAAATTTTTCCTCGTCCACGACGATGATACTTGGATAAATCTTCCGCTCATGGCTAAACGAATGAGCGAAAAAGACGGAGACAATCGTATCTTTGGAAGAGTCAGAAAAGGCGAGCCAAGGGGACCTTGGGCAATTGAAAAAGATCTTGCCACTAATAAAACGATTTGGGCACCGGATTATTGGCCGATGTGGGTTGCCGGGCCATGTACTTTTATGACGGGCAATACCGGTATCCTGATTGCAGAGACAGCCGAGTAAGTTTTTTTAAATTGATGAATTAGGTTATTTATCTTTCACTTTTTTTATTGATCAATTTTCTAGCAATACGAACTGGGTAGAGTCCATTCCTCCCGAAGACGTGTTTTTCACCGGAATCGTTCGCCTCAAAGCCGGACTCCCAAATCCATACGAAGTCGAAGATTTCAATCCCGAGCCCACTTACTGTATTCACTTCAAAAACGATCTTACTAAATTGAAGAAAAAGACGGGCTACAGCAGTCAAAAGCACATCAAATATGTCCGGACATGATTTGTCATCGGAAAATTAGATTCAAATTCTCGCAAGTGTAATATTTATCTTCTCTGCCAATAAACTACAAGCTAAACGGGAGTAAAGGAACCTAACTTATGGTAACGAAGATGGTCGGCCTGGAAGATAATTAACTCCAGGACAAGACATACTATCAAGTCTCAAATGAGTTTCCAAGAATCTTTTAATAAATGAAAAAAGAGTAGTAGTGTGGCAGATTCCAGGTTCATTACTGTAAGAGGATTTGTCACAATTGTGAATAATATCGCATAAACTGTCATAAAAAAGTTTAAAATGATGCATCAATGATGTGGCATCATCATCTCTCCGGAATCGAACTCGAAAATCAAAGCTGAAAATGAAATTTTTTTCTCTCATTTTTCTAACAACTTGTTGCGCCGGCTATATAACCTCCCTTTCTTCATGGATAAATTTGAATTTGGCTGATAAAATCTACATTCTCCATCGATATGGGATCAGATGTGAGCTGGGTAAAAATGAAAGCGTTTTTCAGGAGGTAAATTTATCCTCATAAAATATTGAAAAATGGGTTCCAGAAGAAAATCCCGGGGAATCAAGAGCTGAAGCACTCGATAGAATCGCAGAAGAATGCTTTGAATCGCCGCTTTTCCTTGTTTTCAGTAAAAAGTAAAAAAGAAAATCGAAAGTTCATATTTTGATTTTATCGTTTTTATTATAAAAGAGAAGATAAGTTATTCAAATTGTACAGGGTTAAATTTCATCAAAAACCGAAAGGTCTGCTTTAGGCTTGTGGGTAGATTCTGTTGAGATGGTCCTGGAGAATGGAGTTCCATCTGTTCATTCTGTTGACCTGGTACTGGTAGTTCTTCTGGCCGGAGCAGGCGGCCATGTATCGCTGGGCCCACTTTCGGTAGCCAGTGGTGATCTGCCTGATGCCGATTCGGGGGTCAGTTCGATCGTAGCGCAGCTCGTCCTCTTCCTCTGGCTCTGGGCCGCCATGTGGCAAGGAAGGGTCGTAGAAGCCGCATCGCTGCTCGCCGCGGAGGAAGTTCTTCTCCATTCGACCAGCGTTGGTGGCGAATTTGGCGATCCACCTTTCTTGCGAGGCGAGTCCGGCGAACCATTGGGTCAGGATCTCTTCCGAAAACTGAGTGAGCCGGTTGAGTCGCTGCAGTGGGTGGCGAGGAGGAACCTTGCGGCCCTCTTCTTCCTGAGCAGCGGCAAGGCCGAAGAAAAAGAGCGAAGTCGAGAATTTCATCGTTTTTCAAAAAGGTGACTCAAGTTTTCTTTCGAAGATGTTTTGTCGAACTATTATCTAGTATCGAGTAGTGATGATTTCTTCGCCGAGTTTGCGCGCTTTTATACGCGGCGGAGGTGGCGGTGCTGCGCCAGAATCTGGCACCAAGTACCAGTAGCGCCTCCACCATCATCGTTTTCAATCATTGTCGTAAAATTGGAGAACCACCGAATTTGATTAAAAGATACAAACGTATATTCTTGATAAATTATCAATTATGTTCATTCAAAAATTAATTCAATTGAAGTTCATCACAGTCAGGTCTTGCAATGACGCGGTTTTTTTTTTCGGGATTTTCTCAAAAAAGCACACAATTGCAGGTCGCGCACTTGCAAGCCCTGACTGTACTTTTGACTTCACTTTTATCTTCATTTCTGCTCTTCATTGTTACTCTTATGCAATCTTTGTGGTCCAGCGTTAGAGTAATTGAACCTCGACGGAATGGTAATGTAGTCCATTAAAGTTGCTTGACCTGCCCAAGAACTCTATTTCTAACGCAGTTTATGCGAAAGGAACGTTGAAAATATTGAACGCGCGTTGGAACCCTTTTAAGACTCTATTGCTGGTTTTGCAAGATTTGATCATACAAGTCAATTATACAGTGTTTTTTTATTTTCTTTCAGTTAAAATAAATAATGAATGGTGGGAAGGGTTTTGGTAGACTATTCTGAATAGTCTATTTGGTTTGAGGGTATGGTACTCGCACAGGGAAAAGTCTCGAATTCTTTTAATGGAAAGTATTTTTAATTCTGAATGACGATCGAGACATACTAATCGTCGATCTACAAGCTTCATTTTATGCTTTTGTTCTTCTAGTATTTAGTCTCTTGAGTCAAATTTTATAATTGACAGAGGCCTTGCTTGAGCGACGGCCTGCAGATACAGTCTCTTCATTTTATTTTCATTTTCTTTTTTAACTACAAGTCCTTACATTTTCAAAAAATTACAGCCGTCACGGATGTTTTTTAAACAAAGAAGGCCTTCGTTAAGACCTATTGTCAGCAGGGCTTTTGCAAACAAGGCATATTTCAATTCAAATCATCTTATCCAGCATTGGCGATAAAATAATAGTTTGGAATAAGAAAATCTAAATGTTTCGTAAATAAATTTCAAAAAATTAAACAGACCTCAAAGTACGTCAAAGCAAACTGCCACCATGAATCCGACCGACTAAATCTCGCAAGTTGACGTTTTAAAAATTCGCCTTATTCACTAGCTGTGTAAGTAGGAAAGCCACAAGGGCGAACTTATGGAATTTTTAAGCCCTTGGCCGCAATATTCGGCTTACGTTTACCTCGGCAGGGTAATTTTCCTAGTCCAGAAAACGCGCAGGGATTAGACCTATCCTCCTCGCCCCATCCCGGGAGTATTACCGGAACTTTGCGGAGCCACTGTCTGGCGGTTTTGTCGGCTTTGCCCGTCGGTTTTGAAGAAAGAACAATCTGTCTTCTGTCAACTCTCAAAATCAGAATAGAAAATAAATTGATTTGAAATGAAGGGTAATCGAAAAGAGAGCTTTTTAAACATTGACCAAAAATTCAGATTTCTACATTCCTTGGGGTTGGCCGGAAATTTTCCTATTCCTGGGAAGCGTTTCTTTCGTCAGTTTTATCTCGCTCTTTGCGTCAGCCTTGATTCTCTTCGAATTTCAGGTAAAATCTTCCATCTCTTTTCATCCAATATCAGTTAATAAGCGAAAACCGAAAAGCTAAATCAGGTAAGAAAAAGAACTAGAATTTCGAGTTGATCTAATAGCGACACCTGAGTGAGGGTTACAAATTGAGGCTAACAAGACTTAAAGATCATTTTATTAGGGGACTTTTGAGAGCCTATTTTCCTTGCGTAAAAATTAACTTTTTTTTCCTTTCGTTCAGGTTTCGCGCGTAATCAACTTCTACAAAGTGCTGCTCGGGCAACTTCCCTATTTTCACGATGAACTTCTAGATGGTGATTTGATATCATTCCGGGTAAGACTAATCCTTCATTTGATTAATAACTCGCCCGTTTACTGTTCAGACCGCTGAAACTTCAATTTCGACAGCTTCGGGCTTCGAGCAGAACCGCACTACTCCCGAAAAGGGTTAATTTTTATTCTCAGATTTTAATTGAATAAATTGATGTCCTTGTTCATTCAAGGTCATCTGACTTCCTTGTCGTATGGTTCATAGTCTACTGGTCATGAATCGTAATTATAGAAGCAGGCAAGCAAGTTAAAGCAAGCAAGGCTATGCAAGGCTAATTTTCTTCAACATAGTTTTTCATTATATTCTTGACAGTGACTTTTTTGTGGAAATTGAAAATTTCTCAATTTCTCCTAATCTTCTTTCGCACGTGCGCTAGAAAAACCACGAGGTGGATTCCTCAAATATCACTGTCGAGAAGAAAAACTTCGTATTTTTTACAAGAAATGGAGAGAACTCAAAAGCCCTTTTTAGAAAAAAGAAGAATCGCCAAGGTCATTCGTTTTTTTGTCCAATGTCATGGCAACTCTAGCTGTTCTGCCAATTCCAGAGCTTCTTTCCAAGTTTGAAGAGCTACTGTTAAAGATTCGACGTGATGCAAGTAAGAGAGCGATGAAAATATGAAAATAGCAGTTTAAAATTGGCGGACGGAGCAAACGGTTAACCGTGCGAGCGTGTCCTAGCGGCTACTTTCTAATCGCTTCCACGTTGATAGAGTTGACTCTAAAAAGTAATGATTTGCTCTTTTCAGGGAACTACTCTCTCTTCGCTTAGGTCAGCAAAAATCATGTTTCTTCGAGTGACTCTTCACTTTTTTTCATAAAAAGGCGCAACTGGGCGTATTCGAATAAGATCCGCAATTTCAACTTTTTTTTATCCCTTGATCCCTTTTTTTCTTGCTCTCAAATCGACTAGGCCTTAAACCAAATGTCATTGTTCTAAATTGAATCTGGATCTGGAGATTCTCAGCCAGAATTTCTTCTTTTTTTTCATCCAAATTGCACCTGGTTGTTTTAGTCTATAAAGGGCTTTTACTGTATTTTGATAAATTCGGGTTAAAATGAAAGTGCTGCTTTTTGCTAACTTAGCTTAAAAGAAACCACTTTGGGCCGCGACGACTAACCATGATGGAGGTAAGAACTCGCTTTCCTTTTGATTGTTTTTATGTTATCATATTAAAAAATAGCATTAAATATAATAATTTCTAGCCACTTATCAGCGTCGCGAGAGGTATGGAGCTCAACCCGTTTCACCTTTTTGGATAATTCAATTCTTTCTGTAGAAGACATTATGAAGGCGCGAATTTCTGCCACTTCAACAACGGAGAAGTCCATCGACCAGCTGCAGTGAATCCAGGAATTCGAGCTTGAGACATTTTTTGGCTGTCTAAAAATTTTAAACTAACAAGAGCGGCGTGGTTTTAAGTCGCTGCCCAGACTTGTTCAGTTTGACTGGATTAGGCTCAACTTAATTTTCCTTCCAAGGGTTTTTAGATCGTCTCTTTCTATATGAAATCAGTTAAAAATGAGACCTCCAAGAATACTCTATTCTAAAATGGGGACCCCTCATTTTATTGATAAATGTATGTTTTTTGACACGTGACTTATTTGAATTTATTATTTTTTCGAAATCTGTTGAAACGAAAAATTATTTTTCTTTTTCACGTTTTCCGATAAGGTGAGCCGCAGCGAATATTTGCCGCTAGAAGTGTCAAAAACCAGCATAAACACATTCACAGCTCCGAAAAAAGTAAAATCGTCGACTGGCTATTTTCTGAAGCGCTATCTTCGGCCCCGCGACAACCAATTATTCTAGCTCGTTTTCTGTAAAATCGACAACAATACGGAACTAATAAATTATCGCTTCTGTCAGCGGAAACTCTACCTTTCGAGTGGCGAACATTGTCCCGTCCCCTGGAGACAGTGTTCAAATTCACAAACAAGATTCTGTCACTCGCAATAGCTAATCACTGGAATCTTTAAAGACTCAGGAAAAAGCGAGAAAGATGCCGGCTGAAATGTCGCAAGGGGAGGTACGAGAGAATCAACATCTTCTTAGCAGATCTTTACTAGCCAACTATCCACTTAGATAAGCTTCAACCGCATTTACTCGCTTCTAGAGCTAGATTACAAGCATCTTTAGCAACTAGAAGAGCGGCCGCTTGTTTAGCACCTCCTGAGCCAAGCTTTTTCTGTTAGTCAAAGACAGCCCTAAATTATTATTTGAACATGTAATTTTAAAATCTTCACTTTTTTTGAAGAATCCTCCTAAGCTTCAAAAGCTTCAAAAATCCGTTTACAAAATTTTAGGAAAATTGCGCTTCCATGAAATTTTATCATCCTATCACGATACTTTTCGCATTAAAAGGCACCTCCTTAATTTTAATTTCGATATTGATTCAAGTTGCATGAATATAAATCTCTTTGTTCCTGCAATCAGAGAATTCATTGATGATGTTATTGATGATTTGTTCGAATTTAAAATTGATTATATTTTACGTATTATCTGTGAATCGTTTCTTTTTCCGACTTGTGACCTACTGCATCTTCTCCAAGTCAGTTCCTTTCCAGCCTAATCGCAGACTGTAGCAGATGTCGCTAGCAAATAATCGATTTGCTGGACGCACTAATAATCTGGGAATTAAAGTTCACCGATAAAATCCACGTAATATCGGATTCAGAGTAAAATTTCCGGCTTCCAACCGCAAGGAGCCAAGATAACGGTCAGGAAAATTTTTGCCACTTTCTCAGATTCGCAGGCTCAACCCGGATTTTAGCGAGAAATCGAGTCATTTCTTCTCAAAAAAGTACCAATTACAAAGCATTTTTAAGACTTGGTGCGCTGTCGAATGCCACCCTGCTTCAACCTTCGAGCGGAAACAAAGGCACCGGTTATTCAAAAATTGCATCTTTTTTAAGCTTAAAAATCTTGAAAAGAAAAATATTTATTTTAAAACCGGTCTGGAGACGTCACTTCCGGCGCCACAATCGAGCTTCCTTCGGCCACGGGCTGACTCTTGCGCCCGGAAAAGATGCAGGTAATTTTTTTCGTCACCTCATTATCGGTATTTCTTCATTTCAGAAACGCACAAGTTTCTTGCTGCTTATACTCGAAAAGACCCTCTTCCGGAAAAACGCCACTACGAACAGCCAGCTGGCTTCTTCGACAAGTAGCTTTTAATTTATGCTGATGATTATTCAATTCAATAAATTTCAATTTTCTTCTTTTTTAACACTTGATTATTGCTTGGGCACGCATTCATGCGAAGGATGAGGAGGAGGCGCGCTGGAGTTAAAAATATGTGTTTCAGGCAAACTGGATCAGATGATAATTCGAATAATTCGAATAATATTTTTAATTCAAATTAACTTATTACCAATTTTCATCAACCAGACCGACAAAAAATGGAAAAACAGTCAAGTTAGTAACCAAGAGAAGTTTTAACGATGAATCCAAACTTCTTCAATTTTATTAATTCAAAAGAAAAAACAGACATTAATTGGACAGATGAAGCCCGTTTTTTATGTTCATTTTGTCGAGAAACTCGATGAATGTACTTCTTCAACTTCCAAGAAAATTGGGAATTTTGAGCAAGAAGCTTATATGCTGAATTCTTGAATGTTTATTTGGCGCATGATTGATTTCAGACTCGCTTGCACTTGGATTCCCAAATCAACTTTCAACCCAATTTAAAAAAGCAAAAAAGAAAGCCGCGGCTTCTCTGTCTAAACACAGAGCTTTTTTAGCTTTCGACATAAATTCTAGGGGCGAATCTGATAGATACTAAATGGGGTCCTTTTCTTTTCGGAGATGCGTGAAAAAAGATTCTTCCATTATTTCAAAAAATGAAATTTTAGAAATTCATAAAAAATAATTCTTGTTTAATTTGGTCCCTCATTTTAATTCACATTTCAATCAGTTCAAAAAGCTGATTTATAAAGTGCTCGTTCAGAATGGAAGCTCCTCCGTCACTCGTTAAGCCGCGCCACGAAGATGGGTGGCGAGCCCGTTCAAAAAAGTGAAAACCAAAAAACCGTTCAAAATTTCTTAAAGGTAATAAACGTAGCAAAACGTAACAGACCGCTTTAAGCTTCTTTCGGCGGGCTTTAAGCGCCTAGGGATGAAGCTGGAATCGCAATTGTTAAAAATGCTTATGTGGCAGTTCGTGTAATCCTTTTCTTTAATCGGCCTCGCTCTACATGCGCTTTTCTGACGTAGAAAAGGGCTTTTGCAACTCAAATCTGGAAGGAATTCGCAATAATAAAAACGAATACGTTCAAGCATTCCTAGCTGATAGGCGAATTAACCTCTTCCGAAGCAAATAAGAGAAATAAGCAGAAACTGACTTTTCAAAATTAAAATTTCCAAAGAATTTTTTTTCAAGAATCAACAATTTCTGCTTTTGGATTCCAATGAATTGGGAAAAGTCGAAAATATGAGGTTGAACATTTATGCCCTCGCAAATCAATTGGATATAACATACAGATAGGTTAATTAATTAACAACTTGAAGAAAATATGTATGACTCCCTGATGCCATTTTGGGAAAGGTGGTAAATTAGCCTGGCTCTTTTATGGCGCAAAATAGCGAACTAAAGTAACGAGAACAGTAATTCTCGATGAGGGATTTATTTTATTCAGTTTTTGTCTACGCAGTTTATATTTCAACCTGATTCGGGCTCCTGATTTTCAAAGTTCGCAAAGTTCGTACCGACCAAGGAGTTCTCCACTCAGCTTGTTGGCCGTTACGACCGAGCCGTTAGTGTAATTTATGGGAAAGAATTCACTGCTAGCCCGCAATGTGGCGTTATTACACGTCCCCGAAGCTCCAGTGTGCTTTTTTAATACCACAGCCGGTCCACAGCACCTTCCAATTTTAATTAATCTGTTGAGTTGAAATTTTTAAATCGTCGAAAAATTGAGCCCTTGAAGGTCGAAAAAAGGAATAAATAAAATTCTGTAATCGTTAAGAATGATCTTTTTAAGTATTGACACGTTTTTAGGTTTACTTAAAAGATTTTAAATAGAAACTAAGTACAGGTGTTTTCGCTTAACCCCGTGCGCAGCTAAGCTTTTTAATTATTAGACGATTGTTCTCGTTACTACTATTAAATGCTTCAAATGATAAATAATCGATGAACTATTAATCAGCTAATTCAGGAAGAACAGTGCGAAGGGCAGCTTTCAGAAGCCTTCCTGATGCTCGATCAGCTGGACAAGAATCAACGGTAAGCACAGAGGACTAAAAAGAATCAGAAGGAAAAAGTTTGTGGTCTGAGTTTTGGTGAGTCTTATATTCTTATCCTCGAATTTGGGCTAATCCGGAGTCTGGGCCAAGCGCTCTTCCGCGAATTCTGACAAAACTGGGGCCACACTTGCAAAAGCCGCAAAAGCCGTCTTCTACAAATTCAATATTTCTCAATTCAGAATTATGTCCCCAGTAATTGCGTTAAGATCACTGACAGATGCCAAGGAACGTTACCAGCTTACGGAAAGGAAAGCCTTGACTAACATGGTTTCACACATCTGTAAATGCCAAAATTCATAGCTGAAAAAATAATTGAAATGGAACACTTTTTTAATATTATTATATCACGCCTCTTTTTCTTGAAGGTATTCTAGAACCCGTTCTCAATTTTTGAGCCTTCTTGGTATCCAAAATAAACTTGACGCAAAGTGGGGTAAATTAGGAGTAAAGACGTGGAAAATCTAATTTAGATAATTTGCGGAAATACAACGTAATTTATTGATGGAAAAACGGCCCATCCTAGTCGCATCCGATTATTCATAATTTCAAAATAAAAGGCGTAATTTCAAAGTCATGTTGAATGAGATAAGGGGCGGGAAGCTGTAGCGGAAGAAACTTGAAGGGAAAACACATCCCTTTCTAGTCATTGCGCAATGTAAAACCAGCGAAAGACCAGGCGGCTTCTACGAGAACAAACTGGAGCTATTGACAGAAACTATCATCTACTATGAGCGATTACACCATACAAAGCAACGCGAATTCAAATCCTTCAAAAACGTGACTTCTTCAAGTTAAACGCCCTTTCATTTAGTTTCAGGAGCTATCGACAGTCGACTCTGAAAGGCTTGAGAAACTGGTGAGCAAATATCGGGAACTGCAAGACTCATCCTCAGCTGCCAAGAACTGAAAAACAAGAAGCCAAATTGACATCAGCTGGCAATTTAAGACGATGCTTTTAAATAAATTATTGTCTCACCTTTTTTTTATTCTAGGATACTCTCAATTTTAAATCTGTACGTTTCTTTAGAAGCTCCTCTCTAAATAACTTTAGGAAAAACTTATAGCTGGAGAGAGCACTGGTTATGAACCTGTATAAAACGATTATCTTTGCGGCAAGGATTTTCATAACTCTAAAATCAAAGACTACTGGTTTTGAAAAAATTTCGAAAGTCGCGGTTTTCCTTCAGTCGAGCTTCTCTCTGGGTTCCAAAGATTTGAAAATTTTTCAGGCAAAAATGAGAATTGCGCTCTAATAATTCTGAAAATATTTTGTGATTGTGGGAAATTTATATTCAACGTTCAAGGAACGAGACATCCAAGTTCTGAGGCGTTTTCCTTGATAAGTTTCGCCTTGACAACATTTTGATTCGCCCGAAATCAACAAAAGAAACAAGCCGCTAGAATTTGTAAAAGAGAAGCTCCTTGCAAGTTGCTTTCTTTCCTACAAATGTAGTAACTCTCTTTCCATATTTTGGATTCCTGAAATGGGTTTAACATTAAAGCTTAACTAAGCTTTCTTTCTCTGATTTCTGCTCCATCAAACTAGTTGTGTAATCAGAGTCCGGGTCTACTGGCTTATTTGATGCTAAGCGCCACATTTCACCATTAATCCTGTTAGACGACCTCTGACTGACATCAGCAGGAACTCGCGCCAAAAGTATCGCACCTGCGCTTCGTTAGTGAAAGAAGAAAAATCTGGAGAAAACGTGCGCGGTTTACATAAGTTCGAAAATAAATCTTCGCCACCACAATTGTTTAAAACTGCACTTTAGGGGAGGTTTGTTAGACTGTCACGCTTTGGGACTAGAATTTTGCCTTGTAGTACTAATTTTCAAGGGGCCAAAATCGGCTTCTGACAAGTTGTTCTTATAATTAACTTGTCGCGTGAAAAATGAAAAACTTAGTAATTTTGCTTTGACGAACCAGGAATTCTTGTCAATTACTTCAAGTAATGAGCCGGGCCGAGGCCGTTCTCGACATCGCGAGGTGTCTTTAACCAGTTCAACTCTCCTGATCTTTCTGCCAACGTGAACTCGTTAGATAACCACATTTTCAGCGACAAAAACTTTGAAAAACAAAATTTGAAAGAAAACGATAGAAAGAGAAGAATCGGATATTTTGAAATTTGGACCGGTAGAAAGCGGCTCTTAGTGAGCATAATAACACGTTGCAGATAGTGTTTTCGAAGAGGATTGAGTGTATTGAATGTCAACGTTGAACTAAGGATCAAAACTACGAATGAAGTAATCAACAGATTTGAGATTTTCCCCTTCTTTTGCTATAATCGGTTGCCAAGACAATCAGTCACTAAAGAGTTCTTTGTCGACAAATCATCCGTGACAACTTCTTTATTCCGAGAAGAGAATTTGAAAAAGCGAATAAATTCTTATTTTATAAAATGAAAAAGCCAAAGTTTTATAATGTATGTTAAAGAACAACTCTTTAATTTTATTTCTCGAGAAATTCTAACGACAAGTAATCTTCAAAAATGGAAACTGGAAAGCGAAGAAACGATGATTATATAAAATGAAGAAAAAATAATTGCTGCTAAAGATATGTTCAATCGGTCATCTGTACTTAATTTGATAGAATAAATAAAAAAATTAGTTTATTGACATTTGGAAATAAAAACGGTATTATTATCCTGTCAGATGCGAGAAAGTCAATTTTTCCAGTGTTTGCAAATATTGCTGAAAATACCCTTAAAATTTTGTATTTTCCTGCACCTCATGAAAAACGGAGCGTCAGCGACACCGCGTTGCAGAGCAAACAGCGCCTCCGTGCAAGAATAAAAGCGCGCGATGTCGTTGAAGAAATCATCACTACTCGATACTAGATAATAGTTCGACAAAAACATCTTCGAAAGAAAACTTGAGTCACTTTTTTGAAAAACGATGAAATTCTCGACTTCGCTTTTTTTCTTCGGCTTTGCCGCTGCTCAGGAAGAAGAGGGCCGCAAGGTTCCTCCTCGCCACCCGCTGCAGCGACTCAACCGGCTCACTCAGTTTTCTGAAGAGATCCTGACCCAATGGTTCTCCGGACTCGCCTCGCAAGAAAGGTGGATCGCGAAATTCGCCACCAACGCTGGTCGAATGGAGAAGAACTTCCTTCGCGGCGAGCAGCGATGTGGTTTCTACGACCCTTCCTTGCCACACGGCGGCCCAGAGCCAGAGGAAGAGGACGAGCTTCGCTACGATCGAACTGATCCCCGAATCGGCATCAAGCAGATCACTACTGGCTACCGAAAGTGGGCCCAGCGATACATGGCCGCCTGCTCCGGCCAGAAGAACTACCAGTACCAGGTCAACAGAATGAACAGATGGAACTCAATTCTCCAGGACCATCTCAACAGAATCTACCCACAAGCCTAAAATGGATCCATTTCTGTGAATTACTTGAAATATTTTTGGAGTTATTGGTAAAATATTTTAACCACTGTACAATTTAAAAACCTTATCTTTTTCTTTTATAATAAAATCATTAAAAAATCTAGCGTTTCTTTTAAAAGTTAATCAGGAAAAAATCAAAAGAAAAAAAAACATAGGAAAAAATTGATGATGATAAATTAATTAAAATATTTTTCCATCACTTCAAAGTTTATGGAAACGCGAGCGGTGCCGTGAATTTGACGTTGTTTCGAAAGTCAAAGCGGTAGCCGAGTATTGCACTCAAAACTATCAAAGAGATGATCACGAGAGTAAGGCCAAAGCCCCGTCCACCAGATGGCATCTAGATCTGAAGAGGATCCTTATCCTTGTTTATATCAAAAAGAAAAGATAGGGTGAGAGAGTTGATGCTGCTTTATTTGTCAGATTAAAATATTTCTAGTGTTTACGCATTCAGTCTAAGGTCTGACCATTATCGGCACAGCGCTTGGTCTTTCGGGGCAATCATCTGGTCGCTCAGATCTAGAATATTTTTTCATGATTTCGAATTTTTATTTCGATACTCACGAGTCTCGTTCTCTTGTGTTGAAGATCATTTTCTTCTGGAAACAATCATCTTGAAGACAGCTTTGAATATGCATTTTTGCTTAATATTATTTATTAAAGCACCCTCCATATCTGTCAGTGTACCATTTTGATACCGCTCTTTTAGTTTTGCGATTGCGTCGGTCATTTCGTCGACTGGATCAACGACATACGTTTTGTATCTTCCCAGTTCTAGATGAGTTTCTTCCAGGACACGGTAATTTTCACGGTAGTTGATGATTTCTTCTAATAATTGATCGATCTGTTGGTTTATCTCAATGATTTCCTTCCGCGCTAGAAATATTATAAAAAGCATGCCGAAGTCAAAAGCACTTACCTGAAATTTCAGCTTCTCGCCTTTTGTGAGATTTGAGTTTTCGGAGATTTCTTCTTCTTCGACTCGTTTCGATTGTATCCTTCAACTCAAGATTAGCTCGATAATAATTTTAAAGTTCTTACCTTCATTTCTTGAACAATCTTCTTGATATCTTCTTCGACATTTTCGGCCCTTTCATTTGTGTCCAAAACAGCTTGATTCTTCTCTGTCAGGTTTCTTACAATATCTTCCTCCTCGGCTGGAAAGGTGGTTGAAAGGCTAATAACTATTGAGTGACCTACCATTTATGAGTTGCTCCAGTTTTTGAAGTTCTTCTTTTGTTTTCTTATTTACTTCGGAAAAGTCTTCAAGCGTTGAATTCGTTTGATTTTGATTGATAGAAGTCTCGTTTCTGAAATTTTTGATTTCTTCTCTTAGACTTTCATAAATACTAACATGTTGATAGACTGCGTATCTTTTGTCAATTGAGTGATCTCCTCAACCAGCTTCTGAAATTCTGCCGCTTTTGCTCCCAAAGCCGCAGCACGGTCGCTCAGATCTTTGGCAAGAATCGGGTTCATTTGTTGATCCTCAAGTAAGCCCGTCAAATTGAGCTTCTTGAACTGCTCATCGAGTTGTTTGATCGGGTCTATTCGTTCCTTGATGGAGTTAGAATTGCGTTGTCTTCTCATCAATTATAGAAGTAAAAAAAAACTTGTTCCAACACATTCCTTAATAATTTCATCGGCTTTTTTCTTTTCTTCATCGCTGAGTTTCCTCTTTTGCATGTAAAATAGTAGATCAATGTAAGCAACAAGATCTCGCTCGTCAATCACTTCATTTTGCCAGTTTGTTGCGTTTTCCGTCAGTTTCGTCAAGTTTTCGATGCTGAATTTTTATTTGAAAAACTGCAGTTTATTGAAATCAAGGAGGAAACCCATCATTTATCCCCTTGTTGCCCTACCTTTCTTTCAAAGTGTGATGGAGCTCAAGAAGCTCAGCCATGGCTTCTTCTGTCTCAGTGAAAGACTCCTCGATGATTTCCTTTACCATCAAAGCTTCTTCAAGCCAGCTTTATTCGGCTTTATTTTTTCAGCAATATCAGCTTTGCAAGAAGCTTTTTCTGTTATAAATGTCAGATTTGTTTATATATTTAAGCTCACTTATTTATAAAAAAGCGTCAGGCGACATACTTGTTCATTCAAAAATTTATAGCGAAACAACAAAATCTAAACTATAAAAAAGCAAGGAGAAAAATTTATTTGCAAATATGAATAGCTCGCTTTTCTTGACTCTTTTCGTTTCATCTGCAAGTGGATTTTCAGATCCATGGATGAATCTTAATCTCAACCGATTCAATATGAGAGGGGAATATCTTTACAAAGCGATGAAAGACAGTAAGTAAGTCTCGAAAATACAGAAGATAATTATATTTTAGTGCTGCAAGAAACGTCCTTAGATGAAAGAGAACCTGTTGTCTACTGACTGTTACATTTATAACGTTTGATAATAAAAAAAACTTTTTCTCAAAAAATATATCTAGCCGTTCCTCGATGCATTTGGGTGTCCATGAGGCAATCTATTAGAGCTATTCGACACGAGCTCTGATAGCTCTTCAGCGATGATTTCTGCGTCGTTGAAAATCATCGTCCCATTTTCGTAGAAAGTTTCCTCCATTTTTTCATGCATAAAAGTCAAGTTTCCAACAAGATTTTCTTTTTCTTTTTGAACTTCTTCGTCTTCGAAGGATTTGATCATTCTTCGCATTTCGGTTCCGACATTTCTTTCGAGCTTGATTCCTTCAAGGTCATTATTTCTGGCAGCGTCTTTGACATCGTTTTCCTTGCCACGTAGAATGTTGAGGGATTCGATCATTTCTTTAAAATTTTGAGCCGCTTCCAAGAGATCATCTTCTTTGATATCTTCGTCTAGGAGTCGTTCGTGCATTTTTCCAAGCTCGTTTGAAGTTTTGTCGTACCAAGCATAGTAAGTGTCTTCTTTTTCGCCATATTCATCAGATGTTCCCTTCAAATTTGAGATCGAGTGGATTACTTCCAGGACGAGAAGGTTGATGTGCTTCAGGAATTCTGAGAGATCGTCGACTTTGGGGGCCTTTGCGGAATTACGAAAAACCATAACTGTATAAAAATTAATGAAAAACAGGATTTTCAGTTAAAATCTAAATTGAACATATATATCCAAAGCAAAACTACTGGTAGCTGTTGAACAATTTTAAGGTGGTCCAATTTATTTCACCCGCTTTCTCATTTTTAGACCCAGAACACCATACATATTTGGAATCAGTGGAGAAAATCTAGAAACTTGATCGTTTTAGTTTTTCGAAATTCACTTCCGGTTACGATTCTAGAGCCGGAAGTAGGCGAAATTTTGGAGTAAGGGTAAAGTGTGACCTATCAAATTGATGCGCAGAAAATTCTCATTCCTCTCATCATCAATTAATTAGAAGAGACAGTCCAAACCGCGGTAAAACTGACCGGTAAAACTATGAAAAAGGCATGCTTTAACCCTTACCGGCCAAATGCACCATGTATGGTGTATTTTTTGATTTTTCAAAATTTCAATCGTTCATATCTTTTTTTACAGAGCAACTCCTATGTTAAATCACCCCTTGTTTGAAAGGACTCTCCAGTGCTAACAACATACTCTGAAAGATAGGGTTGCACTTATCAACTAAACCTCAAAAAACGTGATTGAAAATTGGCTTTGGCCGGTAAGGGTTAATGAGAAAATTTTCAATTTAACTTAAAAAAACACGTCTATGTTCTTATTAATTTTATTATAACGAAATGAGTCATTAACACTTTAAATTTGTATTTTAATACAAAAAGCATTTTCGTAATCATTCCTGAAAAAAGTCGTCATATAAATCATCAATTCTATTCTTGATCTCCTCCAGCGCATTTCTTCTATATTCATCATATGTAAATGAGGCTCTTCTTAACCGATCATGTGATTCTTCTTCTTCAATTTCTCCAGATTTCTGAAGAACTTCCCCACAACAACTTTCAGCATGAGAGCAAGTTTTCCCAAAGTAACCAGCTTTTTTGAAATTCAACAGGCTTTGCCCTTATAAAAATGGCTAAATATCAGTCCTGAGAACAAGTCGACCCCATTTACGATCCAAAAGAGCTTTATTTTAAAAGAAGAGCAAATTTAAGGATTTTGGCAAATGACGCGAAATGCAAACGGATTTGCGGTCGACGGGAACGTGGCTTGTCGCCAAATATTTGAAATTAAGACGTGAGCTTTTTTCATCAAAGAATTTTCTTACTGACCCTTTTCTTTCTACTAGAAAGTTTCTAGCGCAGGCTCATGAACATTCTGATAATAAATAATATCGCTGATAAAGTTTCTCATAACCATACTGCTAAACCTTTTACTAAACGCTCAAATCTTATCTTTATCTCAGAATTCGGACTGAGCCAGCTGCATAAATTTTTATGGTTTGACTTATTTATTCTTTGCAAGATGTTATTCTTTTCAAAAAAAAATAGCAAGAATAAGTTTACTATTTTGATAAATTTAATCGTTTTCGGTATTCGGTTTGGCCACCTGTGAAGAAAACCTGAGTCAGGGTCTAAAAAATATTTAATTAAAAGCCGCATAGTGGCATTTAAAAGAAAAAAATCGTCAAAAATCAAAAAATCTAATGACTTCATAATCTATCAGTTTATAAAATGATCTGTTGAATTTTTCCTGAGCAGCTATTACAGTAGATTCCTTCAAATCCTTCTCTGCAAATACATCTTCCAAGCTCCGAGCATCTCTCTGTTCCTGCTTCAAAACATTTCTCGCACAGCCCTGTGATCGCTCGTGATCCGCTTATCAGCGCTAGAATCGAAAAAACTTTCATTTTCTACGCGTGGCCGGAAAAAATGAAACAAATGTTCTCCGCCGGCGCTGGAAGAAACAGGCGAATATTTACACTTAGTAATCAAATAGCTCTTGGCACTGGCGAGAATTTCGTTTTTTTGTTCATTTTTTTGGAAATGTTTGCACAGCTCTTGAAAACGAGGCTGTTTGCTCATACAGAAAAAAAAATTTTTATGATGATAAATAATCAATTAGGGGATGATTTAGGCCCTAAATTTTAGGGGTAGCGGCTCAAATCAATAAGAAAAATATGACTTAAATTGATTTTGTCCAACATTATTTTTTTTTCTGAAATCTGATTGGTCTACTCCCCGAACGCAGAAATCTTATTGGTCAAAAATGTTGTCTATTTGAGCCAAATTCCTGATGATTAAGTTTATTTTTGTAATTCTGTCAAAAAGTCTAAAAAGGAAAAAATATACATTGAAATTATTTTATCTTCTCCACATTTTCTTCGTTGATTTCTTTTTTTCTCGGTTGTATTTTTGAAACAACGAGTCCCCACAATTTTGCAAGGGGAACTTCGTACGTTACATAAGTAAAAGCGGAAATTGCGGTTGTCAACGCCGTGATATGCAAGAACATCCACGTGACCCAGTATTCATCAACGTAGAAGTATTCCATTACTGAGGCTTGGTACAACACAATCACATTGTAGTGGAAAATATAAACGCCGAAGGAAAGTTTTGCGAGTATATTCCATCCCTAAGAGATTTCTACAAGCAGAATGTTATGATAACAGATTACCTCAAACGCCAAGAAGGAATTTATGAAGCTTCCGAATCCGCAGTCGCAGAGGAAAATCAACAATCCGAGGGCGAAGGCCCAAATGGCGCGATGAGTCGCGTTCCAGAAATGAACCGACCCGGGGCTAGAAAAACATCCACTGACCACATCCCATTTTTGATGATGATCGTAGTAGAGATCGATTTTAAGCTCGTGGTACTTGTCCATGTCGACTTGGAAACAGATGTCAGAGAAGCCATAAACAGTGAAATACAGCAAGAAGAGGGATAAAGCCCAAAGTAGAGCAACGATCGAGTATCCGATGATTTTTCTTTTGTTCACAAACGATTTGAATCCATTGCCCTTTCTTTCCGCTAGAATCAGCCACCCAAAAAGAACGCCGACTCCATAGGCGTGATATCTCGACCAAGGGGTCAGATAAAAGTCCTCATCAAGCCCCGTTGGCCAGCTAAAAAGACAATTAGAATTTCGATGAATGATATGTGAGTATACTCGTATGGAAGTTTCTGTTGTTGGTAAGGCATGGCATCTTGATCAACTGATCTTGACCAGGCCCAACCGATGCTAGCGCAACTGAGTAAGACAGTAAGTGTTATTCCTAGCGCCTTATGAAATCCATATAAAACGGCTTGAAACGGGAAAAGAAGATTCCAGCTCGTTTGAAGTTTTGTCGTACCAAGCATAGTAAGTGTCTTCTTTTTCGCCATATTCATCAGAAGTTCCCTTCAAATTTGAGATCGAGTGGATTACTTCCAGGACGAGAAGGTTGATGTGCTTCAGGAATTCTGAGAGATCGTCGACTTTTGGAGCCTGGAAGAAGTCATCATATAAATCATCGATTCTATTCTTGATCTCCTCCAGCGCATTTCTTCTGTATTCATCATAGGTAAATGAGGCTCTTCTTAACCGATCATGTGATTCTTCTTCTTCTTCTATTTCTCCAGATTTCTTGAGCACTTCCCCACAACAACTTTCAGCGTGAGAGCAACTTTTCCCAAAGTAACCAGCTTTTTTTCGAAATTCAACAGACTTTGCCCTTATAAAATGCCCAAATATCAGTCCTGAGAACAAGTCGACCCCATTTACGATCCAAAAGAGCTTTATTTTAAAAGAAGAGCAAATTTAAGGATTTTGGCAAATGACGCGAAATGCAAACGGATTTGCGGTCGACGGGAATGTGGCTTGTCGCCAAATATTTGAAATTAAGACGTGAGCTTTTTTCATCAAAGAATTTTTTACTGACCCTGTAGTTCTAGCGGAGGCTCATGATTCATGAAGATTCTGATGATAAAATATCGCGTATAAAGTCGACATCATAGAATGGTTAACTCAGTAGAATTTGAATTTTTGCTAAACGTTCAAATCCTTTCTTTATCTGAAAAATCGCACTGAGCCAGGTGCACTCATTTTTATGGTTTGCCTACTTTTTTCTTTGCAAGATGTTATTCCTCTCAAAAAAAACTTTAAACAAGAATAAGTTTACTTTTTTCATTAATTTAATTGTTTTTATAAAATTCGGCTTGGCCACCTGTGAAGAAAACCTGAGTGAGGGTCAAAAAAATATTTAATCAAAAGCAGCATAGTGGCATTTAAAAGAAAAAAAATCGTCGAAAATCAGAAAATCTAATGACATCAAAATTTATCAGTTTAAAAAATGATCTGTTGAATTTTTCCTGAGCAACTATTACAGTAGATTCCTTCAAATCCTTCTCTGCAAATACATCTTCCCAACTCCGAGCATCTCTCTGTTCCTGCTTCAAAACATTTCTCGCACAGCCCTGTGATCGCCCGTGATCCGCTTATCAGCGCTAGAATTGAAAAAACTTTCATTTTCTACGCGTGGCCGGAAAAAATGAAACAAATGTTCTCCGCCGGCGCTGGAAGAAACAGGCGAATATTTACACTTAGTAATCAAATAGCACTTGGCACTGGCGAGAATTTCGTTTTTTGTTCATTTTTTTGAAAATGTTTGCACAGCTCTTGAAAACGAGGCTGTTTGCTCATACAGAGAAAACATTTTTATGATAATGAACAATCATTTAGAGGATTATTTAGGGGTAGCGGCTTAAACTATTTTTTCTGAAATCTGATTGGACTAACCGCCGTACGCAGACATCTTATTCGTCAAAAATTAAGTCGATTTGAGCCAAATTCCTGATGATTTATTTCATTTTAGTAATTCAGTCAAAAAGTCTTAAAAAGGAAAAAATATGAATTGAAATTATTTTATCTTCTCCAAATTTTCTTCGTCAATTTCTTTCTTTCTCGGTTGTATTTTTGAAACAATGAGTCCCCACAATTTCGCAAGGGGAACTTCGAACGTTACATAAGTAAAAGCGGAAATCGCGGTAGTCAACGCCGTGATATGCAGGAACATCCACGTGACCCAGTATTCATCAACGTAGAAGTATTCCATTACAGAGGCTTGGTACAAGACGATCACATTGTAATGGAAAATATATACGCCGAAGGACAGTTTTGCGAGAATATTCCATCCCTAAGAGATTTCTACAAGCAGCATGGTATGAAAAAAGATTACCTCAAACGCCAAGAAGGAATTTATGAAGCTTCCGAATCCGCAGTCGCAGAGAAAAATCAACAATCCGAGAGCGAAAGCCCAAATGGCACGATGAGTCGCGTTCCAGAAATGAACAGACCCAGGGCTAGAAAAACATCCACTAACCACATCCCATTTTTGATGGTGATCGTAGTAGAGATCGATCCTAAGCTCGTGGTACTTGTCCATGTCAACTTGGAAACAGATGTCAGAGAAGCCATAAACAGTGAAATACAGCAAAAAGAGGGATAAAGCCCAAAGTAGAGCAACGATCGAGTATCCGATGATTTTTCTTTTGTTCACGAACGATTTGAATCCATTGCCTTTTCTCTCCGCCAGAATAAGCCAGCCAAAAAGAACGCCGACTCCATAAGCATGATATCTCGACCAAGGTGTCAGGTAAAAATCCTCATCGAGCCCCGTTGGCCAGCTAAAAAGACAGTTATAATTTCGATAAATGTTTATTGAGTATACTCGTATGGAAGTTTCTGTTGTTGATAAGGCATTGCATCTTGATCAACAGATCTTGACCAGGCCCAGCCGATGCTAGCACAGCTCAGTAAGACCGTAAGTGTTATTCCTAGCGCTTTATGAAATCCATATAAAACTGCTTGAAACGGAAAGAGAAGATTGTACCAAAATTCCGCTCCGAGGTACCAGATATGCGGTAGGCAACTAGCTCCTTCTTCGTAGAATCCTTGAACAAAGAACAGTGATCGAAGCCAGACGTTATTGTTGACGCAACCAGCTCCGTAAATATTCAGGCTTTGCTATGTTCAACTTTTTTAAATGAACGAGAAAATTGACTTGCCTGAGAAATACCACGAGCGCCAAGAAGTGGGAAGATACTGGTTGCGAACCATATACCTAGGGCCTAAAAAGGGATCGAAAATCACTATTGGCACACCCATGAGCTGGTTGTAGAATTTCGATCCCTTTCAAAAGGGGCACGATTCGCATCCATCGATTCGCAAAATTGAGCAAAAATGTCATCAAAAATCCAACCGGCCGTTTACTCGATGAAATAATCTTATCTGTTCCCAAATATGCTACAAGAATTCCTCCCATACAGAAAAACGAGTCCACTACAATATACTCTATTAAATATCATTGTTATCATTACAACCTGAGGGAAGAGCATTGACGATGCTTTTCATCCAGTCCCCTCTTGTCAAATGAAGTTGGATTTCTTCCTGATTTTCTAGAACTGCGATTCCTTGGCTTATCATGTGACCAATGACTACCCACCAGATTGACATTGACCGAATTCCGTCGAGACATAAGATTGCCTTCTTTGGTCGTTTTGTGTTGACCAAACTTGCATAATTCGTAGGAACATGAAATGCCTTCAAAATCGCGTTGCTACTCGGCTGTAAGGATCCAACAACAAAAACGAATAAAAAATACAGCCCAAGAAGCACTGATGAAGCAATTATCGTCGGTTTTGCAACTCGATAGAGCGGTTCTACAAATTTAACGAGTCGTCTAACTCCACTTGGAATTTCGACCCATCCAACTTCGGCTGATCTTTGGACCCACGCGTCGTCGGGACTTGCATGATTCATCATCAAGAAATCATTGTGATAGTTTCCAAGAATACTCATGAACATGGAAAACAATTGATCATCGTTTATTTCATCTCTTGCCAAGAGCAGTTCAACTGGCGAGCACTGAGCTGGATAACACAAGCCCAGACGACCAGTTTGGCCGTATAGACCGCAATTGGCAGCTCTGCAATTCGCGTACTCCTCATCTGTTTCTGTAAAATTATAGAGTTGTCCTTTCGCATCGCACTCTGCTCCACACGCTCTGAAATCCTTCACTCCATATCCGACTATGTTTCTAAGTATTTCGATCCCTCCGTATTCTATTTGCCAGCCATAAGCGCCCGAGTAGAGAATTTCTCCACTCTTGTCTCGTTTTTCGGCAAAATAGCATTGAGTAGGTTTGCCAGTGTAGAATGGAAAGAGCTGTTTTCCAGAATATTTTGCGAGGAAATTCCCGATTTGGTACAGATTCCCGCCTTTCTTAGGAGAGACAACTTTTCGAAAAAAAAAGTCAGGATAAAATAAATTTTACACAAATTTTGTCCCATTCCTTTATACCCCCAAGATGAGCACATGATCTTTGCCGGGTTAAGTTTTCCATCGACAAAATCACCTCCACTCAAATCTCTCTCAAAGTGGTCCAGGGCTGTTAGGCATTTTTCCTTATCCAACAACCCAGTTTTGAGCAAATTCGAATGATAATCAGAGAAACCAGATTCAAGAAAAACATACCACTTTTCGATTCTCTCTTTCCATCCCTCTGCTAGTGAGCATTTCCACTCATCTGCCAAATCGTTCGCTGGTTCAATCAATTTAGGCTTTTCTTCTACATCCTCAGTTTCGAGATCCGCTAAGTTTGGAAGATATGTCTTGGCTTTCAGTGGCGAGAGGTAGGAACTTTGATGATCTTCATAATTGGCGACTTTCTCGATGAAATCTTTCAGATCATCAGCAAAAAAAGTAGAAAATAAAAGGAGAAACAGATTTCTCATTTTCTCTGCTTATATTTGCACTGCCTTACTTTAGGGAATTCTTGCTGTCATTATTTGGTACACAAATACTTACGCAATCAACTTTTGGTCAGGCTGTTTCATCAGTGAATAAACAGACCTTTGAGACATTTCCGAAAGTCTGTTTCTTGGCGAGAATAAACTCGTAGCAAATGGTTCTTGCTGAATGTATTTGGCAGTGATTTATGAAGAAATTCAGATTTCTCGAAGTTTTTCTACAAAATCTTGATTATCCTGGCTTTATTTGTTTTAATACCTTTGAGTGCAACGAGGAACTCTTCAGATAAGTTCTCGACCTTGCAGCATTCGCGGCAGCTTCTTGTTTTTCCGGTTGAAATGATCTTGGCTGCTCCTGTTTTTCGCCTCGACTCTGCGTTTTTGTCCGCTTGGCTCATACGACTTGGGCACTAGAAAATAAAAGGAGATCAAAATTAGCGAAATAGAAATATTTTGTGTTGAAGATGAAAAAATAGAAAGATCATGCACATCCGTAGCCGAAGCATGGGAGGTTAAAATCTGGTAGTTGTTGATTCTGGGCAGCGGGCAGTCTAGCTACAACGCGGTTGAGCAGTTGTGGAGCTTGATTAGGGTTAGTGGAAGAGAATGAATATCTAAAGCTGAAGCGGCCGTTGTTAGTGTTTTGCGGTGGAGGGTTAGTGTCGTCGTTGGCGGAACAAACCAGAGCGTTCGGGCCAAGCTCGCAACATTCTTCGGCTTCGGCGACTCCGGCGATGAAGGCTAGGTCTTGAACGAGACCTGTACCAGAAGAAAGGAGCTTGAAGTCGGATCGTTGTTCAGCCCTAGAAATTTGAGTTCGAGGTAGAGTTTTTTGTGAGCCTACGTTTGAACAGTCGGCAGATCAAGCGTTCCGACTTGCAGGCAATCAACAAGAACAGTCACATCAAGTTCGTCGAAAAACACTTGAATTTTGTGAAAGTTTCCATCGTTCAAATTCGGTAAGAGATCGCCCCTGATCATATCCTCTGCTCCTTCGCGACGAACGACGAGATCACCGTTTTGGAATGAGAAGGAGGCGTAGTCTTGGCCGTTGTATTGCACTTGGAAGGCTTCGAAATCTTGGGATTGGAGGGAAAAGGTGAAGACGACGGAGAAGACTTTGCTTAGTCCACCGGGAAAGACTGAAGACAAGGAAGAAGCGAAAGAATTGCCAGCGGAACTGGAGCCTGAGCTGCCAAACTTCCAGGCTGAATGGCCTGGCGCACTTCCGCGGACAGCGTTAGAATTTCGGAATCCCATGGTTTTGAGAAGATTTGCACCGGAGGTAATTTTGCCATTTCTAGAAGACATAAGGAGCGAAATTTAGTATGATAATTACCTTCTGTAAGAAGAAAAATGGTTGACAGAAGCATAAGAGCCAAATCGATTCGACTCTGTTTCTGGCCCTACAAATTCTTCTGATGAACTTTTATCGACGAATTCTTCAATTACTGGCGCAACATAAGGCGTTTGGGTTTTGACCGGTTCAGGAATGTATGGAGCTGGAGTATTTCGAACTGGAGGCACGTACGCTCTCTGGGTTGTTGGTTTTGGTGGTGGTTGGTAAGGTTTTTGCGTTGTGAATGTCTTTTTCGGGAATCGGAAAATGAGGGGTCTTTATTTACAGAAAAAATATAGATTGAAATTGTTGAAATTTGTACAAAATTGGCCACAAAGATTTTGACTTTATTAATTTCATTCAAAAAAGAAGTTGGACGAGCGAAATCCAGACTTTCTATTTCAAAATTTATGCCTTTGAAATTATTTTTGATGAAGTTTTTTTTCAATGAGTTAGTAATGGCTTGTTTCAGTTGCATTCCTCGTTCCTGATAATAAGTAGGTGGATCGCGGGCTAGTTCAAAATGCTTTGCATTAGGTTGTCAGTGATGGATAGGTTTTGAGGCAGATACTCTTCCTTCGAGAGAGAGTATCGCACTTTAGTTAAATGAGAGGTTAAATTTAAAACCACTTGACAAGGTACTGCTTGGGTCTTGGCCCGAAGTAATTTTTAACACGTCATTACAGACAAGTCTCTCCAAGTGGCCTCGTACTCGTTGGACGGCACTGTAGTCGGCTGAAGCAGCGTTTTGTGTCTACTCGACAGGAGAAACTTATTTACCTCCTTGAATGAAGATCACGTGATTTTCATAGGGCTCAGAGGCGATTTCTCGGAGCTCGGACTCGATAGCATTACCGACTCCAATGGCGAAAATTCGGACTCCTTTAGCACGGAGACTTTTAGCCGCAGCGGGGACAATTGCACGATCTTAAATCGGGTCTAGAAGTGGGTTGAGCAAATAGATTACCTTGAGGAGTTCCATCAGTGACGAAGATGAGGATCTTCGGAACTTCTTCTCGCCATCGATTATTGGTTTCAATAAACTAAAATGTCGTTAACATCGTTAATATTCCGTTTTTATTGGAGTCATGAATTATTTAAGTTTTCAAAGTCGACGATAGTCCAAAAAATAAGTTCTGTAAAGATTCAAAGGCAAATAACTGTATTTTCGAAGATGAAAGATGCTTATTTGGTTGTTAATCAAAGTGATTGTCATTTGAGATCATGCGAATAATGGGAAACTGGGAACTGTTCCAAATATACCTTTAGTGCTTGTCCTGTGTGCGTGTCACCCCCTGTATATTTCATCGCTTCGACTTTTTCTACGAAGTCATCTTGTGAATGAATGGCTCCGAGTTTGATTGCACTGTCAGTATGCACATTCGTCGAATATGTCAACACGCCGACTTGAACATCACCGCTGCGAAGATCGAACACCGAGGAGACGTTTGCCACGAAATTCTTCGCGTAACCGTAGTTATTTCTTGATTTAAACTTTGATTCAAGGCCGAAATTGAAAGTTGCTGATAAGGCGAATTACTGTACCTGGTGACAGAAGAAGATGAGTCGACGATAAACTGCAAATCTACAGAAATGTCACCGCAGACGCCGCTAGTCTTTGGCTTCGCTTTTTTACAGACTCGGCCAAGAAGAGAGCTCTTGATTTTCGAGATTGAGTCGAAATCACGTGTTTCGTAGACGAAATCTTCGTCGGTTGCGATGCGGTTCAACTCGTTTCGGTCGATCAGATCACCGACGCCGATCGCGTAGACAAGAATATTCGCCTGAATCAGTAATTCATTCATAATTTTAGTAGAATCAAAGTTACCTCCTTGAGAATTTCAATTTGCGCATCAAGTCTTTCTTTGTCCGTAGCATCACCATCGGTGATCAACAAAATAATCTTGGGCACACTTGGCCTTCCTTCCGCCAGCATCTGTTGGGCTCGTTCGAGTGCTCCTCCCGTGTTTGTTTTTCCTTGAATGAAGGGCACCTTCATCAATTTTTCCTAAAAGCACTTTGTTCGCGTTTTCCGAGGACTAATTGGGCACTCACTTTTAATTCGGCAATATCGGTGGAAAGGTCCGACACTTTGATGATTGAGGTTGCATATTTGACGAGGCCAACTTGAACACCGTATTCCTATTTTATTGGATAAACTTGGCCGAGTAACCTGAAAAAATAAAGCCCAAAAAGTTCATTCACGCTCCTGTACTCCAAGTTTATCGATAAATTCTCCAGTCCAGGTCTTTTGGAAAGGGTTACGAATTAAGGATATCTCCTTATGTTTTCCCAAAGTGTAACCCCTGCCTTGAGCTTCTTGAAATTATCGGCTTTGACCGAGTCTGATCCGTCAAAAACGATGGCCATGTCCATTGAAGCAGAATCACATGACTGCTTAGACTTGACATCCTCGCAAATTTGGCCAGTCAGAGCATTTTTGAACTGAAAAAAATCATTTTGACTCGAAGACAAGAATTTTGCTATTACCTTGTTGATTCCTTCGACAGTGTTAGCATATTTGATGTGTTGAGTCACAGGTTCAGTTGCGATTTGGTTCATCATTTTTGTATTCATCTGCGATTCATTGCCGATTCCGATGACGAAGACAGAAACGTCCTGGGCATGTAGTTTCTTGGCAGCCTCCAGAACTCGCTGAATAAATCAGTTAACAAGGCCAAAGGTACTTGGCAGTAATAAACCTCCGGATGATTGTCCTGTCCATCAGAAATGAGAACCAAAACTTTTGGAGCTTGAGATCGTGCACCAAAGTCTAAAAAAGTCATCAGTAAAGTGAACGTGGAAATACTGTACCTTTATCGTGGAAATGCTCAGCAGCGAAAAGCAAAGCCTTTTTTGCGGGTGAAAGCATTGATTTTTTTGTTTTCAAAGAGCGGGAAGGGTTAATTTTAGCGTTAATTTTTAAGCGGTTTATACAGTTACGAGCGGTTACGTCATAGGAGTATCTCATGTCAACAAACTACTTGTAGTTTTTTGATTAAACAGGGAAGTGACATCAAACTGTATGATTAACGTCATCTGATTATTCGCTTTATTCATAATTAATCTTATATTGACTTCTAGTTGATAGCTTTAGTTTTAGTAAATTGTACAACTGTAAACTGCGAATTTAATAATTGAGCAAGCGATATATAAGAACAGCTCGTCTTAGCTCTTAGATGCAATTATATGTTTAGTTATAGAGTTACTTTTGGAGTGGATGACGCCTGAAATGTACTCAAGCGCCCGGGCCTTGTCAGTTCGAGTCGAGCCGTTTTGAAGTCTTTCAAAAGTTTTTCCATAATCGCCCATAATAATAAATCAATAACTCATGAAAAACTCGTAGCTCATTCGCTTGATGCCATCTTCGACTTCAGCGGCTGTTTTGAAGTCGTTGAGGTCGAATTCTGGAATAGGCTCCGATGTGTATTGGATGACGGAGACTTGCGTTGCCACCGGGCCGATTTGGAAGCTTTTTGTCACTGCCGACGGATTTTTCTGACTCGAACATTGCATTATTTACGTCATTGCATATGGAACTAATGTCAATGTAATTATTATAGATGCCAAGAAAGTAAGAATTTTTATCACCGATAATGGTCGAAAACGACGGAATTATCAATTAGAAGTTGAATTGATGACTTGTATTTTTTTTTAATAAATCCGGTCCTGAAATTAACCAATCTCTTGCAATCTCAAAATTGGCTGATCCAATCGAGCCAGAAGAGTCAAGCATGAAAACCAAGTCAAGTTCTTGATCCGGGCATACATCTGAAAACAAGGTTCGGAGCAGATTATCCAGTTTGTAAATTAACCTTCTGAAGCAGAGCAGACCTCGGCCAAGAGTTTCTGGTTAAATTGGCCGATGTTGTTGAAAGTTCGCGTCTTCCAGACTCTTTGCTGAAGAAAAGCATTATTATAAGCACAAATGTGTTTATCGAAAAAGAATTATCATAGGAAAAAGCTTACATCGTTTCCAGTAATTTCAACAAGCTCTTGAGTCCTTGCTCTTCCGATTCCAACAGCGAAAATATCAACGCCATCATCTCGAATTTCCTGAGCAATCGGTCCATAAGCATCATCAGAAGCTCCGTCTTTAAGCAGCTCATTATCAAAAAGAAGAGAATTTAACAAGTAATAACCTCCTCTCGTTCACTTATTGAAAGAGGAGGGCGCTAGATGTAAATTTTGGACCGCGTATAAAAAGGGGGTCGACTCTTTTCTCCGCTTATAGAGATTTTCGATAAATAGTTTTATAATTTTCATGAGGTTTTTACTTTTACTTTTAGTTTGTTTGGCTCTGTCTTCGGTAAGAGATAATTGGATAATATTATTGAATAAACGATGATTTAAGAAAATGGTCAGAAGATTTAATTCTGCACAAGAATACAACAGAGCCTTTTTACAATGGATACAACGGGGGCTTCAAAATCAGGTATAATTTTCGTGGAGCTCGATGTTTTATGAAGATTTTAGGGATACCGTGGAACTCAGCGGAGATTCATTATCTGAGCTTTGTCATATTCCCTGTTTCGAACGAAAATATCGACAGTTTTCTATATACAGTCAAAAAGTGTCTATACAAATATACCTTGCAAATATTCATCAAAATAATCATAAAGAGTTTTCTGAATATTGAATCATCTACCTGTTAGAAGAAGAACTATTCGTTTTCGCCCGGGTTCACTGTCACTTAGAAGAGATTGGGCTTGTTTCAGGGCGTTTCCGGTGAAGGTCTTGCCACCTCGGCCGTTTCGACCTTGGAAATAGACCATGTCGTCGACTTTGCGGGTGATTGAGTTCAGATCTAGAATCATTCTATGATAAATTATTCGTTCGTATTTTTTTTACCTAGAGTATTGAAGTCAACAACGGTGTTAGCTGCTTTGGTGTATTGAACAACTGAAAATCGAGCGAAATTTTCTCCGACTTTGAATGAGCTTGCGATGCTCTTTACCCAGTTTTTCATGTATCTTTGAAGAATTTTTATATTTCTTTTATAAAATTTCTCACCCGAATCGCTTTGGTCCGATAGAACCAGAAGAGTCAACGACGAAAACGATGTCGGCAAAGATATCTGGGCATTCAGCTTCTTTACATACATCTCCAAGGATTCCAATTCGCTTCAAAATCAGCTGATCGAAATTGTTGATCTCAAAGACGTATTTGTCCGCAGGCTTGGAAGCGATCTCGTGCAGCTCTTGTCGATCGTAGCAGTTGTGGTTCTCGCCGTAGCCGCATTGATGGCCGATTCTTGAATTTTTCATGGACTGATTTGTTCTAAGCGTTTTGCTTACCCGATTGCGTAGATTTCTGCTTCTTGGGCGCGGATCAGTTCTGCTGGCCTTGCGATTTCCGCGGGGCAGTTTCGCTTTCCATCGGTCATGACAATGACTCGCTGGTCGACGTCAGATCTTTGTCCGGCTTGAGAGGTGAACATGTTTCTGTAGAAATAATCAAGAGCTTCCCCGATGCATGTATCACCGTTGAGCTTTCTCATTCCATCAATGGCGCCTTATTTAAAATTCAGTCGAAAAAGGTGACATTGAAAGAACTAACCGATGACGGCTTGCTTTGAGGTTGACCTGTCGAAAGTCAGAACGGGGTTGATCCAGCGTCCTTGAGCGCGAGCTGATTGGCCAGAAAACTAGGATAATTGTTTTTCTGTATTTCTTATCTCTCGACCCTACCTGGAGAATCGAAACTCGTGATGCATTTTCGCCAATTTCAAGCTTCTCGATGATCGATTTCATCCATGTCTTCAGCTTTTGATAGTCAGAAATCGTAATTGAAGAGGACGAGTCAACAATGAAGGACAGATCCTGCTTGACGGAGCTGATGCAGTTGTCTGATTTTAATGAAGAGCAGAGTTTATTGTATAGCGTGTCTGTAATGCCCGTAAGCGCATTATAATTAGGGTCCACGCTCAAAAAATAGGTACCCGAAATAGAGCTCCTATAATTCTCAAAATTAGATATGTAAAACAACTATAAAAAACAAGCATTTTGACCCTTTTTCAAAAAAAATCTATAAAAGAGTTGAGAAATAATGATGCCTCAAAGTGGGCAAAAATGCAAAATCACCCAAGAACGCGTGTTTTTTTAAATTTAAAATTGTAAAAATATGTTATTTTGAATTCTTAATTCGAAACTAAAATCCTTTTTTTGGAGGATGGCCTAAATTTTACGAAATCGACAATTTTCCGTAAATTCTGAGCCATTTTCAAAGAGCGCGCGGCGCGATGCCTCAGGCGGTCCAAGGGTGTCCACAAAGAAAACAAAGCAGAGCGCTGTCTGGCGCTTCAGCTAACTCAGGTAAGCTTCATACAAATGGCTCTAGAATAATAAATACTAAGAATCAATTTAAAACTACACGTTAGAAATTTAGACAAGGGTCAAAATTTTAAATTTTTCAAAAAAACTCGATCAATTTATTAATTTATTTCAGACAATTATCTCTTTCCTATGGAAGTCAAAAATAAAGAATTCTCAGGCTTTAAAAACCTCCGGATGTCGGCAAAATGACCATTTTAGGAAAACAAGGGAGAAAAGCCCCATCCCTGGCTTTTAAATTTAAATGGGCTTGACGGCCCTTCGGGCCGTCTCAGCCCCATCCCTGGCTTTTAAATTTAAATGGGCTTGACGGCCCTTCGGGCCGTCTCAGCCCCATCCCTGGCTTTTAAATTTAAATGGGCTTGACGGCCCTTCGGGCCGTCTCAGCCCCATCCCTGGCTTTTAAATTTAAATGGGCTTGACGGCCCTTCGGGCCGTCTCAGCCCCATCCCTGGCTTTTAAATTTAAATGGGCTTGACGGCCCTTCGGGCCGTCTCAGCCCCATCCCTGGCTTTTAAATTTAAATGGGCTTGACGGCCCTTCGGGCCGTCTCAGCCCCATCCCTGGCTTTTAAATTTAAATGGGCTTGACGGCCCTTCGGGCCGTCTCAGCCCCATCCCTGGCTTTTAAATTTAAATGGGCTTGACGGCCCTTCGGGCCGTCTCAGCCCCATCCCTGGCTTTTAAATTTAAATGGGCTTGACGGCCCTTCGGGCCGTCTCAGCCCCATCCCTGGCTTTTAAATTTAAATGGGCTTGACTTAGGCCGGGGCCTCTACCTAGCTCATTTCATTAAGTCAAGCTTTGTCCCCAACCCCACCCACACCCGTATTTTACGTTAGACCTATCGTTCATTTATTTTATATAATTATGGTCTTTACAAAAATAAAGAAATACTTCTTTTTTTATTTTTTCAAAAATTTTTATTATGAGTTTATTTTTTTATTCATTTGATTTCTAGTTAAGATTTTATTTAATTTCATTAGTGTAATTATCCTTATTTGTAAAATAATGGATTTTTAAAGAAGTTTCGACGTGGCCACCCTTGCGATGCCCCTAGGCCATCGCGCGCTGAGCGAGCTGCGCGCCGCTGATTTTTGCCTTTTTAGGGCCATTTTTACGGGATTGCTGGGAAAAAACTTCATCCTCCAAAAATAAATTGGTCGATTTGGGGTTAAAAAAGGGCTACGATTTCGCCTGTGTTAATTAAAATTTTATAAGAGCCGTTCTTCATGGTTTTTTGGGTGTTTTTTCTTCATAACTCCTCAACCCTTTTTCATTTCGGGTTGAAATTTAGCTTGTTTTACTCAGCTCTTCGAGATCTTCATCTTTTATGTTGATGAAAAGACCTCAAAAGCAATATTTAAAAAGTTTTATTTTTTGAGCGTGGACCCTAATTATAATTCGCCGTCTTGAAGACATATTCTGGCAGACCAGCAATCTTCTCCAGTTCATTTGCGTCGACGGAATTGCCGATTCCGACGGAGAAGACGAAAACCTTATCACCAATGAGGTCAGAAGCGGCTTTTTCAATTTCGTCTTGGCTGACTCCATCAGTTAAAACGATCAAAACTTGGGAAGCAGTCTTTCGAGCACGGGAAAGGACGTTGTTTCGGACATATCTGAGAGCGCTTCCGGCATGTGTGTTTCCAGTCATATATCTATCATCAGATTGACAGCCCAGCTCATTTGTAGGTCAGTGAAGTGAGAATTGTCTAGCCCGCGTCTCTCTGTTCTCGTTTCTTAGAATTTATTACAGATCCCACGCGTCTAAACTGTCAACCCTTGTTCCTAAGCTTCGCCAAGTCATTCTTAATCTGCCCAGCGTTGCCAGAAAGTGGAAATCCGAAGCCATTTCTGTCCGAAACATTGTCGGTGAATTGAACAACAGAAACTCTCGTTGCTGTCGCCGAGACGTCAAATTTGTCGACAAAGTCGGCGATCCATTTTTTCATCAAGTCAAATGAAACTTGCGAGACAGAAGAAGATCCGTCAGCGAGGAAGACAAGCTCCATCTGGACACCCGCACATCCTAGGAAAAATAAATCTTTCTGAACTTCAAAATCAGGCTGAAAAGTTATTTTTTGCGGCTGTTTCAATAAGCATTAAGAAAATCTTTTTTTTTTTGCGAAGCGAATTTTAAGCATTTGCGGGGCGAATTATTAAAAAAGCATCACCTGAAGCACTACGGGTTGTCCTCGCTAAAAATTTTTAACTCTTGTTTCAATTTTTCTTTCATTTCTTTTGTTTGACTTAATTTCCCTTTGAACTTACCTGCTCGGACGTCGACAGAATTGACAAATGAGCATAAAACAGAAAATATTGAAAACCACCTCATTTCCGAATTTTCCTCCGATTTCTCTAAATAAATTCGCCGTAAAAGTAAGCTCGCTAAATTGTGAATGTGAGAAAATTTTAATTAGAGGAAAGCGACAGACATAACTTTGGACCTTGCCCAACAATATTTGTTGAGAAAAAAGACGATTTACGCTATTTATCAAATAATCTTTGACTTATTGACGCACCGACGTTCTGAAAAGCATTCTTTCTCTTGAAAATACCGCACTCTTTGTCTGAAAATATCCATTTGTCAGCACAATGCCGAATTGGATTTTCGAATTCTCGACATTGAAATTTTACCTTGATGTTTATTCTTATATTTTAATCAATTTAAAAATCAATCAGAGTACTTTTGATAGAAAAAAATGAAATTAAATTTGAAGACTTTTAAATAAATTTTCTATTTTCGCCGCTAGAATCTCTTGTTTGCCGATCTCTTTGATTCTGATGTTTTTTTCTGGGTTATGAACTTGTCAAAAATTAAGGGTCTGAAGAACTCGAGGGTGCTTGTTTTGTTAGTTCTACTGGTTCATTGGAATTTGTTTTCTATTTACTCGCCGGGCGTCTGGATCGCCGCCCATCATCATCGCTTGATTCAAGAGGAACGACCAGGAGGGTCCCTTATTGCGCCGATTAAACTTTCGCCGCTTTGACAAGCTCCTTCCCTAAAGTATTATTAAGCGGCCATAAAAGCAAAATAAAACGCGAGAATTCGGATTTGCTCATGGTTTCTTTTTTTCTTCGAATCATCGATTTTAAACTCTCTCTTTATTAGACTGAACTCGGGGGTTTTGACCATTTGCGCGGAATTCTGGTAATTCCTCAGAGTTATAGCCCCTCATCATTTCTCAAGTGCAAAGCTTCTTTGATAGCGTACTTCTTCATAAGGCGTATTTTCTTAAAATAGAGCATTTTTCAACAACTCCATTCTCCTGCTGTAATTTTCGACTCATTTCCGTTTATATCCGAGGAGATGATTAATTGGGAGATTAACTGATATAACTAACCAAGGCGGGATATTATTTTAAGAGACTTTTAGATAATCAAGCTGAGATGGATCAAAATGCTGTAGATGATTTTCATATAGACCCAAAATATTATAACAAATAAATAAATATCTTTTGTTTTAACCAATGATTTATTGGCAATAAAAAATCTACAGACTTATTCGAGAGCAAAAATCGCGCGGAGTTACAAATATAATTGGATATCCAACTGATTTTCTCTGCTCTCCAATGATCCGAGTCTCGATAATTTCCTCTTCAGAATCTTTTAACAGCTTCAAAAAATTTGAAAAATCAATCAATGAGGCTACGGTTAAGCCGTTTAAATAAACAACATTTTGGTAATTACAGGTTCTTAAATGAACTTATTTTGAAGCCTTGATCTAAATCAATTTTTTGTATCGGAATACCATCATCAGATGTGCCCGGAAAAATGATAATGGAGCTGTCGTAAATAATCGAGGATGAATGCGACACAGCCTTAAATAAGAGAATTAGTGATTCAAACAACAAGTTAGAAAGGGATGATTGATTTATTGTCTTTTGCGAACTATTAGCTAAATTGATAGATTCGTTTTTTATTCAGGGGACGCGTTTCGGCACTAAAGTGCCTTCATCAGCCCTAGTACAGAAATTAACTTAACAGCTCAGAAAAAAGGAAGAGTACTCTCACCTTAGAGTGGACAATTTCGAATGAAAACGAAAATTGAAAACAGAAAATGAAAATTCGCTTTCGCGGCAGGTGAATGGAGCGCCAGAGAAAGCGAATTTCAAATGCTCCATTACAGAAATTTAACTTCAGCAAACTTGACTTGCTTGTTCAAGCTAGGGTCGTTTAACTTAATTGAGAAGGCTTCCAACAAGATGCGATCTTTATAGTAAGGTTGGTTGGAGATAACAGTCACAAATTTGTTTTTAAAGCAGAAATTGGTTTTGATCCTAGCCCTTGAAGTTGTGGGTTTGTACTTAGGAGTGTCTGGCTCACTTAGATATTTATCGTAAAGCTCTCTGAATTTTGGACATCTCAAAGTATGGAAAAACATTGGACTACGATAGCGTGGTTCGAAATGCTCTTGAATGCGTGTTCCCAGTTGTCGCTTTGTTTCTCCCTGGTAATCTGTTTTGCCACAAGGACATTGAAAGTGGTAGACTACACCCGATTTTTGTTCAATCGGGATCGGGCGTTTCCATATTGGATGCAAACATTGTTCAACTCTCACTGTTTTCCAGCAAAGTCTGAGAAAGAACTTTGGGGTAACTTTCTTGAGAATTGCCCGCATTTTGCGCCCAATACGATCGCACCGCTCCCCAGTGAATGTGGCTCGAAAATTGTAAGTGATTTCATCCTCCACTTTTCTATCCGGTTTAGGCGTATTCAAAAGTTTGATTTTGTCTTCAATAAGCGACGGTGGATATCCATTGAGAATGAATTTCCTCCTTGTGTTCCGAAAACCTAATTGAATGGCATCTTCGCAGGATGACGCATTTTTCACTCTATGAAGATGACCAACCAACAAGCTTATTTTCTGGGATTTCGGAGCGACATTAGTTCGAAAATTTGGTAAATGATCCTTATTCGACTGTTTCTCATAATGAAACATCTCAATTTTGCCTTTGTGGATTTGGAATTGAGTGTCCAAAAAGACGAGTTTACCATCTGTCATTGCTTCCTGTGTGAATTGTATATTTTTATGAAGCTTGTTGGCTTCATCCAAAATGAATTGTGACTCGGATTTTTTAATCAAAAATATACAATCATCCACGTACCTCGCAATATACAGGGCTTTCCCTTCCCCAATTAGTTGGTCAAAGAATGGGGCCTCTATTTGATGCATGAAAATATCGGCCAAAATAGGACTCAATTTTGATCCCATCGCTGAGCCATCACGTTGGCGGAAAAAACCTTCTGGGGTGGTAAAGCTCGTAAGCTTAAAAAGGACTGTGTCAACGAGGTTCTGGAATGCGTGTCTGTCAGGGAACTCAGAAACATGACCGTTTGCCAATACTTCAGCATCGAAAAAGAAAAGAGGATCTTTATATACTAATTCTACTATTAATTTACTTATTTCTTTAATTGGCAAACTCGGGAACATTTTAGATACGTCTAGAGACATCAAAGTATGTTCCTTTAAATCAATTTTGTCTTTGATTTTGAGAAAATCCTCTTTCAATTCTTTAGTATTTTTTAAATTGTATTTAACTCTATTCCTAAGTTTTTGAAGAATAGGTTGAAGAAATATTTCTGCTCCCTCACACACCGATCCCCGAGTTCCAATTATCATGCGACTTGGTTGGCCAATTTTGTGTGTTTTTGTCAATGCATATGAGCGTTTTAATGAATGCCTAGGTCGTATAAGGTTGTACGTGGAATCAGAAAAATATGGCTTTAAAGTTTTGATGGTTTTTTCATATTCAGAAACATCTTTTTTCAATGGATCAAGACTCAACTTCTCGAACTTGAAAATTGGAAGTTCTTTTTTAATGTTTTCGTTATACGCTTTTTTGGACCAAATACAAATCTTTTGTTCTTTATCTGCCTTTGTTATCATTATTTCCGGATTTTCGGAGAGAAAATCTCTTAAAATTTTCATAGAAGGGTCGTTAGAGTGAACTTGAAATTCGCTTTCTCTGGCGCTCCATTCACCTGCCGCGAAAGCGAATTTTCATTTTCTGTTTTCAATTTTCGTTTTCATTCGAAATTGTCCACTCTAAGGTGAGAGTACTCTTCCTTTTTTCTGAGCTGTTAAGTTAATTTCTGTACTAGGGCTGATGAAGGCACTTTAGTGCCGAAACGCGTCCCCTGAATAAAAAAACGAATCTATCATTATGAGAGGTCAACTATAAGACAATATTAGCTAAATTCTTCTTTTATCCCGAATAAGAAGAATATCTTTGTCTATCAATTGCCTAACCCTAACCCTAAACTGGAGTTGTTGAAAGCAAACATAACGAAAGCTTATCGATAGATTGCTCTACAGTTTCTTTCTCCTCTCAAAACTCAAAGGCACTTCGGCGGACAAGCAAGCTTTTCGAGCCCTTTGCTCAGGAGGTGTACCCTAGTGGGGTAAGGTTAAGGTTAAACACTTTCGCTGTACCAATCTGTTTAAAATTTTGTTATTTTCGGTTCGTTTAAGGTTGTCAATATCATATTTTTGCAATAAAAGAGAGTCAAAATCACATTTACAGTTAATCAACCCCGATTGAAGAACATTGTCGATAATACATCAAGGACCAAAAATCAATAAATTCAATTACTTTTTGAAGATGGCCTATTCTTATCCACTCGTTGTTCATGAATCGCCAAATTTCTTTGAATCGTATTAATTTACCGTCGCTGTCATTTTCTCCCCCGATGGTCAACAAACTTCCCGAAGGCAGGCCGATAGCGGAAAATGATATTATTTTTCTTAATATATCTTCTGTATATTTATTGATTCGGTTGGTCACCTTGGATGCTTTTCAAGCATAATCCAGCCCTCCTCCGTTAACGTTTCAACTGCTCCATTTGCAAAGCGTCCTCCTATTGCAGTCGGGCGACCATTGTATGAACTCAGTTCTCCGTTAAGATGATTTCTGTTTGTTTTATACGATGGTATTACTTCTCTTCCATTAAATATCTCGCATACGGGTTTATTCCAAGAAAAACAAATCATTGCTATAAATCGCGGAGTATTTTTAGACAGAAATATTTGTAATAAATTCAAACCTTCGCTACCATTAGCGATTGATAAAACTGAATGACTATCTCGATAATCAGCAAATAGCCGCATTGATAATTTCGTGAGCTCGCAACCGTCTAACCGTCCGATCTAAAGCAAAATACAAGTTGTTTTTGAATCTCGAAATACTTTATGAAAATCATCAGCCCAGCCTCCAAAGATGTGAAGCTTGTCATTCACTAATGCGTGTCTCGAGAAATAAGGAAATTTCGAAATGCTGTAACCGGTGTTAAATGGAGGCAAGAACTGTACTTCGTTGTATAACTCATCTTGAA